TGGATTTATTTTTGTATCTTTTTATTTCTGTGTCCAAACTGATGTTATCCTGTCTTTTTAGTTACACTATCCCCCTCCCAAGTAATGTCGTTTGTTTTAACAGTAATTTAATGTTTTCCTTCCCTCTGGGTTACGTTATCTTAATCCGGTAATGTCCCCCCCCCCCAGTCACCCCCCCCCCCCCCCGGCCAGTTTATTTTATTTCTTTTGTCTTTTTTACTTTGTTCATTAATTAATTATCTTTTTTTATATGTATTTTTTAAATATATATTTAGTTTTATTAATTCTTTTTATTTAAATAATGATTTTATTTTTATTGGAATATATTTGTTTTTATTCTGCTGTTGGATGTTGCAAATAAATAAATAAATAAATAAATTCCATTCAAGTGCTTTAGGTTACACTCAGATTGCATAATGATACCTCTGTCGCCTTCAGCTGCCAGCAGCCTAATATAGTAATACTAAACCCGGCCCCAGCCGCGATTTTCTTTTTCATACCACATGCTCGCTATTATATATAGAATTATATGCAACAGTATAATGTTTAAAATGTCATGGATACTACATTGGATTACACATCCGATGGCGTGAGTTTGATTCCTGCAACGTCGAGAAGTCTAATTCCTTTCATACAAGGTTAAAGGTTATGAGTAACGTAATAAATCTAGAGAAAGTAAACTGGTAATAAATCTGAATAAGGTACAGCCAGAAGTGACCGTCCAGCAGGCCCAGTATGGTCACGACCCAGAGGTCAAGGGCAGTCTGTATAAGACCGAGGGCACAAGTGCCACGTATTCATTGTCAAGCTTGTAGTTCGAAGCACCAAAAGTTGGGTCTAGTTTCAAGATGTTAGCCAGTTAGTTAAGATTATTGAGAAGTTTCCACACAGTTGGTAAGTTTTTCCCTGTAGTTGTTGAATCAAGTTGATTATGATATATTATAGACTATGATATATTATAGACTTTAGTGGATTGAATTAGATAAGTTAGTTAAAGCGATTATTGCTCAATATTAAAGTTAAAGAAAAGCAATTTCTGTGGTGTGATCTGAGGCAATTTCTGATCACTAAAACCAATTTGAGCAAAAGATCATCTGTGAAAGTTTTGAGTTTTGAGTAATTGAATCAGCTACATGTATTCTGAGCAATAGAATCATTATTGTAGGCTACAATATTTTTATTCGGGGAAGAAAAAGTGTGTGTGGGGGGGGGGGGGGAGACCAAACAATGTCCCCCTCAAAATCTGTGTGTGTGTGTGTGTGGGGGGGGGGGGGGTTCCCCTGTCCCCCGTCGATTTACGCACATGATAATTATGTACCATGGCAACTGTCTGTAAATGTTGCCGTTGGTCTGTTAAATTGGCTTTTTGTGAGGCAGTCGCATTTGGAAAACGTAGTGAAAAGGTTACTGTAGTACACAGGCGAAGGCTGGTTGTACAGTTTGACAATAAATCATAATGCAATAAAACGTGAAGGTGTCATTTAAAATGAAAATGTTGAGTGTTACCAAAAAATTACAAACGGTCTGAATCATGGAGGAAGGTCATAATTAAGTTTCAGTATTGGACTCTTCAACAAACGTAAACTTGAACTTCTTACAATTTGCGAGACCGTCTGCGATTCAACTTTTATTCAAGTTGGTTCAACCATCTATATATAAGAGCAAGTTTTACTTGGCCTCCGAGAAATGTTTGCTTCTGAAAGGATCCGAGACCGCGGCTTCACGTCCGTGGAAAAATGTGGGTGTCTTCTTCCGGGTCGGACACTTTTTCGTCGATTTTTTTGTGACTTCGTTTTAAGATCGCGATATTTGAAGCAATTAATGCATCGATCCTTCGTTGACCCCAAACAGGCCCCCGAAATTATAACGCGACACTGAATTATACGTGGCGGGCAGCGAACTCACAATGCTCAGCCTTGGTGGTGGAAGCATGGAGCTGTAAACACATTATGGAAGCAACAGCACTCTATCACGCGACGTCACATGCTTGGGCTTCAAATAGCGAGCACCGTAGACCCAACCTCGTTTGCAGGGTGTGGAGCAGGCTGCAGTACGCGTTGCCATGGACAGTTTTGCATAGCCCGGAAATACTACGCAGTGTAGACTTTCGATTGGTCAGACCGCGCAAGGCATACTAATGTTAGTCCTTCTGAGCATTCGTTGCACTCGTCGCAGGGGCGGCAAGCAAAGCACAGGAAACAATAGGGACTCTTGGTGGCCACGCACCATGGAGAAAAAATATTTTGCCAAGGTCACCCCATACTACCATTTGGTGAATACTTTTGCAGAACGGCCGAGTAGAACACGTAAACGAAATCCCTACGTTGACCTCGCTGACCTCGCACAGTCTAGACACGAAGAAAAAGCCAGCACAGGGGGCGGACAGACAGTCAACGTGAAAGCGCATACGACGGCAAATTCCTGCGTTAAACGCAGTCACGAAAAATCGACGAAACGGATCGCCGGTCCGTACGGGAAAATCAGGACGACCCGAAGTGTCCGACCCGGCGGAAGACACCCTCCGCATTTTTTCACGGACGTGGAGCGATTTTGGCGCCGCGGGAGCCCGCGGTCTGGGATCCTTTCATGAGCAAACATCGTCTCGGAGGCCGAGTTAAACTCTCTCTTATATATATAGATGCTGTGCCGAGTATAAGGCCAAAAAAAAAAAGTCTCCGGTTTCTGGTATGGAGCTTGCCCAAAAAGTGGTGCGGCGGCGCGGCTTCTTTTTTTTTTTTACCTGATTTTTTTGCTTCAAATGTCGGCTGATGACAGCAAATGGTGCCCGACTAAACTTAGTGCAAATATATGGGAGTCCAGAGAGGCCACATAAAGCTTATTCTCGACCATAACCCAATCTAAAAACACGTTAAAATTGTGCAGCAGCAGGATTCCAGTCAAACCAGTGAGTTTGGCGGTTTTGAGACATCATCTTTCATTGAAAAAAAACCTTTTTCATTTTGCCGACGCGCATGGCTACGGCGACGCGTGCGCATACCAGAAACCGGAGACTTTTTTTTGGGCCTAAGCCATGTTATAAGCTATGGTGCATCAGACTCTGTAAGCCAATGTTGAAGAAAAATACAGAGAGATAAAGAGACATACATGTACCATAATTCGGCGAGATCACACTACGGATTAATAACTTTCTTGTGTACATGTCAGACGGTACAATTCCCATCGGATTTTTTTTTTTATTATTTCTTTTTTCTCTTAAAAAGGTTTGTTAGTCATTTGGAACATTTTTCTTTTACCAATATGTGGTTTGGAGGATTTTTTTCAAGGGAAAATAAAGTCCGAGAACCTGACTTGCAACTCAACGTAATACCCCCATGCGAACGGAAAAATATCGCGCCCCTTTTCATCGCCTCGCCCATCCCCCATCCCGGCCTCCCCCCTCGAGACCTGTGCCCCCCCCCCCCCCCCCGTCATCCCCAATCAGAATTTCGGAAAGGCAAGAATGAGCTTTTCATTGTTAAAACCCGCATTATGGGTTGCCCTCCAGTCCCACCCCTCGCGCGCTAGCCTTGGTCAAGGCGCTAGTTGTTATTCATCCGGCCGTAGCGCGGTAAACGATATCTTCGCTAGCGCTATGCATGCAGTCATAATTATGTCTATGCAGTGCATTAAAAATACAGCGCGAACAGCGACCTCACGCGGCCACTATTTTTATGCAAATCAGTTGGACCTGATCTAGCGCCTTGGTTCAATCGTCCATGTGATTTTTTGGGGGTGGTGCTCATTATGTTAATAGCCTTAGCTGACCTTAAATGTCGTTTTCTTATTGGTCGATCGTTGCGTGGAAACTTGCATAGTGAAACGTGGCACCCGTACATAATCCATGCACGTACACATTGTGTGTCTCTGCACACGGCACCAATGCACAAAAACTGTGGTTCCTGTCACGTCCGCAAAAGGCGGAATAGCTGCAAATAATTTGATGACGTCCGGATTTACCAAGGTGTGATTGGACACTCCACATATCGTCACCGACACCACGAAGTGACCTTAACCCCGCGAAGTGGAAAATGTGTGTTTCGAGATACAAGCGATTTAAGTTGGTGATGATTTTGAAACGGTGATCTGAACATCGTATTAGCCTCAAAATTCATATTTTTTTACATTGTCTGAAATCTGGGATCTTGAATGTCACGTTTATGTATGATTTTTATTAAAAACAAATAATATTAATGAGTTATCAACTAATTAACCTTAAGGTCACTTCGTAAAAACTCTAAAATCAGAATACGCGCTGTTCGAGTTTTCACGAAGTGACGCTAACCATGTGTATTAGCTAATGGGTTAGCGCTACTTCGTGATGACGCCAGAAGTGAGTCGCGCGTATCACGTGACATTTGTGTTACTTCGTGAAAACGCAAAACCCGTTTTTGACGCGTAGTGTGCAGGCAGTTTACATGCAAAAGAATGGTAAAGTACACTTCGTGAAAACGCATTTTCCGGTTTGACCTATTAAGTTGCAAATGTTCATTAATGTTAATTAATGTTTTGACAAAACTAATTAACTATGTGTTTAGTAACTTCTTGAGGTGATAGATTATGTGTAATTAATCACAAATCAGGAAAAAAATCGAAATCGTAAAATATTGATTGTTTGATGTTAGTGTCAATTCGTGGTGCCCCGCCTACATTATCTGAATTCGCATACGAGGTCGTGCGCTGGAAATCTAGCGCAAAGTAAAGAAAAACATATGCTTTTGCCGACGATTGAACCAAGGCTCTCGATCGTCCCCAACTGATTTGCATAAAAAAATAGTGGCCGCATGTGGTCGCTGTTCGCGCTGTATTTTTACATGCATGTGCATAGCCGACGATTGACCGCATACGGGACGAATAACGACGAGAGCATTGACCAAGGCTACGCGCGCGCCAGAAAAAAATCAGCAGATCTGAAATGGTAGAAATTTGAAGCGCCCGGCCCTCTGTTGAGCCACTAAGATTATTTTTAGAGTTCCCTTTGTATGGTTTCTAGTGTTCGTAGACGCATTTCCTACGTAGAAACCCCTTTGAACAGTGTAAGCAAGGAGAACGGCACCAAGCTAGCGTTACTTGTGTACGTGCGCGTGCATGACGTGTGTGTCGACGTTTGGGAAAGAGGGGAGGATTTGGCGATCCCAACTTGCAAATCTTTGATTTCAACCCTAAAAATGGCCCTTCTAACCCTCAGCAGGTTTGCCCTAGGTTCTAGCGTGAGCCGCCTCACGAAACAATTGGTAACGGTAACAAGACCTGTTGCTGTTGCTCGGGTATCCACGTCGAACGTGCAGCGCGAATCTTCGACTTCGGGACGATCGCATTCGCAGAACTTTTCGTCCACTGATGTTGACGGTGCTGGGGGAACTAGGTCGAGGTTCTTTGTCGGGGGTGCTCTTTTACTTGGTGGTGAGAAACGAACGAATTTGAGAATTGAATGTTTTCTTTTAATAAACAAAGTGACAATAGTGAAAGTAAGTGAAAAAGTGACTAATTATTAAAGGGAATATACATCATTTGCTTTTGCTGTAATTTTCAGAAATGGACATGATGGATGGAATTGGGGGGTTGGAAATATAAAGCAAATATAGATGCACTGACTTTTTGAAGGTTTTGGTTTGAAAATGCTATAAAAACCAAGAAAAACGATCATTTTCCTGTAGTCTGGTTCCCTGACTCCATATAAGAAGAAACAGAGCAGTTTACATACATTGGGGAATTGTAAGGTCAGGGAACCAGTCTAGCTGGCTCGTACCCGTTCATAGGTTTGTAATCGATTGCAAACAAGTGCAATGGTCAATTGGGGCCGGTATTTGAAAAAAAGCCAGTTCTTTCCAACGCTGATCGGCCGATCAGCGTTGGAAATTGATACAAAAATACCACTTTTCTTGAAAATGACAGTATACCAGGTGCCATAATTTTACAGGATGCTTTAGACTGTCATTTACCAACATCCTATTAAGGTATTTCGCAAAAACTTGGTAGTTTTGTTTTTCGATGTTTGCAAATGTTGTATATTCCCTTTAAGTATTATTTTTGCGCAGTGTTTATGACTCACACTCACCTGCTCACAGTTTATTTAGTCGTGAACCGCTGTCTCTTTTTCCGCATTCTTGGTAATTCTTATCTTTAGGACACCTCTGTTTTTTACGAGTTCTATTCAAAACTGACTTTTGCAGATGACTGTCCAGTACCAAAATGACTTTTGCAGGCTAATGCAGTCTTTTTTCTTCATATAAACTCATGTTAGTTGTAATTTTGAAAGCACTTTCAAAGAAAATGTGACTTTCCTACCTTTTTTTGCAGTCAGACGTGCATGTTGTAGTTCTCACTACACGAGTGAAAGCGCTTCATAATGAAAGCCCGATGCTGATTGGCTGCTGAAAAAAATAAATAAGATGTTTATTTTTTATCAGCCAATCGCTGTGGGGCGCTGTGGTCCAATGGTTACGGTGTTCGACTCGTGTGCCGTGGTACACGGGTTCGAATCCTGACCGTGGGAACATGGTGCTTGTGCTCTTGAGCAAGGCACTTTACCATTATTGCTTCGTCCTTCGGATGCGACGTAAAGCCGTAGGTCCCATGTGTTGTGTAATGTACGTTAAAGAACCCAGTAACACTTGTCGCTAAGAGAAGGGGTTTGCCCCGGTGTTTCTGGCAGTGGCAGCAATTATGCGCCGCAGCACCTAGCAAAAAGGTGCTACATAATGGGTCTCATATGTTCATATACTTCATTTGCCTGTCTTTGGTTGCATTCTCCCCCAGCGCTTTGTATCCTCTGGCAAAAAGCGCTATATAAATACAGTTATTATTATTATTATTATTATAATCGGCATTGAGCTTTCATTGCATCAAGCTCTCACGTTTGCCATCTTGGTTTTTGAGTCTGTTTTCTGGTTGTCAGCGTCGTCTTTTACCCCTCAATTTCCCTCTAAAATCAAAGCCCTGCCCTCTTTCCACAAAATTAAACCTACTGATATTCAAGAAGATGTCATTGCCAAGATGTCAAGAAATATCAGAATGTCGATTTTGAGTGTCATTTAGTCAACTGTTTTGGCGAGTCTTTCCCTTCCTATATAGGAACGGGGTCCTAAAAGTAAGGGCCTGGTGGACGGTCACTTCTGGCTGTACCTTATTAAGATTTATTACCCTATTTACTTTCTCTAGATTTATTACTTTACTCGTAAACCTTAAAGGGAATGTACATCATTGGCTTTTGTTGTAATTTTCAGAAATGAGCTATTTGAGGGGTTAGTACATAGATCAAATATTGTTACACTAACATGTTTGAAGTTTTGTGTTTGAAAATGCCGGAAAAACCAAGAAAAACAAAAATGTTCAAACAGTCTGGTTCCCTGACTCCACTAAAGATGAAATAGATCAATATTTATAGATGCCGGAAAATTGTAAGGTAAGGGAACCTGTCTAGCCTGCCTGCACCTGTTCATGAACATGTAACCAATAGCAAACTAAATTTGGACTGAAAAAATGGTAAATTTGGATCAGTAGTTGAAAAATAGTTAGGTTTTTCCAACGGTGGTCGGCCGACCACTGTTGGAAATGTATACAAAAATACTATTTTCTTGAATATGACTTCACACCAGGTGCCATAATTTTACAGGATGCTTCATACTCTCATTTACCAACATCCTAGTAAAGTATTTCGTAAAAACTTGGTAGTTTTATTTTTCGATTTTTGCAAATGTTGTATATTCCCTTTAACCTTGTATGAAAGGAATAAGACTTGTGTACTAGTATGGATATTCTCGACGTTACAAGTACTACTCAAGTGAGTTTGGTGGCTATGCTAGTGGAAGCAATAATGGAGGGATCTAGAACCAATCTCTGAGACTCCAGATTGATAACGTAGATTTCTCGCCAGCTCTTACCGTCAAATTTTCAGGATAGAGCCAGGGTTTCCCACTTGAGCTAGTTCAATTAAGGCAGTGTATATTTTGCCGGAGACGGCAAACCTTTAGTAAACGTTAGTTTGCCGGATATGCACTGAACATGCGCAGTTACTGTTTTTTTGTACTTAAACATTTTCCGGTGACAAGTTTTAGTCTGGCTCCATGCCAAAATTATCGTTGTTACCTCGTATTCACAAGATGGGATTCAGACCATTTTATAATTTCGGACTTTATTTCCCTTTTAAAAAAATCCTCCACAGCCACAAATCAGAAAAAGAAAATGTAATACTCTGCAAAAAATGTTTGAGACATGTTAAAATAAGAAAAGAAGAATATTCTTATTTATTTGGGGATGAGAAAAAAAAAACTTTAAAATGTGGTGCGGTCGGAATCGAACGCGAGTCATCCCGCTTACTAGAGCCTTTGCTTAACCATTACACCAAACGTGCTACACAAATTTTGGTGGGAATTTAATACATCTTATAATTCAGCCCTATTTTAAAGAGTACAGCGCCCTCTGTTGATATGGATTGCCGCCGGCAAACCTTTAGTGATCGTTAGTTTGCCGTCATTACCTCCGGCAAAATATCCACTATCTTCAATTAAATCTTACCGTTTATCAAAGACTATGTTTTTTTTTTAATTTGATTAAACTCTGATTTCTTTAATTTCTATTACAGGGATTGGTCTGACTGCCTACACAAAGTTTGTCAACAACTCTGAGTGTGCCACTGCAAAGACCACAAAGTCGGCTGGAGACTCTCTCAGTGCTGCAGAAAAAGCTGGTAAAAATTGCTATTCATTTCAGATCTGAAGTTGCTTCAGAATTAAGAACAAACAAAACAAGATGGGGCACCTTGAAACGCTAAATTAAAAATGCTGTTTTGACGTTTGCCTACCCTGCCTTCGACATTTAGGAATATTAGCAATAGAGAACAAGCAGTCTCTAACTTTTTTAACTAAAGAAAATTTTCTGTCAAGTTGCGTGTTGCCATCGAGTACAGTCTGCGAAATGGGTACCTGTGATGACAAAGTTGGTTTGGGAAGAAGACAAAGTTAAACAAGTGACAATTTGAGGTTGATCCTTGAGGTACCCCCTAAAAAAAAGTGAAACCTTCTTAAACCTCAGCCTTGGGCAAGGTGTTCTTCGACAGCCTTTTGTTATGCACTGTCCAAAGCGCAAACAGCGACCTCATGTGGCCAGGCTGCAATACGCAAATCAGTTGGTGCCGACCAAACGCCATGCGACAACGGTTTGCTTTGGCTTATGTTTTACTTTAGTTTGTCGCTGGATTTCCAGCGACGACCTCGTATGCAAATAAAGATGAGATAAATTTGTACAGTGAGTGTATATCGCGCAGCTAGTGTTTATGTTAGTGACCAGTCATCGATCATCAGAAGAACACAGATGATTGCTTGACCAAGGCTAGTAAAACCTCTAGTTACCCTATGTTTAATTTCACATTCTCCGCTTGTGTTTGAATTTGCCGTTACACCTAAAAAATGGCAGCATCAAGCTGTACATGTTTATTCCCTACCTTCCCCAGGGATCTGAGATGGTACGAGGAATGATTTATGATCAAAATGAATAGGGGTAGTAATAATGCACAGCAAAAATTTGCATCATTATGAAACAGGTTTGCCGATCAAAGGCCTGCCTGAGTACAGCCAAGAGGAAGTGGCCAAGCACAAGACACCAGACAAGGGTATCTGGATGACCTACAAGAATGGCGTGTACGATGTGACCTCATTCATGAAGGCTCACCCAGGAGGAGGCAAGATTTGGCTGGCGGCAGGTGAGATTTCATTGTTGCAGTAAGTGAGTCAAATCACAAGTCAGATCAGATGAAGTGGGGTATGAACAAAGGAACGCCTTTGTCAAAGTTAATTTCAACAGCTTGCTACTTGACTTAATACTTAAAGCCGGAGTCCATCATTTGCAGCTATCCAAAAAGTAACTGGCATAATTATTGTTGAAAAACATACTTGGTTGAAAGATAGTAAGGGAACTAAACTGCCTGTGTAATTACTCTTTCTGGCAAGCTGTCATTTTGAAGAAATCAACGAAAAAAAGGCCTTTTCCAACGGTGCGTCTTAAGAAGCACCGTTGGAAATGTCTGTTAAGTTCGTTTTTTTATTCGGCGAAGCGCGCGCAAGCATTGACACGACGCACACACGCGCGTGGCTGCTATAATTCGTCGGATCGGTGCGCGACATCGCATAGCTGCAGTAGGCTAGGGAGAACGTGTCACGGACTCTGAATTCAGGCCCAATTCAAAACATGATTCAGCAAGTTTTGATTTGAAATCGAGATCCTAGAATGTTGTTTTTCTCGAAATATACAGCTGAAGCTGATCTGAAACTTCATCAGGTTATTTGTTCAGCACCCTTCTTTAGATTTTGAGCACTTTTATTGCTTCAAACGAACAAAATGCACAAATTACAAATGATGGACTATACCTTTAATGACTTGTAAGGTCTTAATTACCTCTCTACATAATAGGCTGGCAGTGACATAGTTTTAGAGTTAAGAAGACATACTTTGCACCAAAATGATACAACATGATGCAACCTGCTAACTCTCCTTTTGTTTGAATAGTTAAAAATTCAATCCTCTTCCCCTGCAATGCCTTTTACACAGGCTTAGTCACCAACAATCAGATCATATTTCTTGTGGGCACTGTGACAGTCAAATTCCATCAACAGACAAAAGCAAGTAACTGGTAGGCACAGCTGGCTTATTAATCTTCTACAGTCAAAGCATAGCTGTATCAAGTTTCATAACGGTCACAGCCAGTCAAACTTGCTTTATGTGGGAAAAGAGCACTCAATTGTTAAAAACAATCACTTGACTTATTGTGACTGCTGCCTGGGTTGGCTTTGTTGAATTTGCCAGCCAGAGAGGGAGGGTTTGTAGTTAATAGGCCCGCAAGTATGCAATTTTTTTTTCATTTGATTAATCGTTTCCCTTTTTGTCATATTTTGGATTAATTGAACAGCTGATTGGCTTTTGATTTATATACATGTATAATGGATGCTGCCAATTATTCAGGCATATCAGGTAAAAGATGAGTGACAAAACTTTTATCTGCAGAAATGATGGAGTCACATCAGTTGAACATTGAAATGAAAGTACACACACACATAAATGTACAGTTTACATTTATGTATCCTTGAGAGTAGATGGCCTACAGAAACACAGAAACTGATGTTCAGCAATAGTATGAATGTTACCAAAAAAAATTCAAAAACAAGTCACAACCATTGGTGAATATCTATACATGTTGTATCTCTAACAAGAACAAGAGATTCCCCACTACAACTAAAACAGACTATTGGCGTAAAGTATTGAAACGTCTAACTGCATGCATTTAATTACCCTTCATTCACTGGATCATGTGAAAACCGGTTGATAATTCATTGTCACTTTATGTTGTCGTCTTTTATTTTGTATATATTAGGTGGGTCACTTGAGCCATTCTGGGCACTGTATGCAGTGCACAAGTCTGATGAAGTGTTTGAGATCTTGGAAGAGTATCGCATTGGCAACTACCAAGACGCTGACAAGATCAAGCACAAGGATTTAAGTGATCCGTTCGCCAATGATCCCTACCGTCACCCAGCTCTCCGTGTCAACTCTGAGAAACCTTTCAATGCTGAGCCGCCACCTAGCCTACTGGTGGACAGTTTCGTCACCCCAAATGAGCTGTTCTTTGTAAGGAACCACCTTCCTGTACCCCAGTGTGACATGCAGAATTTCAAGCTCCGTGTTGAGGTTCCAGGCAAGAAGACCATCAACTTGTCTATGGACAACCTGAAGAAGAACTTCAAGGAGCACACCATCATGGCCACCATGCAGTGTGCCGGCAATCGCCGAAGCCAAATGTCTGGCTACAAGACCGTCAAAGGTTTGTCCTGGAGGTATGGGGCCATCAGTACTGCAGAGTGGACGGGCGTGAAGCTGCGAGACCTTCTCCTTCAAGCTGGGCTGACAGAGGAGGACGAGGCCAAATTCGCTCACATTCAGTTTGAGGGTCTGGACAAGGATGCCAGTGGTGGACACTATGGCTCCTCCATCCCATTTTCAGTAGCCATGAATCCCTTCCGGGATGTCCTAGTAGCCTACAAGATGAATGGCACCGATATCCCGGCTGATCATGGCTGTCCTCTGAGGGTGATCATTCCTGGAAACATCGGTGCCCGCAGTGTCAAATGGCTGTACAAGATTGTCGCCAGTGACCAGGAAAGCCCAAGCCACTGGCAGCAGAATGATTACAAGAGTTTCAACCCCTCGGTAGACTTCGGACAGCTTGACTACAAGACAGCACCTGCTATCCAGGAGTACCCCGTCCAGTCAGCCATCTGTACACCGAGGGATGGAAGCAAAGTCGACGTCGATGAGGAGAAGGTTACCATCAAGGGATATGCCTGGAGCGGAGGGGGACGGGGCATCCTTCGGGTGGACGTATCAGTTGACGGGGGTAAGGAATGGCACGTGGCCGAGCTACAAGACGCAGGCCAAAAAATCAGTAGGGTTTGGGCCTGGACTCTTTGGGAGGCTGAAATTCCCATCCCAAAGGATCACGGCGGCAAGCTAGATATCTGCTGTAAGGCCATCGATTCCTCCCACAATGTCCAGCCAGATACAATGAAAGGTATCTGGAATGTCAGGGGGCTACTCAATACAGCCTGGCACCGCATCCATGTTGGTGTTGTTCAAGAAGAGTGATTAATCTGCCAACTCTGCAGATACATGCAGCATTGGATTTTGTTGGTTTGGGTAAAGAACCGCAGAAGATTGCCTCCACCTCTTCAATTGTAATCATTCAAAGGAAGCTTTCAATTTTATTGTAAAAAAAGTACAGTAAACTCCGGCCAAGTGGACATCGTACAACTCGTCAAATCACTCAAGTCGGTCGTCTAACTAAAGTCCCAATTGTCTGTAATGCATTTCCATTAAATTTTTTATTTCTAAGTCGGCTTTTATAAGTCGCCACATCGCTCAAGTCGTCGTGTTACTCTCGGTCCCCTTTCCATAAAAAGCGTAACAAAATCCTTTGTGTAAGTCGGCATTAAAAAAATCACGCATTGGCATCGACTTCCTGCACTGCAGTTGGCAAGAAGTGTCGAGTGAAAAGTAGTTTGGCCGGCACAGCCCAGTTGATCGCTGCATGCATGCATTGGTGTTGCTGAACAGCCAAGCCAAGGGGTTTTACTACTGCACTGCATCATGCTCTGTCCATTTTGGGGGTCGTCTTATTGCATGATACAGTGATGCATTCAATACCGCACATGCATTTAATTCGTAACATGTACACGTACATAGTATGTGCATGTACAATGTATTACTATTTTGTACATGTGATGATAAAATTCGAGGATTGATTTGCTGGAATCAACTCAAGCATTAAGGAGATAAACCAGGGTAAATCGAAGCCAATTAGTGCAATGAAATCTATGTGCAAAATGGCCATTCATGTAAGTCAGCAAAATGACGACTTACAGCAGATGTCGGCATTCGCCTAAGTCGTCACAAATTTCCGGGTCCCGAGAGTGCCAACTTGGCCAAAGTTTACTGTAAATACATGTAGTGAATTTTGCTGGATTGAACTGGTTGACTTTTGATTGTTGCTTCAAGACTACACATGTAGTTTAGAAAGCCATTGACAATTACAAAATGGGTAAACCATATAAGCCAATATAGTTCATGTTCAATGTACAACTGAAGAGAATGTGTTGTTTAATCTTACATATTAATATCATGAAGGCAGCAATCGTAGTACTAATGTTAAATTGTACTAATGTTAAAGTGTTTCCTAAAACAAGTACGTAGAAGTAGACGGCTACGAAAAATCCACCTTAATCCTCCTATTGGGAAGTCGATATTCAGAGTAATATGTAAAACCCTGTTGGTCAGTTTCAGGTGACGAGATAAGAAGTGTTAAAGTAAATGTGTCACACACAGAGTCACTGCACAAATAATGTGGAGAGCAGTTAAGCGTGACCGAATCTGCCTGCTTGCCCAGAGCTTAACCCCACCAAAATAGTCGCTCGTTGCCTGGTTTGTGGCGGAGGCGCCCACTTTGCAGTCGAGTCACCCGTGTTTGCGGTCTCAAATCCATCCAAAATACTGTGAGACATGATTTTGTGCATGACATACTGGTGACTGCTCTATGTTCCGACACCCCTATGTTCCGACAACCTAGATTGTGTTACTCCCGGTTAGGGTTAGGGTTAGGAATAGGAATATGTGCAGTCGGAACATAGGGGTGTCGGAACATAGAGGTGTAACCGACATACTGGAGATTTGTGGTTTCAGGATTCGTGTTGATATTGCATCAATAAGATGAATTCTTGTTCCGCGAGTATTAACCCTAACCATCCTGAATCTATCAAAACCCATACCCCTGTTTTGGAGTATTTCGGTGGATTCAGGATACCTCCATATTGAAAACACGGGGATTTTGATGGATTGAGGATTGTCAGCCTATTGGTACTGGGGGATTCTGATGGATTCAGGATACCTACCGTACATACTGAGCACTCACCGACTCCAAAATTGTTGTGCATGACACAATAGGTGGATTTGGCGGATGCAGGATACTTTCTAGTAAAGATACCAAGGGGTCAGGCTTTTTAAGCCTAAATTCTCAGTCCTGATTTTCCATTTGTAGAGATACATGCATGCATGTAACCAAATCACAATATCAGAAAATCTACATTTCTATTTTTCCATTTTTAATATAAAGTTCATGCTTTCATGATGTTTTAAGATGAGTAGGGGAGAAAGATGTAAAATATGCACCAAAATGGAATACAGAATTGCCGATTGTTGCACTGCATGTTCGTACATTTAGAAAAATGGTGGTATTCCTGAATGATTAGTACACTTTGTTTGGGGATTTTAAGTACTATGAATGATTATGATATAACGTATGAGTTGATTTAAACTTCTAAAAGGTGCTTTTGTACTAATAGTACAAATGCTAATGTACTAATACATGTAGTATTTAGTTCCCGACAAATGCTCTTTTGGGCCAGATTTTGAGATTGAGGTTAAACAGCACTAGCTTAGAAAACTACTCCTGTACTGTATTTGTCATGAGTTCGCCTCAGATTAATATGTAATCTTCCAATAAACTGCAACTTTTCGATCCACCGTGCAAAAGAGTGCTGTTTACAGTCAGATGTGTCAGTTTTTTTAGCCTTTTAAACTTTTATCATGAGACTTCGTCCAATTATTGCTTTGAATACTACCCATTTGAAGGGTATTGGAATTATCAACTCACATCATGAGATTGTACAGCAGCAGGGTTCATTTTAAGATAATTTCCAGATTGTTTTAGTTTTAAAAATATACATGTATTTCTAAACTGTATTTCTAACACAGTACTTGAAGTTTTATCCAAATCTATCTGATTGACTTTGCAAGAGATATTTTTTTGTGATAACCTTTTTTGTGCCAGATTTTGTTTGCCAAGTCGGGCGATTAATGCAGTGCGCCACCAAGAGTTTGCCATGGAGAGTCCATTTTTCAAGTTTACGGTCGACAAAACATGGCCCATTTGAATAAGTGTCGGTAGACAACGTGCGCTAATATGTCATAGATTTGGGCATAGCATTCTGCCGCCTAACAAAAAACACCATATTGATAACAAGAAAAGAAAAGGCAAACATATCCTCGAATCATACGCTTACGAAACCACTGACCGAAAAAACTAACAATTTCAAATGTCCTGTGCTGTGGATTTGTCGACCATCTCCCACAATGCACTGGGAAAAATGAACTCTCCGTGGCAAACTCTTTGTGAATCGCCCGAATTAAGATCCTTTTACTGAACCAAGGAGTTTGAGATATGATTTTGTTTTTTGACATTGTGACTTTACATGCTTTACGGATAAGTGGAATAAAATTGTGAATATTTGTATTGTCTGTACTGTAACTACCTGCATATGTTAAAAAAAAATTGTTTTCTGAATTATGAATATAAACATGTTCCCGATGATAAATTGCAGTGTTGTAGGTCTCGAGACCGGTCTCGGTCTCGAGACCGGTCTCGAGACCACTTTTTGCTGGTCTCGGTCTCGGTCTCGGAAGCTGTGGTCTCGGTCTTGGTCTCGGTCTCGGTCCCCTTTGGTCTCGATATTTTGGCTGGTCTCGGGTCGAGACCGGCAATATGTAGCTTTTACAGCTCGATCGATTACTTTGTGTTCACTTCGTTCAGTACCGTTGATAGTTAAAACATTTGCTAGCCCGTAGATCAAGCTTGTTATATATCGTGGTCGGTTTGGACTCGACTGCACGTTGGAAAGTCCCAAAAGTAAAGCTGCAGCAGTACCAGTCACTGAACGATTTGGAACAAGTTCGGCAATTATCTGTTGTGTCGGGCACATAAAGCAAAGTATAAACTTGTAACAATTTATGCAATAAGGGCCTGCCATTTTCGGGGATTGTGTAGTTAAGCCCACCCCTGTGGGCGTAATCACTTGCATTTTGTATTCTGATAATAAATGAGGTGCTTCAAATTAGTTATATTTTCGACCCCACACAATGTTCTCTTTAATTTGGGACAGTATTTTGAAGAAAAAGTAAATTTTCCTACCTGATTTTCCAGCATTGAACTCACACACTCTTACCAGTTACCACTCACTGTTGCCATGAGAGTGTATGATGAGACCCCATTTTCTGGCTGCTCATTTTGAAGTACCCCATTATTCCTCAAAAATTAAAATCCCGTTCAGAAAAAAAATAAAAATCCATATCTGGCACATTCTGGCTACCACCTCGCAACTTGTGGGTCTACATGTACAAGTCCACATTCTATGACAGAAATTTTAAAATTAATTCAACATTTTCTAGCTCCCATTTTTTAAAATCAAGTACACAAGTCTTGTTAGAAGTTAAGTCCTATATTTATTTTAGGAAAAAAAAGGCACAATGTAAAATTAAAATTGCATCTTTAAATATCCGTTAGAAGTCATAGCTGAAACCAAGGGGTGACTGTGGAGTTTAGGATCCGAGTTCCTATAACAGATGAAACATCTGCCTTTAACTTTTTACTTTTGTCACGATTGGGTGCAGACAACATGCCAAAGCCCATATTTCTTAAGTGTAACTACTTTTTGCTCAAGTAAGGTGTCATGTATCAATTTGTCAACACTGCCACTGGTCAAAATTTTGGTCTTATCTTTGTGAATATAAAGGTTACAACTTTCAACTATAATAACGTGTCTTGTTTTTTTATTTCGACTATTGTTATTTATTATCAGCGGTCTCGGTCTCGGTCTCGGACCATATTTGTCTCGGTCTCGGTCCGCCTTGAAGGGGCTGGTCTCGGTCTCGGTCTCGAATTTTCAGGTCTCGGTCTTGGTCTCGGTCTCGGACTATCCGGTCTCGACTACAACACTGATAAATTGCTTATTATCTTTTGAAAAGATATAAAGTCATATTTATGTAATACGTGGTGTTTGCTAGCAAATTTTAGTATTCAAAAGGCACACTAATAAGATAGTTCCTTCAATTTTTTTGACAAATTTTCTGAAATAATTGTTTTACTCTTTCTTTAAAATGCAAAAACATGTATGAAAATAGTGTGTACATCTACATGCATCATTTGGAGCAATAAATGAATATATTTTAATCGAGGAACCGTTGTTTTGTACTGATTATGTAATACAATAATTTAATTATTATTACAGAGTAACCCTGTATCCCCCATATTTGCATTGATCATTCTCAAGGAAACCATCCATGCATTTAGTCTTTATAATCGGAGGCAAAGCTTTGAAAACTAGTGAGTTGTGGTCTCAAAACTTAAGACATTAGGGTGTGAAATCTCAGCTTACTTTAAAGTTGATTTCAGCAGTTTTTGTTTTGGATTTCAGCTTTTTTCCCCTCACTTGCTGTGTGCAAAAGTATAGGAGATTTCCAAAGTTCAGCTTTATTTTTTACACCTTTTTCAGGTGTTTTCAGCTCTTTTTATCATCAGGCCTTGACCTTAAGCTGTTTTTTCAACTAGCCCACCGGGCTAGTTAACCAAGTGTCACTCACACCCTGTACTCCGATCAGGGGGAAAACTTTGCCCCATTCGGAACATATTTTATCATTCATCATCATCAACCTGTATCGTCCCACTGCTGGGCAAAGGCTTCTCCCATATTACGCCATGTCTCTCTGTCTCCGATATTTCTCTTCGAATTCCAGGCTGTTGTGCCTGTTTCCGACACCAACATATCTCTCCATCTGATGGGAACTATCGCTGATGGATTCTAGAATAGGTCTCCCTCTTTTCCGTTTACCATAAATAAGTGCTTGCCATTCTGTTGTAAGTCAGCTCCATCTTTCATCCTCTTTTCTTGCCAGGTGTCCTGCCCATCTCCATTTATTCCTCGTTGCTGTTACCATCACATCATTTCCTTTTGTCAGGTATCTGATCCGATCCCTCCTACTTTAACCAGTCAATCTTTCCATACTGCTTTGGGAAGTTTAAAGTTTCCTCTCCATTTCTTTGCTCAGAGTGAGTCCAATTAAGTGTGTACTTGCATATGTCATTGCAGGCAATCTTTGGGATGGATTTTCCTGTCGGAATGTCGCGGTGTCTTAAGGCTGTCCATCCTGCTTGTGTTCTCTTGATTTCCTGCATTTGATTCCCTTCTGGCCAAATCCCTGGACCAAAATAAATATATTTTTATTTAGTTACTTGTACTTCTTCTTTTTAAATCTAATTACTTCTTCTTCATCGTTTGAAATAGTTTATTAGGTCCTTTTTCTTTCTTTTTTTTTTTTTTTTAGCTTTTGGAACCCCAAGGCCGTGTCCGAAACGGGCTTCCAGAGCTACGGCTACGTCTATTGTCAGCGCGTCCCCGCGTATTTCTAATGGAGCGAAGACCTAGACCTAGCTCTAGACAACAGATTCGGATGCAGCCCAACTTTAATGCTCACCGTGGAACTGTATCGCTGATTGGTTCGTCGGAAATGAGCAACGGGCGAGGCGCGCGAGCGACTAGGAAAAGTTTTTAAACCGCCTCATGTCATGTGGTTCCGGGCTTAGAGCGCCTGACTCGACTCGTGATTAGCAGAGTGACCGTTTTAGCCGATTTTCGGCTAACTTTCACAGATTTTTTGTTAAAAAAACGAGTTTGACAGAAAATTTGACAGAATGGATTTTTTTTGCAGATTTTTGGCAAAATTCTGCAAAAATAGATATTTGACAGAAAAACATAGCAAATAAAAAAAATATGGTACATTTGTTTAAAAAAAACTTTAATCTTTTCAAACAAACCCTTGTATAATGCAACAGGTTGGCTAGCTACATGCTGAGGTTCACTGGGAATCGAAATTGTCGTGGTTAACGCAACCGCATTTTAATTTTACGTAATTTCATAACATATTTATGTGAATATAGATTGTTGATAATGTAATTTGAAACTTAATGAAGGCATTACTACAAAATCTGCATGTGATTTTAAGTGATATACTGTGTACGTGTACATGTATTTCGAGTAATTCTGGGGAATTTGGCAGATTTTTGATGAATCTGACGGATTTTTGAATTGCATTTAGCAGAATTTGGCAATAACCTTACGGTCACCCTGATGCAGATACACTATCTACACACACATGACACAGTCACAGTGCAACTTCGCAGGCTGCAAACATGGCTCTAAATTTGCTGCATACTACACGTTTTGCATTTGGTGGATGGTTTCTACCGATACTTGCTGGTAAGTTGAACCATATTTGTTGGGAATGTTAATAACAGGATTTTTCGTGTTCCTTGCTCTAGAGTAGACTACGGTTTAGCCTAAGTTAGGGCATGGCCAAGCTTCCGCCTTGCTTTTAGCTTTTGTTGTTGTTTGCTAATATTTACCGGGCGGGCGCGGGCGCGCTGCGCGGACACCGGTGATATTATTAAATCTTTTTTTATGGAGTGTTGAATGGTAACCAGTGGCGGTGCCAGACTCTACAATTCAGTTTGGGGAAACTGGATCTGAGAAACATTTTCAATTTTGTTAGAAAACTGAAAATATTTTTGACTCCACATAGACTTCATAATATGAATTCCTTTGGGCATTGGGGAACTAACCCACCGGGCCGGTTTTTATGTGCAACCTCTATGACTGAGAGAACACGGCGAAAAATCATTAAAAACTGGCCCTTTTCTCACATCTGTCACCACCACTTCATTATTCGACAGAGTACCTTAGATCTTACTACAGTATGACCCTAACAAACTACTCTTTCAGAAAATGAAAGAAAAACTGAATAAAACTCTTGAGTTTCACTCGTGTATTGATGTTAAACACTGCATTTTTAGTCAAAAATCACCCCGTTTTGTGTGTAAACTACGCGTTTAACCAAGAACTGGTCCATTAACATCATCACAACGTTAAATAGCGCCACCTGGGAGCTAAGATCTCTTGAGTCATTTTTCTTCGTCTCGTCAGCTTTCCAACAGTATAACCCTTATTGTGATTGGTTGAGGTTTAGACTCGCGTGTGTTCATTTACAAAAGAATTGATTATCTCAAACTCCAATAAAATTTGCTGTACGTTGCTCACGGCTCAGCGCGTACGGTCTGTTTATTGTACACGTGCTAGGCAGCGCTAGTGTATATACACCACACACACACAGCACGGGAGCTCTTATCTCTCTGTGTCCAAGGTCATCTGGCTGTGCGCTTTGGCCGGTTTACATGGGGTCCTTTTGACCGCAAAGGATTTGATATGTTGCACAACCACTGATGTAGTGGCGTCTGGACACTTTCCAAAAACATTTACACGTATAATTTAATAGGCCAAAAAAAGCGAAATAGTTCTGCTTCCGGTTTCCCTACCTACCTATTCTAGCCCCTACCCTAATTTTTTATTGGAAAAATGAGAAAAAACACCCAAAACCATCAATTTCTACCTTTTACCCTTGACTACACGCAGACGCCTCCATATGATCGTACACAAAAATAATTTGCAAAAAAAAAAAAAAATTCCCTACCTACCTACCCTATTTTCAAATGCCATGTAATCGGAAGCAGAACTATTTTTTTTTTTGGCCTTATCCTAATAGCCATAGTGCCCCTCCCCCCCATTGAGTTGCAGTATGTCGCGTAGCTATGATATTTCAGTCAATCCATTTTCTAAAATCAGTATTTTATTTCCCTTTTTTGACAGTTCTGCTTGTCAGCCTTGTACCCGTTTCCAATGGTAAATCACTGTTGAAACGTCCCAACTATGATCTGCAGAAAATCAAGGAAGAAATTGCCAGCTATAAAGGTACGCTAAATAAGGATAATTAAAAGAGGCTTTGTCATTACATCGGTATGTACTTTTGTGCATTTCCAGTTTAAGATTTGAAGAGGTATTTAAATCCTGTAGCCTGCGGATAAACTAAGCATTGTTTTGTGATTTGTCTTTGTAGATGTTGCCAACAAAATCATGGACTTCGTTGTGAACGGCAGCGCAAAAGGACAAACATACAACAGACTGGCGCTCTTCACTGACACATTTGGGAACCGTCTTGTAGGCACCCAGAATCTTGAGAACTCCATAGGTAAGAAAGTCTGATGCCAGATTCACCTTGATCACTGATGTTTGATTATTTTCATCCATGAGTGACTTATTTCCCAAACTTGCACTAAGGCCAAAAAAAATAAGTCTCCGGTTTCTGGTATGGAGCTTGTCCAAAAAGTGGTGCGGCGACGCGGCTTTTTTTTTTTTTTACCTGACTTTTTTGCTTCAAATGTCGGCTGATGACTGCAAATGGTGCCCGACTAAACTTAGTGCAAATATATGGGAGTCAAGAGAGGCCACATAAAGCTTATTCTCGATCATAACCCCATCTAAAAACACGTTAAAATTGTGCAGTAGCAGGATTCCAGTCAAACCAGTGAGTTTGGCGGTTTTGAGACATCATCTTTCATTGAAAAAAACCTTTTTCATTTTGCCGACGCACATGGCTACGGCGACGCGCGCGCATACCAGAAACCGGAGACTTTTTTGGGGGGGCCTAATATAGACCTTATAATATATTCACGAGGGAGCCATTTTTTATTGTGTTCCCAGAATCTATTTTATAAATTGTAAACTGTTGAATTTATAACTCTGGTTCTTTTCGGAACAATTCTCTTAGTTCAAAAAATGTCCACATGGTGTTTCTGCAAACCTTTCAATACTATCTCCATCATGCAAAACCTAAAAAAAAAAAACCTGTTGAATGCGATAGTGCCAGACTATTTTATGTTTGGCGAGTGCGTCCCAAGCCGCACTTTCTTTTTTTTGGAAAATGTGGCTTAAACATTAGGGTATGTTTAATTACATTTTCAAATTTTTCATCAGAGCAGACTGGTATTAATTTGTAATTAACTTCATTGCTTTTATTTCTACTCGCGAGTCCAAAAATGAAGACTTTACCTCGCTTTTAATTTTATGTGGTCGACTCGTGAATAAAGTATATATGTTTAAAAGTCATTTTGCAAATTAAGAATAATTATATATTTTGTGGTAGTATTATCATTTTTTTTAATATCAAGATGCAGAAAGAGTTGCAGTCATGAACTGACATATTTATTGAAATAATAAAGAAAGGTGAGTATAACATACCATTTTGTTTTGTCTGTTTGCTCCAAATCAGATTTTATGCTGGATCAGCTTAAAAAGGACGGCTTAGATAATGTTCATGGTGAAAATGTAACGGTAAGTATGAATAAATTTCAAACAACTCAAACACTATGTACATTTGTAAAATTCTTTTGATGTGGATAGAAAATGAACGTTTGGGGGATTTTGAATGTTATTATGAGTTTCCAGAATTTAGAAAATTGGAACAAAAAATGTTGAGGAAAAATGTTATCAACCGACACATTTACATACAAATAACTTCATGAAGTAATGTGGTGTCGAGATTCTCTTCGTATGAAACAATAGCAGTAGGTATAATATTTTGGAGGAATATTTTGAAGAAATTGGAAACAGCAAGTACGGTTTAAAAGAAATTATTTGATTCTCCATACCATCAGGTTCCCAACTGGGTTCGAGGCAATGAATCAGCCATGCTGCTTGAACCGCGGAGATATAATCTGATCATGCTGGGACTAGGCAGCAGTGTTGGTACTCCTCCTGAAGGTAATCGAGACAACTTTCACCCCTTTTAGCTGAGCAGGCAGTGTGTCCAATTAAATATATATTTGTACCTTTTATACACACATTATTTTCCCAGTGTACAAAAGAAATCATTCTTGGTTTTACTGTGTGATCCTGATAACAAATCAAATACCAAAATTCAGCCAACATTTATACTGAAATATCTTTTTCTGGCATCTTACATGTTAAAGTTGCCAATTTCCCATAGATTTGTACAGAAAACAAGTTCATTTTTGCAACCCAAATTTGTAAAAAAAATACCTATTAGTAATGTTTGCAGTCATCAAACAGTCCAAAGCCTTACCCTACCCACAATGTAGTCTTGGCCCAAGACACTAGTGGTCGATGGTGGATCGTGCATGCATGTATCTAACGTCATGATTAGACCAGCATGCCTGCTCACACTAACGTCTTGGGAATCCTGTAGTAGCCGTTCAACTTTTTCTTTTTTTTCTCCTAGGGAACCAATCAGTGATCGCAAAATGGTTTATACATGTAGTCAGTCGCATGCACTCGCGCGACGGTTGTAAACATACACGCTACGTGCAGTGATCAAGCATCGCTATGTAACGCAGTGATACCCCCGCATGAGCGACTACCAGTATCAAATGGTAGTCAGGTTGGTGTAGCGATACTTTCCTCGCCTTCCACCGCTGTGTCCCGGGTTCGAATCCTGCCTGGGCCAATATGTGGATTGGGTTTTCAGTCCCTACCTGATTCCGTGGGTTTTCCTCAGAATACTCTTCTGGGCTTTTTCCTCCCATCTCTAAAACTGTAATTTCTTCACATTGTCTTCTCTTTACTGGGCCCCATGGGAGATCAGTGGATTTACACTGAATGGGCTACCCAGTTAAAATAAGAAATAAAATAAATAAAATGGGATACTGCCGTTTTCTTTGAAGTTATTTATATTTACACCAACAGTCTAATTTACATAAAACAGCCATGCCCTCATTGATGCAAGATTCCCAAGACTTATAGTGCGAGAAGGTAAAACACCAATATAACAAGGGCGCTCTACAACAATGCAACCATTGCTATCGATCACTAACATCTTGGGCCAAGAGCTATACCCTACCATGCTAAGGTCATTTTGAGGGCAGCATATAACACACCAGGCAAGGTACCAGGCAGTGCAGGGCAACATGTTAAATGTATCTTGTAATGTTTCTAGATGATTTCTCGTCTGAGCTGTCTGCGTGTGTGGACGCTGCGAATGAAAGGGTGCAACATTTTAAAACAGCACATTCCATCTTATGAATAGTATGGAAAGTGTAAAGTAACTTCTTTGTCATATTGAATGTCAATATTTGATTTAAAGTCACACTCCTCAAGACCTTGCTGATTGGTTCAAATCAAAACCGTACGCAAATAATAAAACCAATTGAAAATTCTCCTTTTCCAGGCATCACAGCTGAAGCCATTGTGGTTAGTTCATTTGATGAACTGACAAATCGGTCCAGTGAGGTAAGCCTTTCGTTCATCTGACATGCCACATTTATATGTGTTTATTTGCTCAATCTGTAAGATGCTGCATGTACATGACCAACACAAGTATCTTTAGAAGCAAGAAGATAATCCTTTGCTGGGAATTAGCCATAATTCGTAGTTGATTCTTTTTCACCAGGACTTATCAGGAAAATTCTATCAGAGATTTTGGTCACCATCCGGTCGCCTTTTTCAATGTGACGTTATTGTCCAGTTTCTTTGTTTATTCACAGGTCCCTGGTAAGATTGTTGTTTTCAACCAGCCGTGGGTGAGCTACCCTGTATCTGTTGCCTACAGGGACTTTGCCGCTGTTCACACTGCTCAGCTGGGTGGCGTGGCTAGTCTGGTTCGCTCCATTGCTGGCTTCTCCATTCACAGCCCTCACACAGGATGGCAGGTAGGGCCAATCTTGCGTCCAAGTCCTATATTGGCAGAATCATAGGCTGATCATGTAGAATGTCCAGGAGTTTTCAGGGGTGCCAATCTTGCGTCCAAGTCCCATATTGGCAGAATCAAAGGCCGACATGTAGAATGTCCAGGAGTTTTTAGGGGGAAAGGGGGGATGTCCGAGACGTCAGTTTAGATTCTGAGACTTTAGGGTAGATATGACCAGTATTTTAAAGTTTTGCTCGAGGTTTACAAGGTTTACAGGGTTTTACTGGATATCTCCGTGTCAACCTCCAGCTACCACTGGTTCAACTTTGCATCTTTGCTTCATTAAGACTTAAACTTTTCTTTCATTGGATTCCATGCTAAAGTACTCTTGCTTGACAAGGATTATTTTTAATCTAAATCCTACCGATGCTCCAGATGAATTGAAAAACAGTTTCCCACTTAAATTTGTACAGAATGTGGTTGACAAGAAACCATAAAATTCCATCCACGGAAAAATTCAACTGAGGCATGTTCAAAAGAGACGGGATTGTTTTTCAAATGGCCTCCTAATGAGTGAATATTTAAAAATTGATCTATGATGACGGTGAAATTTGAAGTTTCACAATCAGCCTAGATGTGTGAACCATGGTGAGCTTGACATTGAAATCCTGTAGATTTCTTCATACCTATTAGCATTAACCCTAACTCCCTAGGGGGTGTGCAAAATCGTATTGAAATTGGAGGAAATTTTACCAAAAAAAACACTTTAATTCCGTGTGTTTGCTATGTATACACGCAGGACTATTCAGACAAGGTTAAGAAGATTCCAACTGCATGCATAGCTGTAGAAGATGCAGAGATGTTGGCAAGAATGGCAGCAAGAGGTGAAAACACAAATCTAGTTCAGCCATTACTCTAAGCATTAAATCTCCTGCTATTTAAACAGTCACAGACAGTCAAAATGTCCATTCACTTCACCTGCTGTAGTTTTAAAACAGGCTAGTCACCAGCAGTCAAATCATATGTCAAGCAAGCACTGTGACTAGTCAAACTCAGTCAACAGACCATGAACAGACAAAGCAGGCAACTGTTGTGGGCACAGCTGGCTAAATACCCCAAGCCCGCGGGAACGGGGGTGCTGTGGGTGCTACAGCACCCCCAACTTTTTGTATTGGGGTGCTGAAATATGCTTCAGCACCCCCTACTCCCGGGTAAAATGTGTTCCAGCCAGCAGTGTTCTATGACGTTGATATTGCGCCGCTACGCTATGCATTATGCTTGCTCTACAAATATCACCTTCGTTTTGTTCGTTTCTAGTTTTGCCGCGGCTAAGCGCGGCGCTTCGAACGTCTAGCATAAAGTAACACTGTAAAATATCCAGAAGAGGTATTTTCGAAATCTTCAGGCAGTGCAGAATCTAATGTATCTAAATCATGACATGTCTATGATATTTCTGCCACGATGGAAGCTTTGACCCGAAAGCAATAACCTCGGTCATGACAATGGTGGCAAAGTTGATTTATGCTTGCCAGGATTTTTTTCATTCGATCTTTCAATAGGAGCAAAAGTTCATACCTTTTCCCAAAGGTTTTTCTTTTCATTTAAAAGCTTCATTGACGTTGCTAGCATTCTGTTCTCAACATTAACAAATAGCAAGGTTCACACACATTCCCAACCTAATAGAAGTGGGAGCGGCTTTCATTGAAACTAGTCAAGCCAATTCCAGTGTAGTTTCGTTTTAATAAAAAAGCTATTCAAGTTTTACCCTCTGCAAAGTTTTTTTTTTCTCATAAACTCAGTAGACCGATAAATCCTTGCCTAGCCCCAAACTTGCACTTTTATATTTGTCAATCCCTGTAACAAACAAATAATGCTGCAAATATATCGAGAGCTACAGGCCTATGTGATTATTTTCATGAACAGAAATTCATCCGCTTCCAGTGGAACCATGTTGTTTTAACTTGAAACAAAAAACATCCTTTCGGATTTTATAAGTTTAAGTATATACTTCAGTATATTTTCATCAAAGTGCATCCAGAATCCAACATTTTCCGGGGCCTTAAAGCAGGCACCTGGCCCTGTGGCCCCACGCCGTAAGGGCTCGGAAAATAAAACAAAACATACACGACAGAATTTACTAAATGTAAGAAAGCAGCCTTGCAACAATAATATCTACATGCGATGTCATGCATAATGATACAATTCTTTTTCCAGAATTAAATGGAACAAAAAAATGGAGATAAAAATACAGGGTTCTCGACTTTTCAGTACAGTAGAAACGTTATAAGAGCAACAGCATATTCTAAACAAAAAAGTGAAATAAATTGTCTTTATAATCTCAAAAAAAAACTTTTGCTAAAAAAAGTCATATGAAAGAGGCCAGGAATCACCTAAGATTGCACCACAGAGCATCCATATTCCAAAACTTTTAGGGGCCCTTTAAGCTACGCCGTAAGGGCTTTGCGCTCCGCGTTCGCATTAATTTTGTCTGTCCTCTAGAAATTCCAGCACCCCCTGGCAAAAGTTTTTTCCAGCGGGCTTGAAATACCCACAGCCAAAGCAGAGCTGTATTGATTTGTATAAACAGTCACGGCCAGTCAATCCTGCCTTATGTAGGCTGGGAATTCTTAACTGTTGAAAACAATCACTTGATTGATTTTGACTGAAAGGACTACTTGGCACATAATCATGTTTGCATAGGAGGATTAAAAATAGGCAGGAAAGGGATGCAGAAGATATTTGATTTTTCACTATCTTATTTTTTTTTCTTCAAATTTTTGAAAAACGTACAGAATGTGAGAAAATTTGTTGAGACACCTCAAGAAGTTTGGAAATTATGGCACATTTGAAGGAAATTTTTTCCATTAAATGTGTACTGTTGATGTTTTTCTTTTAGCTCACCTTGTAAAATAGATTCCATTTTTAAATTGCCGTTTTTGTAGCCGAAAAAAAAAACAGACCCAAAATATTTTTTTCATTCGGTAAAATGTTTGATTTGAAATTAGTTTTAATCCTGTTCTTATTATTTATACATGTATGTCACAGGAACAAAGATTGTGATACAGCTCAAGATGCAAGCAAAGACGCTACCTCAATCCATATCCCGTAACACTGTTGCTGAAGTAGCGGGCAGCGTGCATCCTGAACAAGTGTGTGGATTTTACTTGTCTTTACACAAAACAATTTTCCCTACACGTGTGTGTGTCTGTGCACTTTTTGTTGTATGCAGTGGGGGAAAAGGCCAGATAGAGGACATATTTGGGGGAATGGTGCCTTTGATGATACAAGCATGGCATTTGGCACACAGTTAGAGTATGTCAAAGACATTTGGCTAAAGAGCCATCGCAGATTTGATGTGTGAATAACAAGCAGTTTTCAAATCTTTCAAAATGGCTGTCATTGCTTGTTATTCTACCTATATTTTTTCAATGGACAAATCTGTGATGGCCCTGAAGCCAAATAACTTTCTCATGATATACTAGTGTCGGTGTGAAAAAAAGGCCATGCTTGTATCATCAAAAGCACCATCCCATCACCTATCTGCCGTACTAATATGTTTTAAGACTGTAATACTTTGTTAGTTGTGAAAGGGCAATGCTTTTGCACCCTTCCGGTGTCTGACATCTGGATTTCCTTTCCCTGTCACACACAATGTGTCCCCTGCCTCCTCACCTACAATGTAGGACACTCGGACATCATCAGCAAAATGTACAGTTTTTAATCAGTTATTTATGAAATTTAGAAATACACTACTGATAATTCAATTAATTGGGAGGGAGTACTCAACCAAACCAATTCTGAGAACCTAATTACTGGCAAAGGCATTGCAGCAAAGGGCAAATGCCAATAGCAAAAATAAAGTGGATGTGCCACAAGCTTCAAAGTCAAAGGTTTTGTCTCACAATTTTTTTGTCAATATTTTATACACTTTCCAAATTTCACATTTCAGGCATGCAACTTTTCCTCGGATCCACTGATTTCCTCGTTTTTTAATTTTTCACGAATGCCATTACAAATGGAAAAATACTGTACAAAATATTGCGTGGTTCGGAGTTTCCTCGTTTTTTTCTACATTCCCAGTTGCATTCCTGACACTTTGTGTAAATCTTGAGGATTTTTTGGAAACATAAATTTGGGAACAGTTCACTTGAAGGTGAGCTAGCTTCCAAAGCAGCGGTCAAACTTTTGCTCTTGATTGGTTGAGGAAGTTGCTCAGTAGTCTGTCTAGAACGTAGCTGGTTGTTATCAATTGATGTTTTTACCCCCTTGCTGTTACCAGGTTGTGTTGGTGTCAGGACATCTGGACAGTTGGGATGTAGGCCAGGGGGCTATGGATGATGGGGGCGGGGCCTTCATCTCTTGGCAGGTGACTTCATACATATTCATGATCAATTTGAGATTTTACATTGAAGTACTCATAGCCCAAGGTGTAACAGAATTGCTTACGGTCTGACGGTGGCTTTATGGTGTTTGCTTTGAGTTAAATCCTTCAAGAAAATCACAACTTTCCAATGTACATGCACTGAGTAACACACTGAGTATACAGTGTTTTAAATACGTCGGTGAAGGGCAAAACCTAATTTGAATTAATGTACATGTAGATGTACTCTTGTAACTGACCAGGATTTGTGTGATATATATGTTTTCTTCAAGTTGACAAAAAAAATGTTTTTTTTCTTGAGAAAGACATGACTTAATTGATTATATTTTTTGAGGAGTCTCATCCAAATAAATAACCTCCCTCTTCTGACTTGGTTTGTAACAGATAAGAGTTAAAAATTAAAGGTTTTCGAATTAGATTCAACAGTTCAGATAATTCACCAGTTTGTTTGGTGTTTTGTGAGAGATTAAAAGATTTGCAAAAGAAATATTACAAAATTTGCCTCTGTTATTAGGAATTGCTCTTTTGGTGTATTACATTGTTCACAAAGAAGAATTTGGTATCTCAAGGATTAATCCAGTTTTGTAATCCAGCTGTGCTGCCTGTGCATTATCGTTACTCTCCTTTTATGGCAGGCTTTATCAGTTGTCAGGCAACTGGGCCTGAGACCCAAGAGGACCATGCGTATGGTCATGTGGACTGGGGAAGAAGTCGGAGGAGTAGGATCACTTCAGTACTATCAACGACACAAGGTACCAGACTTACTCAGTATCATCAACATGAAATTCAACCTTGTTTCCACAAGTACGATCTTGCTGCGCCTTGTTGGTTCCCATCATGCCTTGCGCAATCTTAACCCCTGGAATTGTGTAATTTAAATGTGCCAAACATTTTCATTAGGACTGCAGTCGATGTATCTAACGTGCAACGCAGTGCTTAAAATTTTGAAAGTTTGTTTTTGTAGAATCAATCCTTTCAAACATGAGATTTAGACGTCGCGTTATTTAGCAAGGATTTATATTAAATGTACGTACCTCTGTCATCCCTTTGCAACACAAGATACCGGTACAGATAGTTTTTAGGGGGGCAAAAAACGAGGCTTCCATAATCCATATCGTATAAGCATCTCGCAGTTCGTACGTGACGTGCAGTCTTCGAAATTCGCGCGCAGCACGCTCTGAATAGCCGGTCAGCGTCGTTTACGTATTCCTCATGGCCAGGGGTTATTGAAGGAACGCGCACGCGCCCATGGAGTCAAGGCTGCATGAAATTGGTGCACAACCATCTAATTGTTACTGTGTTTTTTGTAAAAAGAGGATAGAAATCTTGATCAGAATGATTTCTATTAATAGAGTTTGTGCAATAATAGAGATACAGAGTGATGAAAGATGCTCGGGGGGGGGGGGGGGGGGGGGGGGGGCTTTGCCCTAGTGCACCCCCACTTAAGGGCATTCCTCTTCAAGTTACTAGTTAAATACTAGTTAATGCACATTCAGATGAACTGCTTGGGCACATTGGCAGTACCGGTATATAGTGATAAGAACGTGAACTGATCTGCCGGGGTCAATTTCACGGCGCTGCTTAGCACAAAAATTTGCTTAGCACAAAAAAGACTGGCTTATAAATGGCTTATAAAAGCACGTTACCCGGCAGCCAAAACTCCACGTAATGTATATTGCTTGCGTGATTATATTGCGCGATTAGTATTCAGCTGTTGTTTGCTTAGCATGAAAATCACATGGAGTTTTGGCTGGTAACCTGCTTTTATAAGCCAGTCTTTTTTTGTGCTAAGCAAATTTTTGAGCTTAGCAGCGCCGTGAAATTGGGCCCTGGTCCATGGCCAGGTCTTAGATCATGTCATCTTTGGGGAGGGGGTTATTGGCAAATGTACAAACTTTGTTGTCTTGCCTCATTAAATAATTCATGTGTATTAAACTTCCATGATTTCAATACAGGCAAATGCAAGCAATTATGACCTAGTGATGGAATCGGACATGGGGACATTCACTCCGTATGGAATTGAAATGAGAGGTAAATTAGCAGTGTGTACCAAAAATACAGATGTAAATAGCATTAAGACCAGCAGCAATTCAGAAAAACAGGGGGGAGATTGGAATTTTGTGCACACTATAACCATCTTTACATATTTTTTTTCATCCGCTTCATTTTGCGCATCCATCGAATTTGTTTCATGGAGCGATTTTGAGCAATGATCGAAACGGACAGGCAACTTATACATTCGTATGAAATGAGGTGTGTGCTACAGTATGTGATCGATTTTTCTCGTCCGTCAAAAAGTATGTTTGCGTAAAGATAAAAAGAACCCACATAATTATGGAAAGGTGACTGATATCCATGCCTCTGTACCTAAATGGGCAGAAGAACTATGGTTTAATGATAGTTGTTGGACTTGCGTCAATCTTTTATTGTCTAGTGGCTACCTTTCACAATGAGTAAGAGTGACGTGTTTTTCATATCAGTGTCCAGAAAAGCTACTTTCGAAGAAAACATGTAAGAGTGCATCGTAACAATTTCTTTTTATTTCCTCTGTCATAGGAAGCAACGACACACTAGAAATACTCAAGAGCATAGTGGAGCTTTTGGGACCAGTGAATGCTACCACTTTCCGTAAGGGAGAGGACGGTCTAGACGTGTCCTACTGGGAGAAAGACGGGGTACCGGGAGGCAGTCTCCTGAACCACAACGAACACTACTTCTGGTTCCATCACTCAGATGGTCAGTATATGATAATTACTATACCTCATGCATATTCATGAGGGACAGTTACATTGCAATTGGTCAGTTCACCATCACCACCTAGTTCTGCTGTGGACCAAGTGTACACGCAGGATTCACGGAGGGTGCAAATACACATCGACTATCACATGTGGGTTGCCTTTGCATTAGCCTACCTGTCGATCAACTATCACACAGGGTGCAGCTAGGTACAGTGCACTCACACGCAGCTTCGCCTCAGGAAATAGTTTGTCAATTCTTCCAACACCTCAGGGAGTTCATATCGACCGTCCACCGGCAAACCATGTTGTACTCAAATAATAATGCAGAATAGGCCTGTAAACCACTTCATCAATATTTGCCTTAATCAGAAATTCTAGCAGCCAATTCACAAGACTATAGGGATAACAGAGACACATTTTTTGTTGCTCCACCATCCCTGAGTAGCCTGGCCTTCAACATTACTGATGGAATGTGTGCAACAGCTAAATGATTTCCCTTTATAACTGTGGTCACAGTTTCATATGGTTGCAATTTTTCCTGATGATGAAACCCAAGAAATATTGTGACGTGTCATTTGTGTTGTACAGGGCGAGTAAAAAAAAAGCGGAACCCAAACGCCCAAAAATATATTTTATATTTTAAAAAAATATGTAGCACCAAAAATAATAGTGACTAGAAAGTCAATTTCAGAACCTATTTTTAGATGAAAAAAATACTTAAATTGCTCAATCCTTTCAAAGAATATCACCATTTAAATGCAATGACCCTAAAACCCGTTTCCTCCCCCCAAAAAAGCAATTTATTGTGTGTTGTGAATGTTTGGAACAACAAAGAAAATGACACAGAATACCTGTTCCAACAATTGTCAACAAGTGTAGTACACAATATCGTTATTAACAACCCTGCTTAGGCAAACAATATGATTTATAAAATCCATTTTTTTTTTTCAAGACGGGCCTTCAAAAGGACTTTGTTTAATATGTTTAACTTTTAAACAGAGGTTTTATCGCTGGTGATGTTTGAAGACAATTGTGACGATTCCTGAAATCGGATTTGTGGACAAAAGAGGTTTTAGGGTCATTGTGTTTAAATGGTGATATACTTTAAAAGGATCGAGCAATTTAAGTAATGTTTTCATCTTTAAGTTGTTTATGAAATAGGCTTTCCAGTTATTATTTTTGGTGCTACAGATTTTTCAAATATGAAATATATTTTTTTTAAGGTTTGGGTTAAGTTCTTATTTTTACTTGCCCTGTACATGTGTTGGTCTTACCCATCAGTTCTTGTACCACATGAAACACCCCATCACTGTATGGGTTCATCAGGGAAAAAAGGTAATTCATTGTAACACAATGTTAGCTAAACGAGTACCAAGTGATGCAACCCACAGCGGCCAGGTAACGTGTGAAAACGGCTTACAGCACCATCAGTGCACCTGGGCCATACCGGTACCTCGAGAGTACCAAAAACGAAAACGTGATCTAATGTGCAAAAATATGCAAAGTAGATGCATGCGCATCAGTGTTTGCAAAACCAGTCTTCGAATGCAAAGCTGTAATACTCGAGTTGCATGAATACAAAATGTCTGGCCGAGTAAAGTGTCCACTAACCAACCCACCCACCCACCCACCCACCAACCAAACCAACATGAGCAGCTCAAGCCCACGGTTCATGTAGGGTGTTTTTCATCTTTTTTGTTTTTGTGCCTTTATATTTTTTTAAGGTGATACGATGTCTGTGCAAGACCCCCACTCGATGGATCTGTGTGCTGCCGTGTGGACTGTGGTTTCCTACATCGTTGCAGACTTGGACAACATGCTACCCAGAAATTAAATTAGAGTATCCTCTGATATATGTGACCTGTTCTTTCAAAATCAGACTTTTCTGGGCAAAAGGTAAAAAATGAGATTTTGGCATATTGTTAAAATATGTTCTTTTTCCTTTTAATAGGTGGTTTAATTTTTGAAACCAGTCATTCCTGGGCAGAGTTATGCTATTTTAAGTTCATTGTGTCGAAAAGTAGAAAACGGAGAAAATGGCCACGAATGTCACAAAACAGTCATTTCTTTAACTGATACCTTAACAAATCATCAAAAATACTATATATAGAGTTCAAATTGGGGTTTCAAACTTTTATAGTATATTTTAGACATGTGCAGGATAACAAATATGCAAAAATTTGAAAATCAAAAAAAAAAATCACCCCACAGCATTTTTGGCCCTATCTCAATTTCAACCTCTACCCAGAAGCATGTGCTTTTGACAGAACAGGTCACATATGCGACAACCCTGAAAGTTAGTTATATCTCTGCTTTATGGGTGTGGCTTCCAAGAAACAGTATCAACTTCAGCTGAACAATTTCTGCTACCAAAAGACATAACAAACAATAAGTAATATTCCAAACAATTATTGCCAAATAATTTTTTATCTTACAGTATATCCATTTCTGTGCTTGGCACACAATGAATTATTTGGAAGACAAAATAAAGTGTACAGTGCAGGTAGTGCTTTTTTGTTTGAGAATAGTTTCCTACGTAAGTAGCTCGCTGGAAATATTTAAGATTTCATTCAGACGCACAAAGACATACTTTGAAGACTTGCCTTCAAAGTTGGCAGGAAGAAAAGTGAAAAAATATTGCAGTGTGGTTAAGATTAGATGAGTAGCACATTCTATGTCTTCTATGCCTTGGCGAGAAGTGGATTTTCCTACTCGAGTACTCGCAGACAAATAACTCACGAGTAGTTTACTAAATCCCCATAAAAACAAAAACTGGCATAAACATTACGAAGAAGGAAGTTACTACAAATAAAAAGTGTGGAAGGCACACCGCATTCTTTAGCACTGAAGATATCCTTACTATGCAAATTTTTGGCTCATTTTCTTGAAAATTATGTTGAGAGTGCTAGTGGAATCCCAAGGAAACAGATGGAGGTAGTGATTCCTTTGTTGCGGGGGATGTATTAAGACAAACGACAAGTTTGGCACAGAATCCGCAAAGTGCTTATTTCTTGTAAGTCAGCAATTGCGGAAAAAAAATTGCTACCCGTGAGTACCTACTTCCACTTCGCCAGGACGAGTATTCGAGTAGATGAAAAACCACGAGTAGTACAATGAGTAGCAAACACTACCGGCGAGTACTCGGGACACTCGCCCAGCATTAATGTCTTCCAGAGTTGCTGGGTAAGGTTTATATTCCACCTTGTGGGATAGAAGTTCAGTGCCTAAATGATCGTCTACATTTCTCTTTGAGATATTCTTCCAACTTCTAGATTTCTAGATTTCTTCTGAATGACAGCAACCCTGATGAATAATTTCACGGGGTATTTAGTACCAGTATGATCTTTAAATCCAAGTAAGCTTTTTGATAATAATATTTTTGGGATAAATGCAAAATGCTCCTATATGCCTTTAACCAAATTATTGCACCTTAGACTATGACATTTCTTTCAAAGATAAAAGGATCATTTAACAGGGGCGTGAGTGACCACTGATAAAAATAGCTGAAAACAGCTGAAAAAGGTGTACAAAAGCCGAACTTTGGAAATCTACTATGCTTTTGTACACAGCAAGTGAGGGAAAAAAAGCTGAAATCCTAAACAAAAAAAGCTAAAATCAGCTGTAAAGCTGGGATTCACACCCCTGATTTAAAATTTAAAACTTGGTGAGAATTGTGTAACCCCCTGAAATTATTTATAGAGTTTGATGTTCACTTTTAGACAAAGTACCACAGACAGAGACTGCAAGGCACACATGTGTAATTTAATTGTAACAAATATTTTAATTTACTTTGTTTACTGAAATAAATCAAATATTTATTTTAATAACCAAATCAAGTGAATATAAAGTTTAAATAAAGTTCAACCATAAACACTTGAAGATCCTGTTTTGAAAGTAAGCACCCTTTATTTGATATTTTTCCTTTATTCCAATTTCAAATGTCGGCTTCCTAGAAAGAAACAGGCCGTCAAATCAAAGTTTGGGCTCATGTTCAACCTTAAAAATGTTAATGTGCACTGCAGAGGTAAATAACATGCATTAGTAAAGCCGAAGAATAACAAGTCATCACTTTCATGTTTGATTTTCACAACTGAATACTTCATTATCGACTGGACGGGACACCTGATGAAAGTGAACATGCCAATTTTCAGAGCCATTAATCTCATATTGTAAATCTGGGACCCCCAGTCTGTTTGTTTCCAATTTACCCACATGCATGCGTGTAAAACTAAGGTTTCTTTTCAAACTGCAAAGTGTAGCTTACAATGTAGGTACTGTCATATCAGTCAACCTGAAAAACTTGGCTTTTACTGAAAATAAATTTTCTTGTTTTAAATAAAAACTGACATTAACTTTTGAACAAGTGCTGCTTTTGGTAAAATGATTTAAAAACCCGATGGTCTCCCTTACACTGGCAATGTCAGTAAATACATGCTCTGTTGTCGCCTCTGGTTCAAAAAGTGCTGAAAATTATATTCAAGGTTGCAGAAAGTATACTATGTATATGTTGGTTGAAATGACAATCTCGTCCACCGGAAGATTTGGCCTCTTCTCTTGGATGCTTAAACCTGATCAATATCAAACTTCTTCCATCATCATTTGATGACACGAAGTTAGAAATGCGCACTATCATAGTTTGTTTTTAAAAGAGTCCCATTGAAGCATCACACAGCATCGGCATCATTGTCCAGACTGAAAACGTCGCTGATTTGTAACCGACTGACTGCCGCCTCAACTTGCCGCCGTTGCACGCCAACCTTCAAGTTGGGGGAGGGAATGGAGTAAATAATCAAAACAATTAAAGGGAATGTACATCATTGGCTTTTGCTGTAATTTTCAGAAATGAACTATTTGAGGGGTTAGTATAATTGATCAAATATTGTTACACTGACATTTTTTGAGTTTTGTGTTAGAAAAGGTTGAAAAAACCAAGAAAAAACAAAAATGTTCATGTAGTCTGGTTCCCTGACTCCACAAAAGATAAAATGGATCAATTTATAGATGATGGAAAATTGTAAGGCAAGGGAACCAGTCTAGCTGGCCTGCACCCGTTCATGAACATGTAACCAATAGCAAACAACATTTGGACTGAAAAATGGTAAATTTGGAGCAGTGGTTGAAAAATAGTTAGGTTTTTCCAACGCTGGTCGGCCGACCACCGTTGGAAATGTATACAAAAATACCATTTTCTTGAAAATGACTTCACATCAGGTGCCATAATTTTACAAGATGCTTGAGACTGTCATTTACCAACATCCTAGTAAGGTATTTCGTAAAAACTTGGTAGTTTTATTGTTCGATGTTTGCAAATGTTGTATATTCCCTTTAAGCCTTTCCATGATATTATGTTTGACATTTTGAAAGCACTTTAACAGCGTTATTTATATGTTCTTTGGTCAGCAACTTGGTTTTAAAATGTATAAGAATTAACAGTCTGGATTCAACAAATTGAGGCATAAATTCTAGCACTACTTGACTGAATGTGTTTAAGAATTAATTTGCTGTATTTGCAAGATTACAACCCTTCTGCTAGTCATTGATTAGTATTTTGAAAGGTAAAGATGGAACTCTGCAATATCTACCCTCAAAGTCATCAACACCATTGCGAGGGGATGTTAATATTAGCCAGGTAATTTCAAGATAAATGGGAATGTCATGGCATCTGAACTGAGCTTTTAATTACATGATTTTTAAAGATGTGCCAATGCCTAGACCCTATAAGCGTTCAGTCTAGAGTGACTGAAAAATACATATAGATATGAAAAACACTCTAACAAACGGCATGTGTTTCTGTACAGTTGAGCTCTATTTTGGGGTTTCTCAAAAGTTCAAGAAAGTATTTCCTTTGTATCGTCAAAAGGAAGAGGTTAAAAAAAAAAAAAAAACAATACTCTGCTTTAGTCAACATTCAACAGAAATTATCCACTCATTTTTTTAAGCATTAACCCTAACCCTCGCAGATCCCTCAGCATCCACTAGGAGTTTTAAAGGACTTTGCAGGGTCAAGTAAAAGTATAGTCTCCGTCCAAGACTACATTTGGAATTTTATTCCCTTCATAGAGCTGGTCCGTGACAAGCAAAGTCGCTATCATCAAGATGAACCAGTCTTGGCAATATTGGCAGCGCTACCCAGGAGACTTCGAGCATACCTCACGCGCGCTGTATTCAAGCTAATGCATGTGCGTGAGATATGCTCGAAATGTCCCGGGTAGCGCTGCCAATATTGCCAAGACTGGACTTGATTCATCTTGTTGATAGAGACCTCTACTGCCGCGGCAACTCCACCACGTTTGTCACAGGACTGGCTGCAAAATAGGGAAATACAAAACCAGTCTGGGAGCAAGACTAGTAATTTTAGTGAAGCCTCAATTACTCGACATGGGACTTCATATCCCCTTGGAAGTTTCAAGTAAAAAAACAACAATGGTTGATTTCGCATAGCCCCTTCTTGATTTGCATTGACAAATATGACAACAGTGGAAAGAAATAGATCCAAATGCTGTAGAAAACTACATGTATGTTTAAAGATGAATTGCAACATTGTTATGCAGATTTTGTTTAAAACTATCTCATGATGTCAATAATTGCATCCAATGTTGTGATGTGATTCAGATGAAATTGTTCACTGGAGCAATGCAACTGAATGTCTGAGCAGCAAGGCAAGTCATGGCTGATGAAAGAAGAACAACATTTATGGCAACGTCAGCAGCTTGTTGGATAAACCTCACCTTCTGTCCATCAATGACATGCTGGTCTTGCTGTAGAACCTTCTCCACACCATCTTCTGACTGGAAGGCCACAAAGGCAAAGCCTTTGGAGAACCCTGTCTTTTGATCCTGAAAGGAAATTGAGCAAATCAAAGAACAATAAGGGTGTTTACAGCTCACCTGTGTGGAGTACCGAAGTGATTACGTCACGCGCACAAAATGTGTGTGAAAAACAGCGCGTGATTCAGCACGTGAGCCAACACACGTGCGTACTCCATTCGTTTGCGCTACACTTTCTGGTTCTAAATGACGTCACACTTCGGTACTCCATTATATGCAACTACGCAATCTGAAATGTTATTAACCTTTCACTAGAACACTAGATTTGGAAAATATCTGAGAAAGCTTCATGGTGCATCACTGTGTTTCATATGTTTGGCCATGGACTTGTGCAATCCATAGGTGCTCACAGCACGGTGAGTCATACCCCATCTCAGCTCTTGGCGAGTGTATAGCTCAACGCTGCCATACCGGGATAAATGGTTAGATCACACCATGGAGCTAGCTTCATGATCATACACAACCTCTGCAGTTGCGGGCAATCCTTTACTCCTAGTCCCCTACATATACATGTAGGAAGAAGCAATGTGTGGCATTCGCTCTTTTCACGCTCCGCCACAGGCATGCAGAGATTCGATCTGGCAAGTTTACACAATGAAAATAGCTGGTTTTGTGATCTGAACTCGATACGGGAATTACTGAACTGGCTATTTTCATTCTGTAAACTTGCCAGATCGAGGCTGTGCATGCCTATGGCGGAAGCGTGAAAAGAGCGAATTGCCCAAGGAAATCATGCACCACTGGGATGGACTCGAACCCACAACCTGCAGAATTACACACAAGAACTTGAGTTCAACACTCCAGACCATGAGGCCACTCACTCCTTCATGCATGTTCCTCTTCAAAAGCAGACCCAGTAACTGGAGCGATAGAAGCCCTTTTTTCCCATTTTTTTGTATGGTCAGTCGTACTAGTACTTAGTACGACCGACCAAAGACAAAAATCGAAAAAAAGGAGTTCTAGCGCCCCAGTTAATACTGGGGCTACTTTAAAAATATATTTCATCAAGTGCAGTGTGGAATTATTTCATTGGAAATATCTAAAACATCTAAACTGTTGAGATGTTTTCCAGCACATCAGATTACACTCTGATCTTCACTGGCAATAGGCCACACTGAGTTTTGTTTGAAACTCCATACTCACATAATTTAGTCTGCATGTTCGGATGGTGCCAAATTGAGCAAAATAATCCCTCAGTTCAGCTGTTGGACAAAAAGATAAAACTGTCTGTCCTGAAACATGCTTGATATATGAACTTTTTGATTAACTTAAAAAAATGTTAAAACAATTTTCACAGAAGCATATGCACATACTATGATACCTTTTAGTTTTACTGCTTTTTAAGTACGTAGTGGCGATTTTCAACTGCTATCATTATGGCATTACGAAAACACCATTGCGAATCTATATCACATTTATATAACTACCCATTCAACCAGAGAGCTTCGCTACCTCAATTGGTTAAAACGTGACTACTATGCTGAAGGTTCCGGGATCAAATCTGAGCTGTACACTTTTTTTTCTTTCTTTCTTTCTTTTATTATTAGCTTTCTTTACTTTCACGTTTTTAATCAAATCATTTTGTTTATCTAAGAAGATTTCACTTTCTTATTTGTAATCAAAAATAAATTTTGTGGAAATAGAGAGCAGGGTTTTGATTTATGAACGTAACTTGTAAAGCATTACTCCAGTAGAGGTGTCCTAAAATACACGATTACCAAAATACATGATTACCATTACATGGCGACAATAATAAGACCAATGTTAAAAAAGAGCAACCCTGTTTGTAGAGCTAACACCATGCATGCTTGCACTGTTGTAATACTAGAGTTAATTACCAAGAAGAAAGTGAGACATTTTTTGCAATGACAAAATTAAACACATGCTAAGGCATGTAAGGTCAAGGACTGAAGTGAAAATGAAACGAAAGAGGGGCTCGTATACTACACAATCACCAAAAATCGATTGTCGAATATAGCAGCAACAAATTAATAACATTATTACTTGTGCCTGCTGTCCATGGGAGCCTCGACACGAAGATTTCATGAACTTTTCTAATTGCTCCTCTAGCTGCCATTTTGAAGCTTGCACTCGTACTGGTATCAGGTCAACTCGGACCCAAACCAAGTCGGACCCATGCCAAGTCGGACCCATGCCAACTCGGACCCACGCCAACTCGGACCCACTACCAACTCGGACCCACTACCAACTCGGACCCACTACCATCTCGGACCCACGACCAACTCGGACCCACGACCAACTCGTACCACTACCAACTCGGACCCAAGCTCGACCAACTCGGACCCAACAATGACTCAATCATTAGTTTTAGAGATTATATTTTTTAGGTGATCTTAATGTTAGTGCTTATAAAGTGAAGATATTCTGTAACTACATTGGGCAGAATGGGGCTTTTAGTTTTGTTGTTTTCTTGTATTGCCGCTGTGTGGAGCGGTATTTTATGATGCGTACAGTAAATACTGTTGCTAAACGCTTATTGTTTTGAACGTCATGAAACTAAACGTGCTTAGCTTTTTGAAACCGTGACCTGTGAAGCTAAACCAAGAGGTATTAATAGTGTATAGTATAGGTTAGGCATATCGTATGTCATTTGTACAACTTGATATATACGTGCTTTTTCAAAATCTCGATTTTCTTTTCCAAACGAAAATCAAAGGATTATAATTTTCAGTAAAAAAAAATTACTTGTTTGTTTTTGCAGGCCTTTGTGTCGTGTAACAAGTGGTTTTAAGTGGCACATTTTGTTTCAGTGAGGAAGTTATTAATTTAAAATAACTATTTGGGCCTTTCATTTCATGTAATTGTTTGGGGTTTTTTAATTCACATGCTGGCTTTGAATTTTGTGGGTTTTTTTATGAATCTGTTTAACTTTTAATAATTTTTTGATTTAACTTCCCCTAACATCATAGTGGAACATACAGGCAGCTACCTGTAAGGCCTTGAAGGATAATCTTCCCAGAGCTCCAATACTCCTTTTTGATGATTGACATTGCATCTATTTGTAGGGGATTAAACTTGATCATTTTTTAATTCACATGCTGGCTTTGAATTTTGTGGGTTTTTTTTACGAATCCGATTACAAATGTAACTTTTTATACTTTTTTGATTTAACTTTTTTGTTTAATATGGAACCTTTATTTTATTTATTGATTTCTAATGTTTACTTATATTTATTGAGTTAATAATGTTATGTTTGAAAGTGTTTGTTTTAATGCCATACTTTCCAATTTTATTTTTCTATGAAGATCTGTTCTTAATTTGTATACTCGTTATGTTGAAGTTTGGAGTAAAAAAGAAATAAATTGCTGTTAAATTTAGCAAGATGGTGTAAACGATGTAAATTAATATGTTTGAATGAAAATAAATAATTGGTTAAACTTTTAAAGCATAATATGTTTTAATGGAAACAAATAAAAATAATAAATAATTAATTACACTTTTAAAGCGCATTTCAAAATAGCATTTTAATGCGCTTTACAACGACAAAAATGTTATACTGCTGCAATACAGACATGACAGATAGGAGATAATTTACCTTACAATTACAATGAAAATTTATACTAAACAGCATCACTGTAATAACAGATGAGAAGTGGACAAACTTTATGAAATGAATGATTGAAAACGATGTCGAATGATTGAAAACGATGGGTCCGAGTTGGTCATGCATGGGTCCGAGTTGGTAGTGGGTCCGAGTTGGTTGTGGGTCCGAGTTGGTAGTGGTTCCGAGTTGGTCGTAGGTCCGAGTTGGTAGTGGGTCCGAGTTGGCATGGGTCCGAGTTGGTAGTGGGTCCGAGTTGGCATGGGTCCGAGTTGGCTTGGGTCCGAGTTGGTTTGGGTCCGAGTTGGATCGAAACCCTTGTACTGAGTTAATGCAGTTGCAAATTGCACACGTGAATATTTCGTTCTTTGAATCGATAAGTCTACTCAACGAACGGAGGGGGGGGGCTGAAAAAAAAATTACAACTCAGTTGAGGCAAAAACTATTCAGTATACAAGAGAGATTTTTTGTTTTATATTTCGCAAAAAAAGACATACTAGTCTACTATGTTTTATTTTGTTTCAATTTTACGAGCAAGCAAAAATGTTACAATCACTCGCTATACCCTCACAAATAATGGATTGGTCGAAATAGCATTCGGTCAAGATGGCTGCGCCCATGAAGCATTCAGACATGAGCGTTCCAAATGAAAATAACCATGAAAATGACAAGTTTCGAGTTCAGTTCAAACGTTATAAGAGACGAAAACCTCCCCCTGATCTCAGTGAGGTGATAGATTTTTGGGATTCGGTGTTGGTAAGACAATTTTGACCCGTTTCTACCCGCAACAGTTAACGTTAAGAATAAGTTTAAGAACTTGGACATGACATGGAGGAAGGGGTGGGGCTTGGGATTTTGGTTGGGGGGGGGGGGGCGGCATGGAGAAGAAGTGATAATTTGTACACTACACATTGGTTATTGCTATATTAGTAATGGACAGAATGCAGTATTCTGAAGACACTTTTTTTCACTTTCACGACCCTAGGTAAATTATTCATTGCAAATAAAGGCCTGACAAAGACAAAGTGACATGCCTGATGAATTGAATAGTCTCAGTAGGCCTACTACTTTACTAGTACTAGTCTACTACAAAGGCAAAACAAACTTCAAAGGCATTACTCTATCTATGCAAGGCTAGTACTATGTGTTTTATTTCTCCATGGTACTACTACTAGCCTTGCATAGATAGAGCAATGACTTTGTTTTGCTGGGATCTAATTCTACCTCCATATTATTGCTGGGATATACACGAGTGAACCTTTTGTGCAGTCATTGTTACTGAATTAAAATAACAAAATATTCCCTCTAAGATGGACGCAACGCATAAGGGACTGACATTTCCGATTTAGTCAGAATTTTTAAAGCAAACTGTGTACCAAAGCGGCACTCACCGTGACCATGTAAGGAGAAGATATTGCTGTAGCATTATTAACCATGGGGAAAAAATTTGGGCAGGCTTTTAGGACCCTGTTCATATATTAAGAGAACAAAAGCCCATTCTTCCAAGATTGGTAGTGGTATGACTTGTATAAGAACTCATTTTCTCTCTAGGCTAAGTCCTGTTTAAAATGATAAAAACACGACGTCACATTGATCAACCAAAAAAAAATGACTGCTTGAGCCTTTGTTGAGGCTGCAAATGTAATTTTGGAATGAAAAGCACCTCATAAGAAGTTAATTATTCAGTGAACCCAAAAATAGAGGAGTCCTAAAAGTAACAATGCTGGAATTTTGGTATTCGCATTTTGATGGTCACCATTAGGGTCTATTTGCATCCAATGCACATGAAGACATACATGTAGATAATTCATGTAAAATGACTGGAAAAACATTTGTTGTGTCTTGTATTATTTATGATTTCAAGTTTTATTATTATTCTTATTGGGTTATTGTTTTTTTTATTATTTATTTTTCTTATTCCGTTAACAACAGGTATCTCAGAATCATCCCAAAGTGACATGCCAACTATGTGCGATGACATCAGCTACAAAGTTGGGGCTGAAGCCAGTTGACCAGTGGAGGTGCTTCACACTCCAAGGTGCTCCAGGTACCTGCAGAGATGTAAAGCCGGGCTTGGTTAATGTCCTTGAAATCCTGGAAAAATCTTCTTTTTTAGAAAAAAAGTAGGCTGATAAAAGAAAATATTTCTTCTCATTTGCCAATGAGGTCCTAGAAAATCAACTTTTGGACATAAATTACACAGAATACCTTCTGCAGAAGTGGACGTGATCACATTCATGTAATACTCATCCTGGCTTCCACACTTTTTTTCCCCTTTGCTGGTGCCTCCTCCCAAAACCCCAAACCCTGAATTGCAGTCAGCTTTTGAAAAAAAAAGTAACAATAGTCTGTAATATCAATATTAGGCATCACAGGTAATTTTGTAAAAAACATTGCTTTTCTCTTCCAAAGGGTTTGTCTACATTGAAAATCCATTCCGTCCTGGCTACCAACATTACTGGATCAAACGATGTCTTCAAGACTACCCCAACAAGCCCAACGTTTGCAATCTGGACAGTCACCATTCTATCCGCGGCGGTCTGTCACTGTGGGATGACGACAGTGACGCCCAATCAAAGTAAGCATTCAGTCAAGGAGGACCAAGGAGCGAGCATCAAAGGGGTAAAAAAAAAAACTGTCTGTAATATACTTGCTGATAGCTACTTAGCACAATGTTAAAGGGAATATACATCATTTGGTTTTGCTGTAATTTTCAGAAATGGATGGATTTGGGGGGTTGGTCATATATAGCAAATATTGTTACACTGACTGTTTTGAAGTTTTGGGTTCGTAGATGCTATAAAAACCAAGAAAAACAATCATTTTCCTGTAGTCTGGTTCCCTGACTCCATTTAAGATGAAACGGAGCAGTTTATATACATTGGGGAATTGTAAGGTCAGGGAACTAGTCTAGCTGGCTTGAACACTTTCATAGGTGTGTAATCGATTTCAAACAAATGTGATGGTCAATTGGGGCCAGTATTTGAAAAAAAGCCATTTTTTTCCAACGCTGGTCGGCCGACCAGTGTTGGAAATTGATACAAAAATACCTTTTCTTGAAAATGACAGTATACCAGGTGCCATGATTTTACAGGATGCTTTAGACTGTCATTCACTAACAGTCCAGCAAGGTGTTTCAAATTCATTTGGTAGTTTTATTTTTTGATTTTTGCAAATGTTGTATTTTCCCTTTAAACCTCAGTGGCCATTAGTCTAAAAAAAATGTCTAAACCAAAATGTTTGACAGGTAACTCAAATGTCCTATGTTCCATCCAGGAAGAAGAGTCTCATGGATCAACTGCGATGGGTGACTCTTGGCTATCACTATGACTGGACAGCCAAGCTGTACCATCCACACAACCGGACACCCTTCCCCGGGGACCTAGCGGACCTCTCAGCCTTTGTGGCTAGTGTTATGGGGTTCCCAGCCTTCCGCTCCCAGGCAGGCATCGTGAGCTACTACCACAGCAACTCTACACTGGGAGGGCATACAGACCATTCTGAGTTTGATTTCACTGCACCCATCATATCTTACAGGTGAGCTGTGTTTTATGGACTCCGTTTGTGATCATTAGATTTGACTTTGTGGCCACTTGTGAGAGCTCTGTTCTTGGAACACCAATGTGTAAAATGAACGTAACCATGTTATAATTACTGTTTCCTTCTTTTTTGCCTACAGTTTTGGTCATTCGGCCATCTTTCTGCTCGGTGGAAAGACGAAAGAGACCTCCCCATTGGCTATGTATCTGCACAGTGGTGACATCATATTCATGGGCGGCCAATCCCGCCTGGCCTACCATGCAGTCCCCAGGATTCTCATTCCGGAAGGCTCAATGAAGCTTCCATCATGCCTGGACCGGGTGGAAGACTCAGAACCTCTTGGAAGCAGCTGCAAGAGTGCCTCTGAACCAACAGGTTGCTGTGATATCCCAAGACCCAGTCAAGACACTACAGATTCCCTATCCTTGTCAGGCAATAAGAATCACACATCGGCTCCGGTGCCTCCTTTCAGCAGCTGTGACACTGAAATTTCAAAAGAGGACAGCAACATGCACGAAAGAACTGAGACTTCCAAAGCCTACGATTCCAGCTTCAGATTTGATACAGGGGATGACGCCTTGGATGCATTTGAAAGCAGTCTCAAGTCTGGTGAAGGCACCTGTGGGAAGCACAGTCCTAGATGTGCTGCCCAAGGCCTTGTAGACTCAGACTACACTGTCATTCATGAGACCATGCGATCATTACAGGACCCTCAAGCCTGGGAGCGGTTTGCCAAGTTCATGTCCAACACCCGCATTAACATCAGTGTGCGACAGGTGACAGGTCCGGGCCGTGATTTCCCATCAGAAACTGTGAATATATGCCATGAACCATCCATCTGTACTCACTCAGATCTCTCAGGATCTAAAAGGAAAGCGGAGCAATTAGACCAAGGCTAAATTATGAGATGTCCTTTTACCTCAGCAGAAATAATATTTCAAAGTCAACGTTACTGTTAATTTATGAAAGCTCTGAAATACTTTTTAAATTGTGAGAATGTACAATTGTATGCAGTTAAGTTATGCTGCATCTAAAGGAATTATATAATAAATATAATGATGAGAAAACAGCGCTCAGTTTACTTCCAGTGTTGCCTTGAATGAAACTAAGGGAATACAATATGCATGACTTCCATTCACAATATAATGATGACCTCAGTGCAATACAAATGTACACTAAAATCTTTAAAAAAAAAAAAATTAAAAATAAACTTAATACTACATCATCTTAGACCAGATGTGTGGATAAAGCTGGAATAAAACTTTTACCCAAACTGAGCTACATTAAAAAGTAAATAATATAATCTCTTTGAAAATCATATTATAAGTAGGTCATTTGATTTCTTTTATCAAATGGCTCTTAAACCCACAAAGACATCCCTCTTTTCCTACTCAAATGTGGTGGTATGGTCTTGCTCAGTGAAGTTGCTTTCATGCCATTTTCAAGTTTCATCTGAATGAGACACCGAACAAAAACTCTGCCAGCATTTAGTTTGGGAATATACTACAAATATTGAACTGATTATTTTTGTGCAGATAGCTGCAGACTCCTACATAATAATTTTAAAACATTGTGTGTTTTTGTTAAAATAAAATGTACAAATTGAAAGTTAGTAAGACAAACAAACACATTTGGGGAGAGCGATTTTAAAGTTTAGGCCAAGTTTTACCTCTACAATGTATTAAGCAGACATAACTCATTAAATATATATCTGTAACTATTTACCACAACCCATATTGGAAATAATAAAATCAGCTGTATATTTTATGAAACATTTCTTGTCTGTCTTTCCCCTTGTCTGCGAAGTTTAGTATTAAGTTTTGTTTTAAGAGTACAGCATTGCAATGTTTAGACGACTGATTGACAACAACAACATACACCTTTTATTTGCACTTGTAAAATTCCTTATGAGCATTGTCACCAAGTTATACTTTGAATTTTGGTAGGATTTGCCAACAAGTAAACAGAAAGAAATTCAGGTTTAGAAAATTGGCTTACTGTACAGACAAGAGTCGATATTCACTTAGGAATCTTAGGAGATCCAAATAAAAGCAAAAAATCCTCTATAAATCGCAAAAGGTTGATATAACTTTTTTGCATATTTGTGTTTTTCTGTTACAGGGCTAACAATTTGTAAGTACAAAAAAAAATGTCAGTGTTTTACGATTTTTTTTGCTTTTTGTTGTCTTGGTAGTGTGTTTTGTAATAGTTTAAGAATGTCACATTGTCTGTTCTTGATAGGGTCCCCCAAAAAGGCCAGGCCCCGCCGCCCCTTCAGTTACAAGACGCCTTCAGCTAGCTCCGATGCTGTGTGAGATCGTGTTACAACAAAAGTATGAGGGCGCTGTACTGCATGATTGATCGACCGTATATCGCGTACCGAAGTTGCATACCAAATAAACCGTACCGTACCCCATATACTGGTACGGTACGTGTCATCAGTGCATCAGCTGTATTTTTCAGTTGCATAATCATATCCTTTTGTGTACTAGACTGTACGTGTATGAGATGTATCGTAATAGACTAGACGTGCAATGCAGTGGTGTGACAGTGACGGTGAACGGAAACACGGGGGTGGAGTTATGGTTGTGACTTTTTGTTTCGGGCGACTTGCCATTCCAATCTTCACAAGCAACCAAAACTATCGAGTAATGCACTGACTCAGTCATTCTGTGCCACGTATTGCCACTGTCAGACTGTGCCAGTCACTTTGCTTTGACTTAAGAGTCACTCACTATACAAATACTAGTTGTCGATCATATTTCCCCCCAGTTTAATTCATTGCAATGGCAATAGCAATTGGGAGGCCCAAGTGTTTACTTCTGCTTGAAGTTTGCATGCTGGCCATACAGTGCCTTGCAGTGGTGAGGATTTGCACTGCACACCCACAGTGCTTGGACTTTTTTGCACCATTTGACCATAATCAAGAGCAGCAGCCGGAGTTCTGCACCCTATACGATGAGTTTGGATGCTGTACAAAAGAAATGGATCTAGAAATCCGGCAGAACTTTGAAGATATTGTGGCGGAATACAAGGGAATTCATGGACCACTCACGACAGATTGTCTCAACTTCCTGAAAGAGATTCTCTGCCAGGAGTGTTCCCCGTACGCTGCCCATCTCTTCGATGCAGAAGCCACGCAACAGAGAACACGACAGTTGCCTGGGCTTTGCAACAGTTACTGCACCGATTTCCACCGCTCCTGCAGCCAACTTGTCCCCTTCATCACCACGGAAGAGTCCGTGCGACAGGCCGCCGCCAACTCAGCAACTGAGTTTTGTGAGAAGATGGCCATCACAGATGTGGATTATTGCTACCCTGATGTCTTGGCCAATGATGATCTCTCGCAGTGGGTTGAGGAGGCCCAGTCCGGTACCGGTCGTGGCCAGTGTCTGTGTCTTGAGGAGTTTGCCAACGGTCTTCAAAACCCCCTCCTCGCCATCCACGCCAACGACAACACCCACCGTTTCTTCATTGCCGAGCAGATAGGAATCATCCACGTGTTTCTGGAGAACCGGACCAGGCTGGTTGAACCCTTCCTTGACATCCAAGACTCGATTTTAACATCCAGCCGGAGGGGCGATGAACGGGGGCTACTGGGCGCTGCCTTCCATCCAAACTTCACCCGCAATTCCAAGTTTTATGTCTTCTACAGCTCAGGAAGCTCCAGTGACCAGCTCATTCGCATCAGCGAGTTTATGGTCTCGCCAGAGGACATGAATGTAATTGACATGCAGACGGAAAAAGTGATTCTGGAGGTTGATGAGCCGTATGCCAACCACAACGGAGGCCAGTTAATGTTTGGGCTGGATGGCTACTTGTATGCTAGTATTGGTGATGGAGGGGCGGCCGGTGATCCACTGGATAGTGGCCTCAATAAGTAAGTCTGTCCATCAAATGGACAGATCACTTGTCCGAATTTTGCTGTTGGAAGTGATTCTTCCGATTGGAGATAGGATGGCTGAATTCTTCCGATTGGTGATAGGATGGCTGAATATAAGGCCAAAAAAAAAAAATAAGTCAGTCTCTGGTCAGCGCGCGCAACGATGTTCCGCGGTAGCTCCAACAGCGCCCTCTATTGCTGCACATCCTCAATTTTTTCTACCAAAGAGCACCAAGGAATGGGAAATTGCACCAAGGCAAATGATCGAGAGCACCAAGGCAAATTATGGAGGACACCAATGTACATGAGGACACCAAAAAAGCAAAATAGTACCCCACCTTGTCTGTACAATCCAAGCTTGAAGAAAAAAAAAGAAAGAAAAAAAAAACACAAAAAACAAAAAAGCCGCGTCGCTGCGTCAATTCCGGAACTTTGGTCTGACCAGAGACCGAATATTTTTTGGGGGGCTTAAACTTAAATCCTAAAACAAAATGAGCACATCCGAACAGTTTAAAAACCCATTTGGTATCTGTAGTACTAGTACATTGTATTGAAAGAATTTCATACCTGGAGCATCACATCACTTGACACCCTGTGCACAAACCCTATGCGACTGGTCTGAAAAAAAGTATTTTCTGAGTAAATGCTCAATATCTTCCCCTGCTAAATTTGGCTTTTTTGGATCCCATGTTTATTGTTATTGCTTTCTGATGCTTGATAGGTCGCTGCAGGAACAAAGTTAATGATGGCCATATGTGAAATTCTTTCCCATTGTATTATAAATTGTGTTTAATTAAAATATAAAACCATCAACTTTATTTTTATTTCACAATTTTCACAGTGAAATGAAATTGACATTTTTTTTCCAGCAATAATCTCATTTGATGTCTAGATCTGCATCACAGAACTAGATGACAAAAGCATTAGCGGCAAAATGTTGTCTGTTTCTTCCTTTCAAGGAATGCAGTGAACTTTTTTTTATTATTCATAATTTCCATGTGCAACAAATTAAAAAAATTGAAATGTTATCTATTCTTTTGGAACATTGCAGGAACACTCTTCTAGGAAAAATCATCCGTATTGATGTGGACCACCCGGCCACCAATCAGACCTATGGCATACCCCCGGACAACCCCTTTGTTGGACAGGAAAACGCCCGCCCCGAGAACTACGCCTATGGAATCCGCAACATATGGAGGTGTGCGATAGACAGGGGTGACAGAGAGAGTGGGTACGGCAAGGGTCGAATCTTCTGTGGAGACGTCGGCCAGTCACGGTTTGAGGAGATTGATATCATCGTCAAAGGCGGGAACTACGGCTGGCGAGGGAGGGAAGGCTATAGCTGCTACAATGACGATCAGTGCAATGATGAGTGGCTCGGTGAGCAAACATCTTATGTCTTAGTGTCTTTTTTTTTTAGTCCAAAATAGGGGTGAGCAATGAGCATCGGGACCAGGTACCCGAGTACCCGAACGCTGATGTCAGATTATGGGATCGGGTAACCGTAACCAACTTTACAAGTTACTTAGTAACGCCTCAGACAATGAAAAAGAAAGGTTTGAATGCCATTTGTGGGGAATTTTCAAAATGAAAACTAGGCTATATGGAAAACCAAAACAGATTTCACGTTTATGTGCATTTTTAAACGTGCGACAGATGGCGCTCGCAAAAGTTGCAGTTTACACTGTCAAGCGGTAAAGCCCTTCAGACAACTTCCAAGATTTGAATTTTGGGGTTGGGTTTCTTTTACGGGTAGCCGTGTTTTACTTCAATAGGGTACCCGATTCCTGTACAACCGGTACATGCTCACCACTATTCCAAAATTTGGGAGTCTCAAAACTTACAGGTAGTAAGCACTTACAATACATTAACTTTAAAAATCATAAATTTTACATGTAAATATTGTGTTTACAAACTCTTAATTTCTCTTTTTTTTTTTGCAGCTGATGAGATTCTACCCATTCATGCTTATCCGCACTCTGTGGGCAAGTCAGTCACAGGAGGTTATGTGTACAGAGGCTGCCAATCGCCCAATCTAAACGGCAAATATATCTTCGGTGACTATGTCAGTGGGTAAGATGGCGCAATTACAGTTCTTAAAGTGTTAAAAGTAAACCTGAAATTTGAAGTGTTTGATATTTTCAGCCAGCATGCCAGGGGGATCGCACAAGTTTAACTTGCAGTATTTGTTGTTGTTGTTGTTGTTGTTGTTCAAATGCAATGTCAGTTGATGTAATTGCTAATAATTTGTTGGATTCCTCTGCAGCCGACTTTTCTTCCTCACGGAAAATGCAACACGTGATGAATGGGAAAGCCAAGAGATCTGTATGGGCGACTCGTCTACATGCCTGGGGAAATTAGTCAGTTCTTACCCTAAGAACATCTTGTCATTTGGCGAAGACGAAGCAGGTCAGTGTACTACTGTAAAATGACCTGATTCACTTCTCACAAATGCGCAATCAGGCAACTGTCACATTACCCCTTTCAGTTGAAGTAATTAACCCCCCATCCCTGGCCTTGTCATTTTTGTTTTCTTCAGTTCTCCAATCTTGACCATTCTCCTTGTTTCTTACATGTAAACTCTCTCAAAGTTATTAAGCATTGTTGTCCTTAACTAAGCCCTATGAAACATCAGCACTCCAGACACAGCCCTAGCCATAGTCAAAGACATTGCCATCACCATAACCATCACCATAGTCATGACTGAGCCATAGCTATAACCTAACCTTAGGTTTGGCTTATAAGAGCCTCTTCTTCTGCCATCTGCTTTGTCCTTTCCAAAATTCCATCGATTGGATCATCTTGAAAGAAGAATTTGGCCCTCTTTTGGACTGTTTACTTTAAATACTCAGTACCTACAATTTTGATATTTTGAACTGCTCAAATATTATTGTTTGCACATAGGTGAAGTTTACATGCTGGCAACGAGCTATGCAAGCACAACGTTCAATGGAGGACAGGTGTTTAAGATTGTAGACCCAGCAAGGTATGGTATATCTCAAAACAGATAATATGCTTTAGATTTTGTAACTTCTTTGTGTAAATTCTTCACTATTGGATATTTTTGAGAGGTGCTTTTGAAACTTGCGTAGCCGTCGAGTTCTTTTCTGAGTTTTATCAAGAAGCTTCAAATTTAGACACACAAAGCCAGAAATGGACCTGTTTTAAAATCAGTGTTTTTTTTTTTTTTTTTTAAATTTATCCCCTCGTGCTAGGAGGGGAAATCCATCGGAGTGTTTTGGGGAGAAGGAATCGGTGGACGTCAATGGACCAACTGTTGATTTCAAGCCCAGTGATGCCAGTAAGTTTACGCAAGTTCTTAATTTGTTTTGGTCGTGTAGTGGCAAACTGCATAGCCCAAGTACCATGAATTATATAGCGACAAAAAGTACAGTTAGATTCAGGGTCAGCCTGTCTGATGTTAAATCATCATTGCTTTTTGTGCCAAAAAAAAGGAATTTTTTCATGCATGTGTGCTTTCCAACAAAGTACTATTAGCTTGTGTTGTAAAACTGTTCTACAAACCTTCTGCGCTGCATGAATTCAATTACCAAACCTCAGAATGGAAATATATATAGTACAAGAACTGTTAGGGGTCATTCCATGAAGTTGAGGAACAGGCCATAATTTTCTGAGGTCTGATTATAAAACAGTTTTTTCTTTTTTATGGAATTGTTATTTCTAAAACAAATGTCATTTGACAATAAGGCTATAAGATGAGCTTTTAAATGATACCACGCTCGATGATATTAAAAAAAAAAAGGTTATGGCGTCCGGCATAATAAAATGAGGAAAATGTGTGACAAAGAAACTTACAGTTCAAAAATAACTCATTTTGAAAAGAAAACAAGTGGACTGGAGTTGAGGTTTTACACAAATTATAGCGAGAAGATGTACCCTTTCTATTGAAAAAAATAAATATCAGATGTTAAAATGTTTTGCCAAAATGGCATGCACAATTGGGTTGTGGATGTAACACATGGGTGTCCTGTGTTTCATATTATGTTACATCCACAACTGGCTTGTGCAAAGTTGTCTTTTTGCAGCAATTTAGGTCGGATTGACCCCAATATTTCATGATTGAACTGGTATTTGTAAAAATAATGTGATCGTAGTCTATGCAAATAAATGTTTTGGCCAAATATGAAGAAAATCTTATGCCTGTGGGCACATGGTGGCATGTCCGTGTTACATCCACAACCGGTTGACATAGTCATGCCTAAAATAAGTATGAAAATCATGACCTGCAATCTGCAAATTGCCCTTGAAACAGAGATTTGGGGACAACATTTCTAAACACACACAACATTTAGTTCCATTCATACCGAGGTGAAGAATACCGCATTGTGATGTAGTGGTGTCCCACGTGTTACATCCACAACCATTCTTTTTTTTTTTGTTGGAAATAACAATTTTAGCATTTTTTAAAAGTATTTAAGTATGGATATTATTAAATGAAGCTATTTGATGATAAACTCAAGTTTGGTGTGAATTTGAAGCATTTTGAAGTATTAATTATGAACAAAACAAGGTTTGGATGTAACAAGACGTGGCGTCCGGTTACATCCACAACTTCTCCATAGTCATTACATGTAAATATACATGTACTTTGTGTACAAATTGACCAACTTTCCAAAATCATGTGACTTAAATTTGAATGAATTGCTAAACCACAATGTATGAGCTATCAAAAAAATGCATAAACAAAACTTGTCATGCTTGGACAAGCAATTTGAAAATTTGACCCCAATGTCACACTTTGTATCTCAACTTCGTGGAATGACCCTTATACAGTATGTGAAACGATCTTACTCTTTACAAATTTGTCCTTGTACATAGGGCTGTTCTGCCTCTGTCAGTTGTTTTTTCTACTTTGTCAATATTTTAGCAATGGGTACAGGGTACAGAGACCAACGTGTACACAAACAATGCAGTGTGCGATTATGACAAGGTCATTCAGAGTTGTAAAATGTGCGCAGTTCTTTACAAATGCATGATGTTTGCTGCACAATCTGTGGCACACTTTGTCTGTTACAAATGTTTGAATTAAATTGGGTCCGTGCAGTGAATTTTTCATAGGAACACATTTTGTGCAACTTTCTACACCTCTTAATTAAATGTATGAACACTATTTGGAATCGCTTTTTGGTTCATTTCGTTAAATTCCATTTCATTACTTACACAACAAAGAATCACCAAAGAAAAGAACATTCACGACAGCAAAGTGTCCAGAATTCTAGCAACTTTTTGTAATGAAGTAGCTGCAACATTGAGGTTTCTGCCCGGAATGACATCACAGTTTTGCTCGCGAATGTGGACATTTTCATCAGCATAAAAACCACAAAGGCACCAAAATACCCTTCAAAATGGCAAAACCAAAATTAAGGTTAACTTTCAAGGGTAGTATGAAAAAAAATTACATTGCATGTGCCAATAAGTTTCCAAACCTGAAAGTAAAATACTTGTGTGCCTATAGGGTATAGATCCATTGCATTCAGCAGCCATCTTAGAGGTGTCTTTTGTTACGTTAATTCATTAACAATGAATGCACAACATGCCTACTCTGTTGAACAAAAGCACGCACCCCAACAATGGTTGCAGTGCAAACGGTCTGTCAGATTGGCAGAAAATGTGCATGTGATCCTTTGCATGATAAATAATTCACATTTTGTATGTAGACCAATTTCAAATGTATGTGTTTTTGAGATTCACATTAACATCAACTTCACTAATCGTATGTCTGAAATACTAACACATGTATGTGGGTATAATCTTGTAAATTTAGGGTCAAAGTGTGACATTTTTCCTGTCCCTGTTACCTTGGTACTTTTTAATTTTCAATTCAAGTATCAGTAAGATTTGAAACTTTGCATGGTGGTGGTAGGAACAAGTGAAGGTTTGCGGTAACACCATGTAGAAAAATCTTTGGGGAAGATGAGTGGTTCTGAAAAGAGTTTTACAACAGAGTTTTACAACCAACCGGTTCTTTTCAGAACCAAACATCTTCCCAAAAGAGATATCTACACGGTGTTACTGCAAATCTTCACTAGGTTCATTCAAGTATCATTAAGTATGACTTCAAACAATTTTTCATTTGTTGGGTAGGTAGTTTGCTATTCATAATCACTCGGAGGATGACTGCATTAAGGAGTGCATCAGAATTATCAAATCATAGATGTCAGATGAAACAGGGACAGGAAAAAAAGTGGACCCCAAATTTATAGGATGACGCACGTGTAGAAAGTGGGTTTGTTGTAAATGTGATTACATTAGGAGGTAAAAAACTCAATAAAAACTCAAGTTCAACAGTTTTTTGAAAAAAAGGAAAACTGAAACCTGTGTTGCCGGTAAAGTAAATAATTCCATGAAGCCATCTATTCTCATGCTAAAAAGTGATTCTAAGTCGAGAAAAAAAATTAAGATTCACCAACAACTGCTGGAGTTACATGTATCACAAATAATAGGCCTACTGACACCCAAGACGCTAGAGGTTTGTTCATATTAAGAAGAAAAATAGTTTCGTGCGTAGGCGTCATTATGCGACCCGGTGCACCCCAAGCACTAATAGCAGCGTGTCCAGCATATGAGGCCATCACATGAGTTAAAGAGGTTGTGGAATGCTCGAAGACATTTCCGTCATTTTTTGGGTATATGTAGCCTAAGGTGTGATGAAATAAAAACGATTATTGTTTCTGTCATGAAATGAGTACAAAGGGTACTTTTGAGAGCTATTTTTCAGGTCCTGTTTCGACCCGAACATGCAATTTGTGTAAAAGTCGTCGTTGCGGGCAGCAAACAAAACACAGTAAATCGTGACGTAATAAACAGGACTCGTTTATGCTACTCTGCATCGGGAGTCCTGTTTATTACGTCACGATTTACTGTTTTTTGTTTGCTGCCCGCAACGACGACTTTTACACAAATTGCACGTTCGGGTCGAAACAGGCATGACAGGATTTGAAAAACAGCTCTCAAAAGTACCTTCTGTACTCATTTTATGACAGAAACAATAGTCGTTTTTATTTCATCACACCTTAGGCTACATATACCCGAAAAATGACGGAAATGTCTTCGAGCATTCCACAACCTCTTTAATGCACCATCTGTACCATTCATATAACTGTGAGTTGTTCTGGCAAAATGAGACAGAACTGGGCGCAGGCCATAGCGGAGAAAAAATTCACAAACTGAATGGCGTCCATTTTTTAGATTTTCCGATAAATTTATTGATATTCATAACCTTTGTGTCTACCACACATGTTTTAAAGAAATAGTATAGAAATCATTGAACAAAATCGTTTTTAACCCTAAGGGAAACCAATTGGCATCTTTCATTTGCAAGGTTACACAATTTGAAACTTCAAAGGCCTTTTTCTCAGTATTTTACTTTTTGACTTGTTAATAAGCGCAAAGTGTAAAGCTACAGTCCATCATTTGCAGCTATCCCCCTAACTATTGTTGAAAAACATACTTGGTTGAAACATAGCAAGGGGATTAAACTCCCTTTATTCTTTAAGACATCAACGAAAGAAGGCCTTTCCTATGGTGCGTCTTAAGACGCAAGCGTTGGCACAACGCACACGCATGCGCGGTTGCTATAATTCGTCGGCTCAGTGCGCGACTGCGCGTTGCTGCAATCGGCTCAGTGAGAACGTGTCACGGACGCTGAATTCAGGCCCAATTCAAAACATAATTCAGCAATTTTTGATTTGAAATCGAGGTCCTAGATCGTTGTTTGCTCGAAAGCTGCTGAAGCTGAGCTGAAATTTCATCAGGTTAGTTGTTCAGCACCCTTCTTTAGATTTTGAGCACTTTTGTTGCTTCAAACGAACAAAATGCACAAATTACAAATGATGGACTATACCTTTAAACAGCCATAACTTGTCAATTGAATGTCAAATTGAAGTGCAACGAACAGTATTGTACTTCTCTTTCCTAATACCAACAAACCCTCATTTCAACCTCTACCCAGTTGTGTCTTCTTTTGCCAGAATGCCTCAGATTTGTCCGAGCAGCATTGCATGTACAGCCTGCTTCTGCTGCATGTTTGTGGTAACTGGATTTCTGTGTAAATCTAAAAGACAATTGGCTTTGTGTTTAAGCAATGTCAAAATGAATCAGACCTGGAAATTCCAGAGTTTTCATCGCTAACCAAAACAGCAAACCCACTACATGTTAGGTACATGTGGCATGAAAGCTGTTGTATTTGTGGCTTCACTCTGTGTTGACACTTTCACACCAGCCAGCATTAACCCAGACCATGCTGTCATCTCCACCACACCCACCCCAGGCAAGGCTGCCCTCATCTGCACCCCCAGCCTTGTTGCCATTGCCTTGCTTGTCTGCATCGCCATGGTATTGACCAATGAGATTTCCTCATCGTGGTCACATGCTCGCCTCCTGCATATTCAACAGGAGGCAGGGGCCGTAAGCCTTCCGTCTGCAAAGAGGAGGAGGATCGGGGAACCATCAACAACCAGACAGTGTGCACTGCAGACTTTGGTGAGTTAGTGACTAAATTGAACCTAATCAACTTTCCTTTGTCGTTTATATGATGATGAATACAATTCTATTTGAATAGATCTCTCTGAAATCTTGTGCATCTTGATCCACTGTGAATGCACATCAACAGATGTGGAAACGCTAGTTTCTGTGATTGTGGTATTGTACATGTACATGCTGTGGATAAAGTACGTATGGGCCGCAGTGTATTTTTTTGAGCAGTGGGTATCAATTTAGTGAGGGGAAAAATGCTTTAATAGATTTAACACTGTCTTGACCAATAAAGAGACAGTAGGGATGGATGAGGTGCTGTAGACACTGTGAGACCACTCCTAAGAGCTCTAGTACGTGGGACATGCCATGGGTAAGCGCTGGGTTGCTCGCCTATGGTATGAAGTGCGCACGACCAATGTCCATCTGAATGTTCAGAAGCCTGTTGTAGCATCTTTGCATGGGTGCTGTGTGCATGGCAAAAATGGTGTTCAAGACATGACATAAGAACAAGATAAATATTTATAGTTGAAATGGCATGTCTCATGTTACTCACTTTGTCAATATTTGGGTGGTACTTGTCCACCGAGTCAATTTTATTTGCTAACTGGACACCACCAGTGGTTATGCACTCATCAATTGTAAGACACCCCCCCCCCGACCCATGGAAAGTAATGGTGTGTCATTGTCTAACAGTGGGTCATCCTTCTGTGGAATCTACACACCCCCTGCGACACACTAAATGTATACGTTTGACGCTGTTTAGCAACATTTTTTATCCACCTATTTAATACGGACTGTAATGTACCTGAGGAAATATGATACTCCCCATTTTGTTGGACACACCAAATCATGACTTGACACACTCCTGTGTCACAGCCACGCACCCTCAACTCATGGGGGAGGGGGGAGGGGATGGGGGGTCATGGGGTCCGTCTTACAATTGAAAGGTTCATTAATCCCAAACTGCCGTTGATCCCAACGTGTCAATCCATCAACCAAGAAGAAAGCCCAAATCTGTAACAAATTGCCATCAATCTTATACCTTTCCCTCACCCAGTCCTGTCAGGCAAAGTGGTATCCGTCAAGCAGTTCAGCCGCGACAGGCGGGTGCACCTCAAAGTCTTCACAGTAGATCACCAGGCCCCGTACACTCCCCGCATCTCCAAGGAAGTCACAGCCACAGTCACCTGCAAGCCCCACCGGTGTGACTGCCCCAACCTGCAGGTGGGCAGGATGTACTACCTGAGTGGAACCTACCAGAGGAACTGGAAGCGCTTTGTGCTCAACGCCAACTCCTTCTGGCAAGATTGGACCTGGTTTCTGTCCTTCCAGGTCAAAGTGCACAGTATCAAGTGTGGTTGGATGTGAACAAAAAAACAACCCAAAATCAACCCTAAAACAACCACTAAAAACTTATTCAAAACATAAAACAATAGATATTTGCTTGGCTACAATAGGTTAACCGTAGAAGTGTCGTGCGACGAAAAGTTCTTGTTGCTGATTCTTAGCTGATTACTCGGCAACAGTTTCTGCAAAGCAGCTTCTCGAAATTGGTCCGCGATTTTGATGCCAGGTGACTGAGTACCCACAAATATAGATCATATGCACTGCAGCCATCGTTGAGGCATGTACTTTTGTTCAATGAGGATACACACCAGTAGACCTCTTGTGCATTCATTGGTTATGAATGAAAACAACAAAACGCACCTCAAAGTTGACTGCTGAATGCCATTAATCTATACCAATGTTTACATAATGTACCTCTGACTAGCATCAACAACAGTTGGTATTATGTATCATAAGCGTAGGAGTGAACAGAGAATAATGCAGCGCATCTTTTTCCCGTGAGGCTACATATAGGACACACTACAAGAATGTTAGCTTTGGTCAAGGCATTCGACAATAGTGTCTGTTGATCAATGGTTTGCTGCTAACATAAATAATAGCTGCGCGCTATGGCTCACATGTTCTATACGAAGCGTGAACAGCAACCTCACTTGGCCAGGCTACAATATGCAAATCAGTTGGTGCTGGTTGAACCCCTTGGAACAACGGTAGAGTTTTTTCAGGCAGTTTTTGTTATTTTGTCGCTAGATTGATGTCAAGTTTTATTTGGTCTGAGGACTCCAAACTTGTTGGAGAATGTAGCCACACTATCCAGCTCTCTATCCATGTACAATATGAGCCTTCACGACCAAGTACTGAATAATAAAATCATCTTTATTCGCACAGGAGCTCGTCGCTGGAAATCCAGCGAGAAATTAAGAAAAACATAAGCCAAGGCGCTTGGTTGTTGCAAGGGGTTCGACTAGCACCAACTGATTTGCATTTTGTAGCCTAGCCGCATATGAGGTCACTGTTTGCACTCCATACAGTTGACAGTACATGTGAATGCATACATGTAGCACTGTTCATGTTAGCACCCGACCGTCGATCATCAGACACTATCGTCAAACAACTTGACCAAGGCTACAAGAACGTTTGTCATGTGTAACTTGTACAAATGATAGTGATGGGGCATCTATACAGAGGTTCACAACCGACACCTGTGTTAATTATTTTCAATGATTTCAGAACAAAAATACGAGTTGACTGGCAAGATCTGACTAGCACTATCAAATTCCTTTTGTTGTACTTATATTTTACACATTATCATTGCTTTTCAAAGCGACAATCTATTTGGATAATTCTGTTAGTTATTTAGTATTTTTTTGGGAGGTGGGGTGGGGTGGTGTTGGGGTTGTATCAAAAAGAGAGTGTGCAGATTCTTTGGATGATCATTCTCCTTGAACAGTAACAGAATTGACAGACTTTTGCAAAATACTGCAAAAAATAAATGTTGGTGGATTTGAGTGTGTGGGATTTATATTAACGAATTTTGTACATTGACGAATTTTGTGTCATTTTCATTTACGGGTTTTTGGGTAAATTATCTATGAAAAACATGGTACTTGTCGTTTTCCAAATCTTTTGTAACCAAATTTTGTATAAAATGTTTTTGGTGTATACTTTTTTGACTGAAGCAAATTATATGCTATTATTTGCTTGATTATGCAGTTAAATTGGTAAGGTGCAGGGATTATGATTAACGATTTAAAAAACTTGAAAATTCTCTTGTTTGGTAATGAAATTACTTGTATATGTTGGATTATAAAATATTTTTCACAAGCAGAAATATTTTTGATAGCATGTCATACTTTGTATGATTTTTTTTATTGATCATTTTATGATTGCAAGTTTAAATAATCATTTATACATGAAAATATTTAAAATATATATTGCCAATACTCAGTGTCATATTTTTCTAAATTTAATAAAAAAAATCCTGTTGTTTTGCAAGTGCTCCTTCACAAATAAAATAGACAATGAAGTAAATTATAAGATTCTGTGCAAATATGATTACACTTGTATTTATCCATAAAATATTATTTGCATCGTATTAAGTTAAACATTGAACCCTCTTTGTCTTGTGCACTTCATAACCAAGTTTTGCTGAAACACTTTTGCTCATAGAGTCAGCTCCCATACTTCAAGATCTTTTTGAGTTAATATTCTGTGGAGTATGGATAACATTTCAAAACCCAGGGGTGTGAGTGAGCACTGATAAAAATAGCTGAAAACAGCTGAAAAAAGGTGTAAAACAGCTGAACTTTGGAAATCTCCTATACTTTTGTACACAGCAAGTGAGGGAAAAACAAAAAAAATCTGAAATCAGCTTTAAAGCTGAGATTTCACACCCCTGAAAACCCTCCATAATTCTTTTGTGGGGTTAAGCTTTGGGCAAGCTGGTGGATTCTGGCATGCTTCACTGCTCTCCACAGTGCTGTATTTTGTGCAATACTGTGACAGTTACTTGAACACTTCATAACCCTTTGCCTGAAGTGTTTGAAAACGGGGACGAACCTGTGTTCACAGGAATGGAGTGCTTATCTCTCTTAAAGCGATTGGGCCAGACTCGAGTCCATGAAGTGCTGCTAGTGGGGGATAATTGCAACACCTCCATTACCTTCCCAGCATTGAATAATGCCGGTACCCATTTCACACTTGGGTTGAGAGGAGTAATTGAGGTAAAGCGCCTTACTCAAGAGCACAACACGCATGGCCACGGCGGGCTCGAACCCACAATCTCACGATCATGAATCCTGCGCTCTACCATTAGACCACACGTGCCCATAATTTTACGAAGTGGCTTTCAAGTCGGAGGATTATCCACTCTGTTCACAAGCAACCCCTCACCAGCAAAGGAAGTACAGTTGGGGGTGACAGACCGACGCCATGTTGCCTGACTGCAATTCGTTTGACGTGAAGCGCGGCCACTGCGCACGTGTAAATAGTACAAATCCCCTGGTGTGCGTGCGTCCCACACAAGGAACACGTTCGAACGGTGCGCATCAACCAGCGAAATGTCCTGCCCATGGGACGTCGTTGCTAGGTGAAAGGGCGCCCTCTTTTGGTAGTGCACGGAGCTCATACAGCAGTGATTGAAGCCACGCATTTGCCGAAATACTTCACCCAGCTGCATGGGGCTCACAAGGTCAAGGAACTAAATAACATGTACGCTACATATTATGCACAATAACACAATGCTGGGTGAACTATAATGGCCGCTCGGCAGCATCAGACCCAATAGGCTAATTAGCACACAATCACTGATAGCCACCTATCCATGTCATTAACAGATCAGTGGTACACACTTATTTGACAAATTTTTAACAAAGGTCCAATTCTGGCATGTTGGCATACATGCGTGTGCCCACAGTACACTACTGGCTGCTCTGGTCAAATGACTGAACACAATTGCAGTCCTTGCCTCCAGGCTAAGGCCAACTTATTTTTCCTGATAAAGCAGATTAAAAAGTGCCATAAAATTAGGCCCAAATAATCACGGCATATTCTATAAACAAAAAAAATCCTTTAAGAAAATGTTGGCAAATGCATAAGCAGAGGTAAAAAAAAATAACCCATACATTGTACTTTGTATTTTCATTACGCAAATTTGACAAGGTTCCCTTGTACACCTATTACCCTGAACTAGTAAAGATAAAATATGTGATTATCGATTATGATGAAACATCTTGCGTACAAGAGAAGGTACTGTTTAATTAACCACAAGCGTTTGAAGAACACTATGCATGTTTACATTATCTGTACATTGCTCCTTCTCATTTTCAACAATGAAGGGGGTACTTGTGCACTAGGCCCACATGTATTTTTGGCAACCCATTCTTACACTGGGCTACTATTTAGCTTTATGCATAGCACCACTATTGTCATAACTACAAGTCCATGTCATATTTTTGGTAGCAGATTTTGGTCCTATTCATTTGTATTCTGGATATTGATTTTCTAATCCCTTCGTTCCCACTTTGTGAATAACGCCACAAATCAAAGAAGCAAATTTCTCCAACGAGAGTAACTGATGAGAAGCTTGCCTCTGACACGTTCATCTGCACCACGAGATGTGCGATCAGTACTGTGGAATGTGTGCTCTGAACAATCAAGTCAAATACAGGCTTTCATATGCATCCTTGGCCAAGTTCGCGCAAGGACTATAGTTGACCAATGGTTAACGAACGTTTGCCCGAACTCTGTCTAGTCGACGATGGTTGACTACGCTAGTCGACTATTTGGAACCAGCCTACTGGGGTTGGTTGCATCGCTGGTAACCAATAGCCTTGCGCATTCATAACGCTAGCAGGGAGCCAGGATCCAGAAGTTTTGCGATGACATTTTGACCAGCGTTTGACTAGAGACGTTCGCACGTTGCTATCAGTGCGCAGGTGTAAAGAACGTCACAAATCAACCACTAGTCGACTAATGGTCCTTGCCCGAACTTGGCCCAAGTTTGCAATAAAAGTGTCATTATACAGTTGTACTTGAGTCAATCACAAGTCAATTGCAACTCATTTGACCAAAAACACAAAAAAATATGCCTTTCTCACATTCCATTATGTAACTTGACTGGAGGCTTGTGACCGACTTAAGATGATTTGATTTCACTGCATAAAATGCAAATAAAGTCGCAGAGTTATAAAAAATAACACAACATAACAGGTCAGTTCATCTGATTTGTGTTATAATATATGATTCATAAATACCTATGACAGTCTACCCATTCCTATTGGTCGAGAGCCCGTCACGTGGGTGATTTGAAACAGTTAATAAAATGCCGACTGGTTTAACACTTTTCTCCGGTGTCACATGAAATATGGACTCGTATGTAATCTGGTCCCTTTCACCATTTTATTGGTTGAACCCTCACATGTGACCAGTCACTCTCCTAATTATCTTCACTTAGGCATGCACAATACTACCAGTGAGTCCGTATTTCATAGAGTCCTAGATTTTGGCACCGCTGTGTTCTGTGCCACATCACGCGCCAATGGCTAGAGGGGTGTTTAAAAAAATATGAAGTGAAATTGTTGAACAAAATCACTGGAAATTTATAATTTGACTGTTTTGGCTCGGGCCATTATCAACATCCAGACCCCTAATCGGTTTTAAATGAACTTGATTAAAAAAGGCCAAGCACACATTTATTCCCTTGGTATGTGGATAGTCTATGTTAACTTCCCTTGGTATTGGAAGTTGACAAACTAGTTCCCAAGGTGAAGGCTGTTGCTCATGAATAGGAATGATTAAAGTACCATCAATTCTCCAACTTTAGTTCCAGTAAAAGTATTCCCACGTCCCTAGTTTGGAAAGAGCTGTGGCAGCCTGTTCCTGTGAAGATACAAAACTGACGCCACTGCGCCAAGGGCCAGTGCTCCACCAGTGAATTTGAGAAAGGCGGGAACGGAAGGCACCATTCGGAGAAAGAGACTATCGGCAAAAGGGTTGTAGGTAACTCCATCATTCTGTGAAGGAAAAAGAGCAAAAAAGCATTCTTTAATGCAATATTTTTCAAACAGATAATAAAAACAGTGACAACATTGGATATTAGAGCGCAGTCAAAAGTCACTTGAGTACAAGTCATCACAAGTCGATCACATAAATCAGAAGTCGTTAAGTCAAGCAGCGAGCTATTTAAATGAACTGTATAATTTTGGCTACTTTCTCTTGTACATAAATCGAAATAAGTTTATCATTTATTTTATTTTCATTATTTTTTGAAACATATTTATTGATTTTGTTATCTTGCCATTTACCAGATTTCTTTTATTTATGAATGTATTCTCTAAAGGAGTATGGAATAAATGTCTTCTTGAATTGAATTGAATTAAATTGAAACTGTGACAAAGGGATTTCTTTGTCATAATTCATCCTGTTATTATTGTGTCCTGACTTGTGATTAACTTGTGACTACCTGTATCTCAATTACAACTCTGTATTAGACAGGCTCTTAGCAAGGTCATTTTGATTGGGGGGTAGCCGTACAAAAAAGGGCACATTGAGCCTTAGTAGATCAAAAATTGGCACTCGTTAAAAGAGTTTTTGTACATTCTGTTTGCAATTCGGGCAATTCACAATGCAGTGCGCCACCAAGTGTTCGCCACAGAGAGTTCATTTTTCCCAGTGCATTGTGGGAATGGTCGACAAATTCGCAGCGCGGGACATTTGAAATTGTTAGTTTTTTCCAGAGGGTAGTTTCGTAAGCGTATGATTTGAGGATCTGTTGCCCTTTTCTTTTCTTCTTATCAATATGGTGTTTTTTGTAAGGTGGCAGAACGCTATGCTCCAATCCATTAGATCAAGTTGTCTACAGACACTCATTCAAATGGGCCATGTTTTGTCGACTGTAAACTTGAAAAATGGACTCTCCACGGCAAACTCTTGGTGGCGCACTGCATTGTGAATCGCCCGAATAGGTTAGGCACACTTTGCACCATTTGCTCATGCAATGTGTCCTGCATTGGATCTTGAGAATAGCTCACTTAGTGTAATCAAACAGTTCCTTGATGAACAGACTTAAGTGTAAATGTAATTGATTGGGCGTTACCTCAGGGTCTGGCTCCGGCTCCCATATTTCATCCTGACGTAGCATGCCATTAGCACACAAAACCTACAATAAGGGATATCAAGATCATTATGTCTTCATTTTAACACTGTTTGTCCCAAACAATCTGTCAGATCCTGACCATCTGGAATACCCTGCAGCTGATTTCACGAAACAGAGCGTAACAAATTTATTGCACAGCTGCGCAATAAACTTACGATCAATTTCACGAAGTATGGCGTAGCTGCGCAACGTTTAAATAATCTAAACATCTTGGACAAGGATAATAACAGCATTTACGACGGCGGTTTTGTGGGGTGTATGATTTTGTACATTCTTGAAACAGTCCATGAATCACCTCCGTATAAAAAAAATTTTTGACCGACTTTCTTTGGAATCGGTAGAATAGCACTTCTTTAACCTTCAACACAAAGCTGTGAGTGTCTTGTATCAACCTTGATATGTCGTACAATTACAGGCTCCACGACGATCATGATTAGCTGGTAAAATAGGTCATTTTCAGTCACTATGCCACAACTTATGCCACCTATAAATAATGATTGCGCAAATTACGCCATAATTTGTTGCGCAAGTCGCGGATCTACGCACCATGAAACTTAAGTGAAATTGTCATAACTGAAATGTTCCACAGCGTGAAATGTTGCGCAAGTTGAGCAATAGTTGCACAGAGTGGACTCATGCCTTTGCGTAAAGTTTCATGAAATTGGCTTCTGGCGAGAAGAGGAGTGATTGTTAAAATGTGTGGGATTTGGAATTCAATAGTGTGTATTAATCGGAGCGTTATTAAGGGACAATAAAGTTTGATAAATTACTGCGACTGGCCGCATTGCAAAATACTGCATGACACACAAAGCTGGCAAAGAGTTATAGCAAAACAGCTCTGTTAACAGTCAAACTTTCATTGTTTTATGGTTTATTAATTCCGAAGATTTTTTTTGTCATGGCTGTATATACAAAAGAAACAAATAAGAGACTAAAAAAAAAATTGAAATGAAAATATGTTTGCCCATGATTTTTTGATTCCGACAAATTTTCAGGGAATGTCATTCAGAAAATGTCTTTTTGGAAGGGGGAGCTAGAAAGAATTTTGGGGATTGGCCCCCCCCCCCCCCCCCCCCCGGACCTGCCCCCTCTATGACCTACCTCTCTAGCGGCTCTCTCACCAGCCTGCACAGCACCGTCCATGTACCCACTCCATCTTGTTGCTGTCTCGGTGCCTGCAAAATACACCTTGCCCACGGGAGTCCGAATCACCCTGCGGAGTTGAGGGACATGTTATGGTGAGTCAAACTAGTAATGTAAGAACTGTTGGAAACCCTCAGGCCATTGGAAGGATTACTGATGCCTTATATGGTGTGCAACTTTCCACAAACTACCAACTTTAAACAAACTATCATCTTCAAAATGGTACAAAACTCAATGCATTCCTTCTTTCAACGCTTGACCTAGTGAAAGGCAATATTTTAACATCGTCGGTCATTCCTAATTTTTTTCCAGAACTGGAGGAGAATACTACAAACTATTCATTTATGAAAAAAAGGACAATGCAGTCATTCAACAGATTTTTCTAACTTTTCATGACGGCGAAAAACAATATCAACTTGTCTCGCAATAATCAGGACTAACATAGTTCTACTCAGGGACGTCAATCGCTTCTCAAAAGTGGGGGGACATACCTTGATCAGAACTAATGCGAGTGCGAAGCCTTTACGGCGTGGGAATGTGGATTCTAGATGCTCTGTGGTGTGATCTGAGGCAATTTCTGCCCACTTTAACCACTATTTTCTTAGCCAAAGATAATAATTTAAACATCCTTTTCGAGGCTGAAGTCATTGTATAAGCTATTACATTCTAAAGGGCCCCTAGACAATTTTGGATTCTAAATGCTCTGTGGTGCGATCTCAGGCAATTTCTGACCACTTTAACCAATATTTTCTTAGCAAAATATACATTGTAGTACATAATAGGGCCCTGTACATGAAACACACGAGTTCAAAAATCTTGGGGGGGGGGGGGCCATTTGATATTGTGTCCCCCATCCTTCAAAAAGTGGGGGGGGGGGGGGGGGGGACATGTCCCCCCACCAAACCAGGATTGACGCCCATGGTTCTAATATACACTCAATGTATGCAATTTATAATTGTGACATCATGACTTACTTGCCCAATGTGGTCAGGGTTCCAGGGGGCGTGGCTCCCATATAGCATCCCCCTGAATACTGCTCAGCCATCCAGTTCTGCTCCACGCTTGCCACGGGCTAGGTGGAGGCAAAAACGAGAAGATGTCAAGTACAGAGGATGAAACCTACTTAAAGTCACTAATTGTCATCTTGCTAAAAAGATGATAAATCCACTATAAGGTATCCCAATTATTAAAGAAACTTGTTTCCTGTGCAATTTTTTTATGACATATTAGGATCAATGAAAATTTTTAGCCCAACCAAAAACATTTAACTCACCCACTAATCAGTTCATCATTTTTTTCCTGTCTGAAACCCTGTTAACACTGATTTTAACGAAGCTCTGGCCTTATACATATGGTACAACTACGCCCTGAATCATGCCAACCTTGATTTTGAAAAGCTGGCGATCAATTATCCAGTATTTTAGTGAGTTTTTATTTTAGTATTTCACATTTAGAAAGCTTCTTCTTTGGACGTGAACATGATACAGAAATTTCATGCCTTGCTTTGTGAGATGATTAGGCAGCATAGCGTTTTGAAAGTAAACTTACATAGAGTGCTTCATCTGATTTAAAAACCTTGGAGTAGAAGCCAGCCACCATGTTGGCCCTGAAATAAATAGAAAAAAAAATACTTGAATGATGTTTTGGTCGCATATCTCTGTCCTACTTGACTCTGGACTCTAGCCTATAATTCACAAGCCAACATGACTTACTTTAGCATGTATTCACTATTATCAATTTTTTCTGTGCAGCCTACATCTTACCTTCTCCTTTGCTAGCAATTTGGGTGAGGTGGGCTCTCTGACAGTTGCTAAAAATTCAGGAATGCATGCTTGTAAACAAAAGAAATTACTCAGGCCTGCAAATGAAGATGTGGTTGTGTGGTAGTGGTGATGTTGGCCAGCAAATCTTACCTTTTCTCTGGTGTTTCCATGCAGTACTTCCTGGCATTATCCGCATTTAAGAATCTGCAAGCAAGTATAGCAATGCACGGTCAGTGAAAAGCATGACAGACTTTCAAATATGAAAACAAATCTATGAAAGCTTTGCATCAATATCGTGTGCATAGTGCAAAGCTTGTTTTCTTGAACAATCTTTAATGGAGACGGTACACTGTATACATACTATCCGCTCCGTTCACAAGTACCCCCTCACCGGCAAAGAAAGTACAGTTGGGGGTGACCGAACGATGTCATCTTGCCTGACTGCAATATTTTGCCGCGAAGCATGGCCACTCCGTGTACATAGTACAAACCCCCTGGTGAACGTGCGTCACACACAAGGAATGGTGCGCGCGCGTCAACCAGCGAAATGTATGTGTCCCGCCCATGGGACGTCGTTGCTAGGTAAAAGGGCGCCCTCTTTTGTTGGCGCACGGAACCCATGCATCAATCAGGCCACAGAGAAACAGGAAACTCACAGTGGTCACAAACAGCCAATCCTTACTGTAAACCTCGGACTCTGAGCATGTACAGGAGATGGCGCCAATCATGACAGCTCCATTGGGATGGACACACACCCCGTGCGTGTAGTGGGTTCTTGCATGTATGGCACACAGTAGGCATGACTAATTCTATGTTACATCTGCATAAACGTGTTGCATCTTATCATGAGCGTCAGGCTGTTGGCAACGCGTTCAAGAGTCCCTGCCAGTTGTCTCCCAATTGAGGGGTACTTGTGCATGTGCTCTGAGTCCACAGTGTGTCTGCCATTAGATGGGGCCACCGTGAGTGTCCAGTGACTGTGTGCCCAGACTGGACTATTGGTATAATAAAGAGTTATAGTTGTCCAGTTTACTTACCCAACCAGAGCTGGGTAAGATCCGTCAGGTTTGGTGTCATCATGAGCCTCAGCCATGAGGTCTGTACCCCATAAATCACCACAGAAATCTGACAACACAGGGAAATGTAGCATACGTAATAGTAGTAGAGATGCACAGACGAAAACCTGTTATGGTACTGTTTGCTTTTATGAATGCCGGTGTAAAAATATGCTGTGAGCTTGTTTGCAGCCACTTGATTTGTACCAGAACGGTTGTGCCTTGTGTAACTCCTGGACAACTTTTGTTAAACTTATGAATTCCCCTCCCCCCCCCCCCCCATCCCCCTTTCCCGGGGCATTTGGTTCCCGAACAAAATTTTGCAATTAAGAAATTGGCCATTGTGTAGTTACGGGCCCGTTAAAAAAATATCCACTTTTAGTTTATTGAGCTTAACAAACTAGGTAGCGGCTTTTACATGTAAAACCAACTGGAGTGTTGTGGATAGAGGCCAGGGTTTTTGATTTTTTGAGGGAAGTTTGTGGTAAAACGACGATGAAGACCATAAACGCAACACAAAAATAAAGACGGCGATCACTGCGGCGCACCGTGAATGACCAAAACCGTGTTGATTTGCATGGCATCAACTGTAAAATGCGTAAGAAAATTGTATTTTTTTACAGAAAGATACTGTTAAAAATTACAAAAAAATAGGGTCATTAGAATTACAGGTTTTAGGTTGCAGAAGTCATTTTGGAATGATCAAAAACACTCTTGAATCTACCTTGACTAAACAGGGGCCCATCACTACATAATCGCCAGGAATCATCCTGCCCCCTCCCGACCCCGCACAAAAAGAATAACAAGAATAAAATACTTACCCAACTTCCTCCAAAAGGGTGTCTTGTAATACAATAGTACCTTGATGCATGATCCCATAGGGATGCGTTGAATAAGCTGAGTATATGAGTAACACACGGAAAAACAGAAAACTCATTTCAATATCATATATAAAAATGTTACATCTTAAACTAATTTGGGATAAGCCTCTGTACCGATGACGTCACACTTTGTTTACACGTGTGCTTTGTTATGGGAGCCTGGTTGGGACAACGGTTTCGTAGCCCATAAAAAAGTGCACACGTAAACACAGTGCAATGTCATCAGTACAGAGGCTTATTATCCTCCTTTTTGCATCAAATAGGGAGAATGCCTTTTGCTGTAAAGTTTGCAAGATCACTTCTTTAGAACAGGGTTTAACTGTGTCAAGTCTACTTTACCTGGTTTCGCAGCGACGGCAGTGGAGGTGAAAATGTGATCCGACCAATCAGAGCTTGGGGGACAGCGCTGATCACAAAGGAACAGCTGTAGCTGCTGCCGCCGAGGGTTGCTACGGTAACAGTTCCATCATCGTGCTGAGTAACTTTGGAAACAGGTTTGTTGAGCATCACATGATCTGCACAATCACAACGAGAAGCATTACATAAAGGGCAACTTGATTTTACTGAAACATGTTGCTTTGAACCCCAAGCTGTGAACTACCGGTACATCATCAGCTGTAATGGGCTCAGTGCGTGAAGAGAGGGCATTTTTTACTACTTTTGAGAGCTCCAATGTGGGCGACACATTTGTGCGTACTGGTTCGCCACGTATGGCACGAAGTACGCATGACTAATTTTATTCTGATTGTGTACAAAGCCATAACATCTTCGCGTGAGCATCAGGCATCTTCGGCAATGGCTCTCCCAGTAGTCTCCCACAACTCTCCCTTTGTTACCGTTAAGGAGGTACTTGTGTAGGGCACTCATAATACAGGGTGGTGCAAAAAGAAGGAAACCCGCTTTTGACAGCAATTTTCACCCATTTGTTGAGCATATTTCAAAAATTAACTTAAATGGTATAAAAATGTTGATTTTTAAACATTAGTGACAAAAAAATGATTGCAAATGCATATTTTGTCTCTGAGATACGGTAGTTTAAAAACTTCATGTGCAAAACCTGATTGTCCACGGACGGCTTTATTCCATCCGCTTGACTGAGCTCCGGAGCTTGATTTGAAGACAAAAAAATACTACACTACACTTACACGTGGAAAACAGTGATTTTTCGTGACTTGTATTCAAATTAGCATGATAACAGAGATTTTGTTAAAAGATTTTTTTCACCACGTATGGTTGAAGGACTATCCTTCACTTAAAAAACCCAGTTCAAATAAGTTAAGTAAGTAGGTTAAAATTCCTGTCAAAAGTGGGTTTCCTTCTTTTTTACCACCCTGTAGAAATCATTTCTATTGACAAATCAATAATTAAGCGCTATTTACATTATGTGCCCAAGTTCAGGTGCACTGCATTTGTCTCATTCACAGAGGCTATTGAGGTTTGTACAAATTGTGTCGATAGATCCATTTGCACACATAAACCAATACCATTCCTCAGATAACCAAAGTAAGATTTTGAGGTCAAATACTTAATAGTAGATACTAACATAGTGCTGTTAACTAAGATCAAAGCGCTTTACATTAATATCCTTTGAACACTCCTGTCAAAATTTAGATTACTTCATTTCCTTCCCCTCGACCCCCAAGGATGCACACAAGTCAATTCTCATATGTTTTAACATTCTGGTCCGAGTTTTCCATTTTAAGTTGGAATATTCTTATTTTTTAGTCCAAGTTGAGGAAGAACTTGAGTCCAAGTAAATGATAAGTGAGTTTGGATACAAGTTCTTCTGTATTCAGCAGCATATGAGTACTCTAGTTTCATTAAAAGTATAAAACATGAGTATCATAGATTTATACCAAGCTGTTACTCCCTCAGTCCATTTTACTTTTTTTCTCTGTGCATTTTGTTTGTGCCACACCCTGAAATTTGCTCTCAGGAAAGTCAAGACACCAAATATCAAATGTTGTACTGATTTTATGTACCATATAAGATTCCACATTGACATGAAGTTGGTATATTGTTGATAGATCAGATACAACCAACCTACCTGAGCCCAGATTGTCTGCTATCCGTTCAGCTACCTGCATAGAACCACCCACGATCTTACTGTCCTGAGGAACAAAATAAAATCATGGCAAAAATGAATTTCACCCAAAGCCATGTCACCTTTGAAACTGACAGTACGGTCCGTTAGGCTTCCATCTTCTTATTTCTTTGTCGCAAATAAAGGTCACTTTGGGCTAATAAAAACCACAGATGTATGGTGTCACAAAAATGGTCCATTTTATACTCACTTGTGCACCATTGCTTGTGGCCATGTGAGTATAAGCATCTGAAACAAAATGAAAATAAATTCCATGCTGTCACCAGGCTAGCCTCTATATGGACTAGAAATGGTTGAATACAAAACAAGTTTGTTAATATAAACACATGTCTATTAGATTGGCTAATTCCTACCAATCTACTCAGACTTTATACTGTGAACTACACGTACATGATAAACTGCTCGGATGACAGTAAAGGTCTGTTACAATACAAACTGATGAATTTGGAAATTGGGAATTGGGAGTTGTAAATGTCCAAAGTATTGCAACAATAACCGTACAGCTGGCATTAAAGACTGGATGGAAAATTGTGAGGTTTATTTGAGTCCACACTTTGAGTTCCACAAAGTGAAAAGATATGGAGAAGTTTGGTGTCATTTTAAAGCTGATAATGTAACTTTACATTAATCTCAAAGAGTGGGGTTTATTTGGTTAATCTGGAAAGAGTACATCATCACTACCAAAGCCTGTTGGTGGTGGACTGTCACAAATTCATTCCAAGTTGTACAGAAGAATAAAAAAGACTACGTACTGCCACCACTCCTTGTGTACCACAGGAAGAATAGGAAGGACATATCCCTGGGCTCAATGGCAAAGGTCATACGGATCATGGACTCAGCGCTGGCTTTGGTGAATCGCGTCCAGCAATGCCTGTCTATAAACTCCTGGGAGGTGATGCCGTCCCACTCCACGGCCCGTGGGCAGTCCCAGGGGGCGGACAGGGGTACCTGGGCAGACACATTAAAACAGAAGCACTTAATCCATTAAATCAGGCCTTTTTACACTATTGTCTTGCCTACCTGTGTAGAAATTGACATGGGTCCATCGTGAGCAGACCAGGTGGTCTACTCAAACAAGGGCCAAGCTAGGAAGCATACCGTTTACATCAAAATCAATTTAATGCTAATGTGTATAATTATTTATAAAGTGCACATATCCACCAGTATTGGTACTCAAGGCACTATATCATTATTACCCTGCTCACTGGGCCAACGAAACATTCCAAAGACAATCTCAGCTCCCTGGGGAGTATACAGCGCGATGCTGCCATTTCGGCGCAAAGCAGCTAAATCAACCACAATAACCATCTCTGCCCTCACAGGTACCCATTTACTCCTGGGTGGAGAGAAGCAATGAGTGACAAAGTGTCTTGCCCAAGGGCACACGCACCACAACCCCAGGCTGGACTCGAACCCACAACCTGCAGAATTACACGCAGACCACAAATCCAGTGCTCCAGACCACGAGGCCATGGCACACAGGTCGTGGAGTAAATACAATGTAATACATTGTAATTCAAGCGCTGGTGAGTAGGAGATCAACTTGAATTGAATTTGTAAAAAGGATATATCGTATTTTATTTCAACACGCATAATAGTACCTAAATAAATATGAAAAAGCAGCTTAGTTTTCAAAATTATAAATACATAAATGGATATGTGACCATATGTCTTTAGTTTCAGTTTTCAAAAAGTGTCCATACTGTGTCGTAAATGTGTCACTATTTCAAGAAAATTACACGTGAATGGAACTACTTTAACTTGGCGAGCACAAGAAATCTCTTGAGTCAAGACACATGCTTCCGAGGGATCCATTGAGACAAAGGTTGCCTTACCTGCATACAACATTCATCCACCGTCCTCCAGAAACTGATGAAGTCCATCAGAGCCAGGGGGTTGTAAACACGGGGAAATTCCCTGTAAGGCATTATCTTACCCTGTGAGTGTTGAAAAAAACAATGTAATTCATCAATAAACAATAAGTGCCTCATTATACAAATATTAAGTGGCTCAGTGTGGAATGGGAGGAATATTATCGCAAGGTAAAATCTGGACTTTTCCATTTCACGAGGCGAAGCCGAGTGAACTGGAAAAGTCCAGATTTTACCGAGCGATAATATTCCTCCCATTTCACAATTTAAAGCCACTCAATATTTGTTTTATATAACTGACATATAGATCCTTGTCATTGGATATATTTGAACTTTTTTTTTCAATACAAAACTGGAGGAAAATGTATTTCTCTCTTCCAAACCACCCCTTCACGAAAATGTTTGAAGAGCGCTGGCTCTTTGGCACAACACGCGCTACGCGCAACGCTGAACGCGCACACCAGCATGCATTTGCACACAAATACCGCGTCATGATCCTAACTGTTGAATAGTATTTCCCATTCCCCATGGGCGGATAGTACTTTTTGAGCCGCGGCGTGAATGGGAGCAATAACAAATGTCACGTGATGTGAGTTCCACCAATCAAATGACTAGGATCTGTATGTCAGTTATATAAACCACTTTACTAGCAGAAATGTGCAAGGTGGGCACCTGTAAAACCGAAACCACAAGTTGAGAAAAAAAACTGTCAATGGCACTGTGTTAACAACAATTATCGCAAAGCAGAATGTGCCATGATGGCACAAGGATGGCATGAAACCCTAACTACTGACATTCCAACAACTGGCTTTGTAGTATCTGATACATGTAGGAATGTGCAGCCTGACCACTCCCACTTAAAGATATAGTCCATCATTTGTAATTTGTGCATTTTGTTCGTTTGAAGCAACAAAAGTGTTCAAAATCTAATGAAGGATACTGAACAACTAACCTGATGAAGTTTCAGCTCAGCTTCAGCTGTATATTCCGAGAAAAACAGCATTCTAGGATCTCAATTTCAAATCAAAAGTTGCTGAATCACGGTTTTGATTTGTTTTGAATTGCAGCTATACGTGATGTCGCACACTGATCCGACAAATTATAGCAACCACGCACGCCTGTGCGTCGTGCCAATGCTTGCGCGCGCTGCGCCGAATAACAAAACGAACTACTAATTTAAATTTTCCTACGGTGCGTCTTAAGACGCACCGTTGGAAAGACCTTCTTTCGTTGATTACTTCAAATGATAGCTTGCCAGAAAGATTAATTTCACAGGGAGCTTAGTCCACTTACTATCTTTCAACCAAGTATGTTTTTCAACAATAATACGCCAGTTACTTTTTCGGATAGCTGCAAATGATGGACTATAGCTTTAACATGAAGCATGCTGTTGCAGTGTTTGTTACTGTGTTTCATTACACAACTAAATTTTTGAGCACTAAAAAAGTACACGTAGCTTTCTGGCAAAAATGTCCATGATGAACTTGGGTCTAAACGTCTAAACACTAACAGCTTAATTGTTACAGCTTGAACACAAGGAGTTGTACATTTACCAATGTAGCACTGTGCATAAAGTGTTTTCAGCGAGAAAAAATTAACAAGCTTACCCAAGTGAGTTTAAAAACCCATAAGAATGAGTGGAACACCCCGAATATCAGTGTTCATATGCCATGGGGCTGAAACATGTGGGACACAGAAACACTGCATTTTTCATGTTCCACAAGTGCGAGTGAAATATAGAATTTATCTTCAAACGAACTTGATGCACATTTAAGATGAGAAGCATAAATGTATGCTGTGACCATTTCGGTTATCCTAAATTACTTGTGCACGCATCAGAAAACGTGCACATCTAAGAATAGCATATATGCTTCGCGTCGTGCAATACGGACCATGTGAATATGCAATATAATACCACAGTGCTGTTACCATGGCTTAACCAATCAGGATCAAGGATTCAAGTTTGCTTGTAATAAATTTTAAATCATCCTGATCAATGTAACAAATCCATCAAATGTCAGGTTATACCCCTGTGTGTTACGAGACATTTACCTTATCCATGAATATGGATCTCTCATTGTCGTTGACCTTGTACAGATTCAACCCAAGCTCATTGGCAAGCTTGCTGATGCGTTTCTGGGAGGGGCCTATATAAGACCCGCCCATATCAGCATACTGGAAGTCAGGATCCTGTAAGTTTAGGACAATTAAAAACACTAATTACGTGTACATGTTTCCATCATATAAAGACATTATGGATGTGTGCATGTTCAGTCTGAATGCGGTCATATGCATCTTATGCTATTTTCAGCTGTGTATTGGTGCAAGCACACATTCCTGGTTTTGTGCCTGTTTTTTTGCACTTGAGGGCCGATTGTGAAGTTACGGGTGCCTCTCCTACATGTAATAAATAATAATTGTGCTTATATAGTGCTTTCCATCGTATCAACGATCACAAAGCACTTTACAATTATCACCCCGTTCATCAGGCCATGGGACCACGGGGCAGCCGATATCAGCGCTCAATCGGTCCTCGACCCTCACAGGTACCCATACTCCTGGGTGGAGAGAGGCAATTGTAGTTAAGTGTCTTACCCAAGGGCACAAACACCATGTTCCTGGTACGGTTCGAACCCGCGCACCTTCGTACATGAGTCAAACACTGTAACCACTGGACCATGGCGTTCTACTATGTAATGAAAATTCAGGTTATTACACCTTACTGGTTAGCGTGGATAAAACCAACAGAACTTTGTGTAAAGAATGTAGGGCTTTGACAACACAGACGACTAAACAAAAGTATAGTTGATGAACACATCCTTTATGTGAGTGCACAAACCGCATTGATGAGTCCGGTATCAATTTGAAAATGAAAAAAAATATTCTATTTTTTACCAAAAAATATTCAAACAAACAAAAAGGTCATTAGAATTAAAAGAAGACTGCTTAAGGTTATAGAATTCATTTTGGAATGATAAAACACTCCAAGGACTAGAATGAAAGAAGGGTCTGTAACTTCACAATCACACTTTAGCCCTTTTCACACTAGACAAATCTCGGGGTTGACGCAGGGTTGAAAACATGCCATCGTTTCACACTTGAAGAATTTCAACCCAGCGTCAACCCTGCGTCAACCCCGAGATTGATTTCGCCCTTGGTTGAACTCAACCCTGCTCCAGACCAGGGTTGATATTTTAAACCTGGGTTGAAATTCTTGCTAGGGTTCAAAACAGTGGTAACTGAGCATGATAAGCTTGATTTGCATGAAACAAGTGTGAAACGATACGGGGTTGAACGCAGGCACACTGGGTTCGCCCAGGGTTGAGTTCAACCCCGGTTGAGAGGCTCTAGTGTGAAAAGGGCTTATAGGGTAAGACACCACGCAGCAGATAGAGTTGGGACTTGCCCACACTGGGATATAAGCTATTTAATTGAGCCTTTTATTACCCTCTTCGTGTAGGTGCGTCCACCAACTCGACTCCTAGCCTCAAGAACCAGTACATTCAGACCTCTAGCATGCAGCAGCTTGGCTGCCGACAAACCTTGACAAAAGGGAAACAAAACCGGTGTCAATTAAAACTGTGCAACTTACAAGATGAACTACTTTTTTTGAAGATAACTTTATTACATTCACCAAAATAATTTCATTGTTGTTAAGCCTGGGATACATTATTCCTGAAGAAAAAGTAACGAACATCAGGTGCCGAGCGATTTACCTTACAATGGAAACATTATGAATTATGAATTTGAAACTCAAGACAAGGAACTTCACCCCCACTTACCACTTATGCCTGCCCCTAGGATTATGACATCGTACTCTGGCTCCATAACTGACTTGGAACGCTAATGCCAAAAGACCTTGAACTGCTCGAAATCGGGCCTGGTGAGAAAGATAAACTGAATTCACTTCAGTTGGCAAATTAAGACTAGAGACACATTGCACCAGAAGGAAGCACGGGGAAGTCTAGCTTGAGTAACTCCAGCTATGCTCATCAAGAATTTGACATTTAATGCCGGAGACAAAACTACGTGTGTGTTGAATATAGTGGATCAAAAATGGCAGAGTCCCTAAAAAACGGACTCCACAAAAATGTGATGCGATCAAGCTAAATAAGTCGTTTGTCGACCCTGGTCAATTTTCTTTTTTTTTTACAGATTTGAAAAGAGCACAACCTCAGCATTACTGCTGCACAAACCGCATGCTGAAACCATCTTTAGTTAAAAAATTATGGAAGTCAGAACACGAAGAGATGCAATGAAGTGATGTGATGAAGTGGCCCTATTTTGGCCTGTATCTCCAAATGAAAGTTCCCGACAAACGACTTATTTAGCTTGCTCGCATCACAAATGGTCCTTTTCATGCTTTTCCCCTGTTACTCAAATCATACGTGTCATGAAACATACCTTATATCATGCAGCAGTCATTCATGAAGCTATAGGCCTAATAATCGACTTGAAGCAGAACAAAAGTTACAAAAATAAGATGATTTTGGTGGCTAGAACTTCAGAAAAACCATCCAGTGCCGCTGTACTGTCATGGCTGTGTTGTGTTTATTGTGCGCTTGTGCCGATCAGCCAATCAGATCATTTCTTGACTATTTATGCTGAGTAAGCCTCCATGATCATTACTACTTCGTGAATGACTGCTGCACGGTATGAGGAATGTTTCATTTCATCTGGTTTGAATAAAAGGGGAAAAGGACCATTTTTGTGGAGTCCGGTTTTTAGGGACTCTGTCATTTTCTATCCGTTACGTACAACGTAGTTTTGTCTCCAGCGTTAAACGTCAAATTCTTGATGAGCATTGGTTGGAGCTGGAGTTACTCAAGCATGTCATGTTTTGGGCTAAATAATGAAGCGTATGGGTAAGTGAACCCTCTTGCCAAGTATGACTATGACATACATGAGTCTGTCTCTGAAATATTTCCATGGAAAGTTTACTTCATTTGAACTAACATAACAAAAGTTGTGACATTTATTTTATTTTTATTTTATTTTATTACACTTCTCCACTGGCTGATATAAAAAAATATTACAAGGTATGCAGAATCTTAGATAAAAATACAGAGAATTTACAATTTCAATAAGTTATTTATTAGTTTTTATTTGTATGGCGATCGTGTAGTGTATGGCCCGGCTCCTAGTATAAGGGAACAAAATCCACTTTAAAATTATTGGACCTACCAAACTAATTGGCGACATTCTTAATGAACAGGTATAGAGGGCAGGGTTTTGATTTTTTGAGGGAAATTTGTGGGTAAAATGACGATGACAGCGCGGGGACAACACGCGACCCGAAAATAAAGATGGCGATCACCGCGCGATGTACCGCGAGAATGCACGGCGCGCTGAATTGCAAGGCACAAACTGCGCAGGAAAATCGTGATTTCTACACCAAGAAACTTTTCAAAATTGCAAAACGGTTATTTGAATTGAGAAAAGTCTGCTGTTGATTGTAAAGGTGATTTTTGTGCAATACAAAAATTTTTGACTCTAATTTTATCAAAACAAAACAGGGGCCCTACACTTCACAATCGCCATTTGTATGGCCCTAGGCTAGCCCCTAGCACAAAGTCTAGTCTAGCCATAGTCTAGACTGTGGAGTTTTCTACACCACAGAAACGCGTTACGTAATGAACGTGTTGTGCCCATTCTTGAAAATCACGCATTCTCGAGAATGGGCATGCACATTTTTGAGAATGTGCAACTGGATCCTTGCTCAATCTTGGCAAAAAATAACTCTTCCAGATTGAGCGCACATTCTCGAGAATGCGCTACAAGATAACGGTCTTGTCGATGCCGAGCACCGGCTGCGCTTGGCAAGTCTAGCTGAATCCTCGTTCACTGATTCTCAATAATTATACTGTTGCAACGCAAGGCTCTGAAAAGTAGAGTGGATATGATAAGTAAAGGCGTATTAATATGGGGGGGGGGACCGGGAAAATATAAGAGACATAATAATACTAGTGCAAAGAATTCTGATTTTTGGGATAATAAAAGCAAGGGGGGGGGACGTAAGAATGAAGAATGTGAAGAATGAGAATGAATACTGCGACATCCCATAGTGCTAATGCTATTTCCCATTTAAATTGCCACCAATTTATTGTTCACATCCCACCATAACGTCGCAGAGCTGGATTCTATCTAGTCAAAAGAGCAATTTTGGCTTCTGGACATCGTTTTTTTTTTTGTGGCACGCATATGATACATGCAGGGACTTGTAACTTGTCTAGCCTAAACAAAGCACTTCCCAGACTAGTTCCCAGTCCTCCGTTATTACAAAACTTCCCATAGTGGGCAGAAAAAAGCAATAATAACAGGTTTAATTTGATTCAAATTATCGTAATTATACGAGTACAGAAGCATAGCACATTTTCTTTCCTCTTTATATGAATTGTTTCCCTTTTAACCGCTATACAATTCATTTAACATAATTATGTCGTGCAATGTTTGTTAAGATTGGGCAAAATTCATAAATTGTGCACGTGATATTCCCAACCAATCTTAAGAATGAGCGCTCATTCTTAAGAACGCGTGCTCGTTCTTAAGAATGGGCGCTCATTCTTAGAATGCGCGCCCATTCTCGAGAATGTGCATGCCCATTTTCGAGAATGCGTGATTTTCAAGAATGGGCACAACAAACGCAATCAAGCATGTCAAGTGTAACACTGTAAGTGTAAGTACAGCCAACAGCCATGACAGCAGGGAGCAGTTTAATATCATGTAAATTACAACATACACAGACACAAAGATGATCTATTCCTCCCCTCACGATCTATTAATTTACATAGTAATTATTTAGTAGTACAATGATAACAAAGATTAAAGACACATACATGTACAGACTTCAGTCTTCACTTCTGAAGGTTTTGATCAACCTTTTTTACAGCGCAAACCTCACAACATGCACGACAGCTGATGTGTGCGTTGACCTCATCTGGCAGAGTTCACTTCAAAAAGGTGTGACTCGGATTTTCAGAACATTTTAGTGTGCATTTTGTTTTCATAAAAAAAAGAAAACTGTTACACAAATACACTCATAACTTAAATAGAACTGTTTAAATGCACGAGATCGACTTTCTCTTTCGTCTAACTCTGGCAGTATACATACAAAGGACGTAGGAATGCCTACCTCCATGGTTTTACCTTCTTCCAAAATGGAACGTCCCTTAATGCATGAAGCTGAAGGTCAAGGAATTTTGTGGTGCGGTGAGAAATTGCACCATCACACGCGCCGCACGTACGTACCATTGAGGATCAGGATTCGATGAACAACACAAGATGAGAAATACCAGCCTGGCTGAGCGCGAGCGAGCCATGAGCAGGCCTCTAATACAGCTACAGCTAGCTAGGCCTGCCATTGACATGTTTGATACAAAATTTCATTGTTTATTCCATGTGATATGTTTTGAATTTTGAGTTTTGATGAGTTTTGTATATTAATTATTACACATTCACTGAAGTCTGCTTGACTGCTTGATGAGTGCTATGTTGTTGATGTACCCTAACGTGGCGCGCCCCCTAACGTGGCGCACTTTGATTTTTCGCTTGTAGCGCCTAGCTAGAGCAAAAGTTTTAACTGAAATTTCACAGAAAGTGAAATTTCATCAAGTTATAAACACTTACTCCTAGAACTATGAGGCTCCACGTAGTGGAGCCTCATAGGTTCAGAACCCCGCAAAATTGTTGTCAGCACAAAACACTAATTAAGTACAAAAATATTGTACGGAGTTTAGGGGCAAACTGTGCAGCGGTTCTGTGGGAAACGGCTTCGTTGGGATGGACGTTTTTGTACTTAATTAGTGTTTTGTGCTGACAACAATTTTGCGGGGTTCTGAACCTATGAGGCTCCACTACGTGGAGCCTCATAGTTCTAGGAGTAATAAACACTCCCGTTCATAAATCGCGAGTTTATTTACCCGCTACAAAGTTAAAAGAAAAAAATATTTTGGCGTGATTTTCCGATTTTATTTTCAAGTGCAAAGTGAACCCTTTGAAAATGCCCCGAAAAATAAGAAAATATTTTTGTGACAAACATCTGGCTGGGTATGTAGGTAGAGATAATAATAATTTATCAGAATTTATCAAGTTTACAGAAATTCTTAAATGTTAATTTGGAATTTTCCGAGATTTATTTAAGTGCGCCACGTTAGGGAACACTCCGCCAAATTGTGCCCAATTTCCGGACGCCACCGTTTTTTAATTTCGGCTTAAATTTTATGAAACCGAAATTGTTCACAGAGGTTAAACAGCAAGCATTAATAAGGTAAAAGTACCAGTATTTCACTACATGAGTTTGAGGTTTGTCAACAAAGAGGTTTGGCAACACTACACGAGGAAATTTGGGCAAGCTTCGAAGTGCGCCACGTTAGGGAACACGACTATGCTTCAGTAATGTGCTCAATGCTGTGCAAAATAAGCATGGATTAACACTTTATAACAGATTATGTATTTTATTCCTCAGTTAACTAAAAAGTTCTTCTAGCATGTCTTGGGTTTGACTTTCTAAAGGAATTGTTACGCCCCAACTATCCGGTTCGTAAGTGACTGCAATAAATCATACATACACGCGCGCGCGCACTCTAGTAAAAGTAGTATTAGTAACTTAAGTAAGGCCAAAAAACAAAGTTCTGGTTCCGATTATATAACATTGCATTCGAAAAGGTAGGCCTAGGTAGGTAGGTAGGGAATTTTTTTTTTTAGACCAATTTTTTTTGTGTACGATCATATGGAGGCGTCTGCGTGAAGTCAAGGGTATAAAACTAAAAGGTAGAAATTGATGGTTTTGCGCGTTTTTTTCTCATTTGTCCCATAAAAAAATTACTAGGGGCTGTCAGAATAGGGTAGGTAGGGAAACCGGAAGCAGGAGTATTTTTTTTTGGCCTAAGTAGTACCATGGAGCTGGTGTTACTAGTAATAGGCCTAGCGCCATTAATAATATATGCGCCTATCAAATGTCCCCCTAATGCGCATACATGTAGATGGGATGAAACTTGGTATAGTTGGGGCATTTACAGATACAAAAAAATGCAAACTAGGATCGACTTAACATGGCTTATGAACCAGTTGGCTATTCTGTGAACCCAAGTAATTTAGATTTAAAGCCAAAGGCTGCGAAATCCATGCTGAACGATGTTTTGCATGATTGAAATTGTGAAAAAAAAGTTCTTAGCAGTAGCCCACTGATTGCTGTACTTCCCCATAGCTTTTACATTGCTGCTTGGACTCGCTGACTGAACAAGTACAATTTACCTTAAACGCAACTACATCTCTGCCACTACTAGGGTAATATAGGGTGATTATTTAATAATAATAATATAATATAATCTTATATAGCGCCCAATCCCTTAAAATGATGTTCAAGGCGCTTACCAATCATTAAAAAAAAAATTAAAAACATGAAAAACCTTTAAAATTTAAATATTGTTACAATACTTATAATAATAATAATAGAATAATATTAATACAAGCACCTTAGCATTAAAACCTAAGAACAAAACTAATCAAGCAAAAGATACATGTAAAGGAAAAAAAAATGGCATATAAGTGACCTATAAAAATGTTGGTAGTACTTTTGTAGAAAGTAATGGTCGAAGGATCATCAGACAAAAAGTTTCTTGATGTTGTACGATGTCAATTTGAGCGACCACACAGTGAACAAAAAGTTGTACACAACAATAATGTAGCATTTGGTGCAGAGGCATGTGCTGTGGTAATGCCACTTAAAACATGACATGTTGTGGGTCTGTGTTATAATTTTCTAATTATATCATTTTTTAACCCTACCACCTGAAATGATTATTTATTTGATCCTCAGACTTATTAATGGCATGAGGAGCAGTAATTAATTTCAAAACTGGTATCAACCGTGGTCAACATGAGCAATGTTGTTCGGAAGAGGGGTGGTCCCAACAGAGGGGGCGGAAGAGGAAGCAAACCCAGAGGAGGTCAAGGAGGAGGTCACAGAGGAGGTCAAGGAGGAGGTCACGGAGGGGGCAAAGGCCAAAGGTCTTCTGGTTTCGCTGCAGAGACTGGAGCGAGAAAAGGGAATTTTGACTACCTTGATGATGACTTTGTCTTGATGCCAAGAGAGACATCTGACAGAAACAACAGGTACATTCATTATGATCCCGAAATGTCTGAAACGCTTTTGTTCTCGACAAAATTTCCGAAACATGATTAGTGGCAAGCATTTTTTCGGAGAGTTGACACCATTTCAGACATTTTTATTGATGCCTTTTTGCGTTTCAGACATTACGATTGTCTGAAACAAACCTGTTAAAACCAATGACTTTTCAGACATTTTGTTAACCTCAAAATATCTGAAATGTAAGCCTATCAAGAAACCGGCCATGTTAAGTTTCAGGCACTTCCAGGTGACTTGAGGCCAGTTTCCTGATAGGGTTACATATCAAACATTCAAAATGTCTGAAAGGTAAGAGGAGATTTTTAAAATGTCCGAAACTTTGACCAAATGTCTCAAATATAATCGCCATTGTTCTTGTTTTAGACTTTTAGTCCGCTTGGCCTGAACAAAAGCGTTTCAGATATTTCTGGTTCATATTGGTGGACTCAGTGAAATAATTGTTTCAAAGCTGATGTGAAGGATGTGAGGTTTATAATTCCATTCATTTGCTTTTTGGATGACAGGGACGTAGTTGAGTCCATCACAAGTCCAGTCACAAGTAACAGTGGATGAACAATACCAAGAAAGAAAAGAAAAGTCTCCTTTATAAATTGAATTGAGACTTCAAACTTGGCAGGTGAAATACTGAGGACCTTGTATTTGCCTCATGAAAATTTGGGAGAATTTTGTAAGCTAAAGAGTGAGTAAAGATGGCCTGATTTTGTTATGCATCTTTTTCTGCACTCGAGGGCCCAGTCTGGAGTCAACCACATCCCTGTCTTATGACAAACTAACATGTAACATTTTGATTCAGGACTGGATCAAAGGGTTCATCAGGAAGAGGTTCATCAGGAAGAGGTTCATCAGGAAGAAGTTCATCAGGAAGAGGTTCAACGGGATCATCAGGGAGAGGATCCTCAGGCAGCGACAGGCAACAAGGGTGGGGCAGTGAGGGAACCCACCAGGGGCGTGGCAATGATGAGTATCGCGGGCGCGGCAGGGGTGGGCCCAGAGGGCGTGGCAGGGGTGAACCCAGGAAGGTGCAGATGCAGCAGCTGCGCATGACAACTGAGAATCAAGAACTGGTCCGGGACGTCTTGAGGGAACTCCAGGGGAGTGAACCATCAGAGATCAGGTATTGGGGTTGTAAAAGTGTCAATCACCAGTCAGTCACAAGCTAGTCACAAGTCAATCACAAGCAATTACGAATCAATCACAACTCAATCACAGGTCAATATCACACGTCAATCACAAGTCAATCACTATTCAATCGCAAGTCAATTACAAGCCAATCACGGCGATCACCAATCAATAACAAGTCAATAACAAGTCAATCACCAGTCGATCACAATTCAATGACACATCAACCACAAGTCAATTTACCTCTCCCCGACGCAAATTCTAGCTTACAAAAAGTTTGGTTGCAGTACCCTCTGTTACATTAGACTCGAACCGGCCAGCCGACCCGGCAAGCTTGGTGGAAGAGTGGCAAGGCATCTGCACTAGTCAGCAGGAGGTCGTGGGTTTGAATCCCATCCGAGTGAGCTTGTGAAATGTTCTTGCAAGACTTTGGACAACACTGAGTATACAGTGTTATACATCTGCGAAGGGTAAAACCCAATATGAAATTCACAACTCAATAACGAGTTATCCCATTACTCACTGTAGCGCCCAAAAACCGCCCAACACTATGATTCTATTGATTCATCAGTGAATGAACACAATATGCAATACAAGGGAGAGTGAGTGTGCATGGCCTTGTGGTTAGGGTTTGTAACTTGCAATCAGAGGATTAGGGGTTCAAATCCAGCTGCTGGCCATATGTGTTTCCTTGGTCAAGCCACTTCACCCCCACTTGCCTCTGCACCCAGGAGTATAAATGGGTACTGGTATTAGCTGGGAAGTAACCTGCGATGGACTGGCATCCCATGGGGGGGGATATAAATATCCTCGATCGTTTCATGCCGAGGAAACAGGAGATAAACACTGGCCTGAAGGGCTATGGGCTCCGTGCGCCAACAAAAGAGGGCACGTTTTACCTGTTTTTAGAGCCCCTTGTCGGGACACCACATGTGCGTATGGGACTGGTTTGCGTGCAAAGTACGCACGACTTATTTCTCCTGAATGTGCACAAAGCTCAGCCGTAGCGTCTTTGCGCGAGAGCGTCAAGCGTCGTAGGTGCGCAAATACGTTCGAATTTAACTTGTGATAGTTTTGCAGACTGATCCCCGCCCCCAATAACTTTGGATCATTCGAAATACGCAGTGGATGGACCAGGAACCAGTCTTGGTCACCCCCAACTCTCCTTTTCTGGCCGTTGAAGGTGTACTTGTGCACGGAGCCCATATTGGCTCGTGACAGACTTTACTTTACTACTTGTACAATGTAGTACATTTGCTAATACATTTAGATTAATCATAAGCAGTCAACCATAAGTCAAATCGCAAGTCAGGTCAAAAGTTGCTGGGGATGAACAGTGACAAGGGAATGCCTTTATAGGCGACACAGGAATGCCTGTAGTGGCTTCAGGTGATTCATTGTCATTCCAAAGATTAGTAAATGTTACATGTAGTTTTCTCTTCTGTTCTAATTGTGCACAGTGAGCAAGGTTATGATGAATTACACAATCGAAGTGACTTCCGCTTCTGGACTCAAGACAAAAGCATGGTTTTGGAGGGTGCTACAGGCTTCCAAGCAGAGAATGAAAATGAGTCTCAGGAGGAACTTGTCAACAAATATGCTCTGCTTAAACTTCTAAAGTGAGTATAACTGGATGAATTGAGTGGGAAGTTACAAATTGAAGGTGGGATTATCAACTTTGTAAATGTGGAGTAAAAATCAGCTGACAACTAGTCAGACACAAGCAATATTCATAGCTGTTATTTTGCATTTTGTTTTTCCACTTTAGTGCATCATTGGTTCTGTGGCTTCAATTTCATGTTCTTTAAACCATGTAGATACGGCTTTCACCGGGATCACTGTCTTGCAGCCTTGGAAGAGACAAATGGCGATGTTGGCCAGGCACTGGATCATCTCCTGCAAGAATGCTTCCACTTTTCACCAAAGCACAAACACAAACGGAAACGGACCAAGAGCCAAGGGGGAGGGGAGACCGATGGACAGATGCAGGAGGCCCTGCAGCAAAGAGAGGAGGAAGCCATGGCTCTGAGCTCCATATACCAGGAGGACTTTGACGAGAGGATACCCAACCGGGTCTGGGTCATGAACTTTGACCTGCCCCATGTCACGGACCACTTTGTGGAGAAGGCCCGCAGCTTACAGAACAGGAAGCAGCAGATGGTGGACAGGTCTCTATCCAGCGTCGGTCTCTGCAGGTTCTATCAGCAGGGCCACTGCCGGTTTGGTTCCAAATGCAAGTTCTGGCATAAGAGAGAGGGTCACAGTAAGTCCTACCAGGAGCTCTGCGACAATGCCGATGCTCAGGTCTATCAGCTTGAGATCAGATTCCCCGAGGGTAACCTGTATCCCATGGAACCTCCTCTCGTGGCCTTCCTCACCTCAAATCCAGACTTCCCCATCGGCAAGAGCCTCAACATCTCCAACTTGTTGTTTGAAGAGGCCAAGGAGATTGCTGAAAGTGCCTCCCCGGTCGTGTTCTCGCTTGTGTCAGTTCTTGAAGATGCTCCTCAGATGATTAAAACTCTTGAACAGAAGCTGTTGCCACTGAGTCTCGCACCTTCCGCAGCTAAACCGGTTGAGAAGAAACCGGCCTTTAAGCAGGGAGCTGGTCGTGGAAAACCTCAGAATGCTGCAGCTGACAACTCGACTGGACACAAACCTAGCAATTCGTGTGCTTTAGCCAAGGGAAAGGACACACCAGTTGGCAGGGAGCAAAGCGAGGACTCTGATAGCACCGATGAGGATGGAGGGAGCTCCTCCTCAGAAATAGAGTCTGAACCTGCACCAGTGAAAGCTGAGAAAAACCAACCAATGAGAAGAGACAAGAGAGCCATTGAGAGGGAAAACAGGACTCTCAAAGAGCAGTTTAGGAAAAAGAAGGTACAAAGTCTCCATTTCCTCTTTCTTTAAAAACTCTAACATCTTCCTTCCATACAGAATCAAAACAAATGTTACAGGTTTTTTTTAAGCCTAACTGGCCTGCTCTTTGCAATGTCGGGGCTTTGGATTTGTCACACCAAGTTAAACAGTGCTTGCAGATGCACCTTTTTTTTGTTTCTGCACTAACTATTTGGCACATAGTTTGACACTTGACTTTGACACGTGAAGCATGCAAGTATTTGGTGTCACGCACCATTCATTGCAAAACTTGCTAAAATAAAATGAAATGTGTTCAAATTTACACGTAGTGTATTTGCAGTGCGAAAACAAATACTTGCCCTTTGAATCAGTCGATAAGGGGTGTGTCGGCAGTTTCCGTGCTTGAAATGGTCAGCTCTGAATTCTGCCTGGCTGGACTTCTGGGACTAGGAACAGTATGGGAACATGTTGGTAACATTGCTCGTCTCCAATGGCAATGCATCACGTTCTGCATGAAGCTTTAAAGAAGAACAAAAATGGTCCGCAAACTAAATGAATGACGGCCTCTGTGTGCATTAGGCACTCATACAGTGTGCATGCTGTAAGTTTTACCCTTCCGTACTGGTATTGAACAATTCACACACTTCCACAAACTCTGCATTGTGTGGTTTTTGTTTTACGTCGGCAGCATTCTCATTCCTACAAGAGCTTCCTGGCTGATAGGCAAAAGCTACCAGCATGGAAGGAACAGGGAACCATCCTGGAAACCCTGGACAGAAACCAAGTAGTGGTTGTAAGCGGAATGACCGGGTAAGCAAAAGTATGTTTGCATTAACTCTTCAATTCATGAACTAAACAGAGCTTTTATGCCTGTACTTTTGAATCATGTGCTCACGTCCACATCCAAAATTTAATTGTTTTTCTTCCAAGCTGAGCTTATTGATTAATTAACATCAATATATTTTCCCATGTAGTTTCATTTGTTTTATAATTTTATTTGATTAAATCATTCATATCGTGCTTCTGGGCAATTCCACGGATGTAAAAACCACAATGTTAAAACTTTAAAAGAGTCCAAATGCCACAAATGAAACATGCATATCATTTTCAAGCGTAGTATCTGTATTTTATTGAAATACCAGTTAATACCGGAGGACATGTAAGCACGATCTGGCAATGTATATTCGCAGGGGCGGTTGACGGGTTAAATCATCAAGCTTTCCCCAAGTGTCCGGCGGTGGACGTGTGTGCATGTCAGTGATTCCCATTGGTTTTGTACACACCGTGTCTGTAACTTGAACTTGGCCACTTTACACAGCCTGTCCTCGTAGCAAATATCGCTCTGTGAGTCTGTGGTTGGGCCTCAGAGTTTTGCAAAATGTGAAGTTACGGTGGAAATTATCATACAAATATTGTATAAATGACTCTCAATAGTCAGTAGGCCTATTTGTGGTGTTTGATTTAATTTACAAATTTGACTGATATATCTTAATTTTTTTTTAAATGGGGTTTTTCAACCAAAAATAATCCTGAAGGCAAGTGGTTAAATACGTTAGTAACTGATACGTTTTATCAGAATTAAAATCCTCTTTATGATTACATGTACAGCTTTTCTTATGTACAATTTTGAATTTTCCAAAATGTACATCTTTACATCCGACACTGTGCCATGGAATTGCGCATCTGTAAATTTTCCTTGTTCACCTTAACATGTTTTGATTTCTCCTCAGATGTGGAAAGACAACCCAAGTGCCCCAGTTCATCTTGGATGCCTCTCTCAAGATCCCCGGCCCCTCGCTGTGCAACATCATCTGCACTCAGCCTCGGCGTATCTCGGCCATGGCGGTCGCTGAGAGGGTGGCCAATGAGAGGGCTGTCAAGCTGGGTGGGGTGGTTGGGTACCAGATCAGACTGGAGAACAAACAGGTAATACATTAAAAAATGTGCTAAAATGTCATGAAGCGAGTTGCCTGGAATAGTCAATGTCTTTGATGCAAGCTATGCTCATAGGGGGATTGGGGTTATTTAGCCCCTGAAATACATGCCAAAGAGCCCACTGCTTTTAGAAAATGTATTTTCGTTAATTTTTTTTAGCTACATGTATGTTTTTCTCCCTTACCTCACCTGAAATGTTTCTTATATTTTCCTGACTTGAAAAGTCTTAAAAAAAGAAAAGTAATACCCTTCTTTACTTGTAATTGCCCACTTTTTTAAGCTTTCATATATCCTTGTTCTAAGCATGAACATTTGTTCATGTTTTCTTTTATTTCACTTATTGCCTTTTTCATTTCACTGTGTCACAGTCTTACAGTATGAATTCATGATAACCAGTTTCAAAGAGATTTAACAGCAATTTGCTACACGAAACCATGTTTCTACAGAATCTGTTTTGACAGAGAAAAATACCTTTCCAGAAACTTTAAATTTTTCACAAAACTGTTTATTGCACACAAATCAAAAATCAAACAATCTATCTTTTTTTCATGTATCTGACTCTTCTTTGCTCACAAATTAACTCAATGCTGGGATTTTGAGATGTACTAGCCCACCACTAGGAAATGCTAAAAACAAATTTTCTTCCTACATGTATGTATTACGTTTTGTAAAGAGCACTCAAATAATTAAGTTGTAAAGAACTTGCCAAAATAATGTTCCTCCATCAAAATTAAAGGGGTTGTATTTTTGTAACAAGCGCAATAACAACAGACTGAGTAATGTGTGATGTAATTTCCTTTATTAGTCTACTTCCACTCGACTTCTGTTCTGCACGACTGGTATCCTGCTGCGTCGATTAGAAGGAGATTTCAATCTGGACGGTGTCAGTCACGTCATCGTGGATGAGGTGCACGAAAGGAGTGAAGAGAGGTAAGCAATGCTCCAGAGATGTAGTCAAGTCATTGAAAGTTTCCAAGACAGCATTCCAAGACAGCATTGGTCACAGCTAGGTTCCACATGCTATCTGACTCGTTTGGTCTTCCCAGTTGTTCTGTCCGAGATCTTCTTGGGCACTCGGCCCCTGGGCCTTGACCAAAGGGGTATCGGTCTCTTCAAACAAATTGTGCCATTCCTTTTCACTTATGATCATACTTGTGATTTAACTTGTGACTTAATTGTGATATGACTTGAGGTGGCGTTGACCATGAGTTTGCATGGTTTGTGCACTCATAGTTACTAGTGTTCTCATAGAAATGTTAATTTGAATTTATGGTGCTTTTGGGGGCATATATTGTTTTCGCCACCAAAAATACAGAATAATGTCCTTTTTATGCATCACATGAATAATACGCATCTTCTCAGTTTACAAGTTACATGAATAATCACTGTGGATTATTTTTCCATTTAGATGATGCGGGAGGATGAGGAAGATAATTCTTCTATTTTATGCCAAAATTTGCATGAAGAGGGCCATAAAGTGTACCCTTTTCGGTTAACAAAAATAAGTTTTAAGTTTTATTCAACACTTGGAATTTCCATAGCATGGGCGACTTGGTACTTGGTAGAAATTTCCTCCTGAATTCTCCGCCAGAGAGATTAACAAGGAGGCCTTCATGAGAGTGGAAACTAACATGATTTTGATTTTGAGTGGTTATCACATTGTACATGTACACTCAACCAAAAAAGAAAGTCCCCCCTTCAATACTTTTTTGTCTAACTCAAAAACTACTGGGCACATCTTGCTCAAACTACGACTGATCAGTACAGAAATTCCTTAGCAATCCAGCCATACTCTTTGTTTGGCCCAAAACAGTGATAATGTGTACAGAATTATGCAATTTATGACAAATGGTACCAAAAAAAAAGTTGCACTTTTGTATACGTGCAAGGTGAGTGTGAACCACAAGTTGCACGTATTAAAAGTGCAACTGTTTGCGGTATCATTTGTCATAAATTGCATAAATTTGTGCACATTATCACTGTTTTGGACCCAATAAAGAGCATGGCTGGATTGCTAAGGAATTTCTGTACTGATAGTCGTTATTTGAGCGAGAGGTGCTCAGTAGTTTTTGAGTTAGACAAAAAAGTGTTGGAAGGGGGGACTTTCTTTTTTGGTTGAGTGTACTTGCCTATAGGAATTAGTGAATGTAATCAGGAGAATGGGACTTACGATCTTGATTCTTCCTTTGACCAGTGATTTTCTGATGATGGTCTTACGAGATCTTCTGCCCAAGAGGAAGGACCTGAGGGTGTTACTGATGAGCGCCACTCTCAATGCAGAACTCTTCTCATCTTACTTCAACGGCTGCCCGGTCATTGACATACCAGGTGAGCAGATTTTCTTTCTCCAAAAAACGTTTTCCAAAAAAAACCCACACAAATTCCAGCAAATTCCAAATTCAGTAGACTTATTCGTTAAGCCCAACCACGTGAAGTTTTGACCAATTACAATCCAAATTTTATGTTTTTGGTATCAAAAGATGAGCAAGACTCCAGTCCTTCTGATTTGAAAATCACAGGCGTGTGGAAAAAGGCACACCTGGATTTTTCTAGGTGTGTGTTTTTTCTAGGTGTGTGGTTTTCTAGGTGTGTGATCTGTGGTCCAGGGAAATTCAGGCATGCAATTATTCACACTTCTCGGGAGGCTTTTAGGTGTGCAATGGTGTGGGGGTGTGATCGCACGCCTCAAATCAGAAGGACTGAGACTCAAGGCTAAAAAGTCAGGACAGCTCGGGTCGCAAAAACATTTTTTTAAAGGGTATCGCGGGCAGAAAAAGTTTTTCACTTGTGGTACCCGCTGCTTCATGTACACCAGATCCAAACCAGCCAGCCGACGCTGGCAAGCTAGTAAGAAAGGGGCGTGGGTTGGAGTCTCACCCAAGTAGTAGAATTTTTTTCTCTCAAGCACTCGGACAACACTAAGTACACATACCCGCTGCTATGTACATCAGATTCAAACCAGCCAACCGATCCCGTTAGCTCAGTGGTCGAGTAGTAAAACATCTGCACTAGAAAGCAGGAGGTCGTGGGTTCGAGTCCCACCCGAGTGATTTTTTCTAACTTTCACTCGGGAGGTAACACACTGAGTATACAGTGTTTAAACGTCGGTGAAGGGCAAAACCTAATTTGATTTATATCACCCCGGCGCAAAATTCCACCTATGACTAAGTACACAGTGTTTATAAAATACTTCAGTGACGGGCAAAACCCAGTACTGAATTTGAATTGAATTGACTTGAATAACTCTGGTTATTTCTCTTGACTCGTTTTTAATAGCGTTTTAAAATCACTTGGAAAGAAGGAAGAGTACAGTCCAACCTACTTTTATCCTGTAACTTTGATGCAGAATCTCTTTTGCAAGTGTGACACTATTGTTATGCTCAGGAATATATCTAATTGGATTGTGAATACCCACAAAATTAGAATACAGTAGTTGCACACCTGAGATACATTTTTGTGTGCATTGTTTCAAGTCATATTAGGTTGTTATTACATGACTCCTTGCAAGACTGTCCTTGTATTTGTTTTTAATATTTTTGTGACAATTGACATTTGGTCTGTTTGAAGAATCATACAACCCCTATCTTTTCTTTTTTTTTTCTTTTTTTTTCTTCCTTGTAGGGAGAACATTCCCAGTTGAGCAGTACTTTCTGGAGGACGCCATTGAATGGACAAAGTAGGTATTCACAATTTCCGTTGGAAATTGATTGATTATTCTATTGCTTTACACACTCAACGCTGTAGTTATGTATTTAACCAGCACTTGTATACATTGTATTACAATGTATTTATTCCCTTATGAATCCATGACAGGCAGGGTAGTTTGGGTCGTTATACAGCAACTAATGGGTCTATTTCCAATAGCGTATCACCTTACATCATGATGTTCAGGCCGCACAGCCCACATTCCCATTCTCAGCCGAGTGAGATTTAGACGCCCTTTTATCCTCCCCTTTTGAATCTATTTTCAAAGCTTCATAAAATATTTTACAATAATTGTAATAAATTCATGAAAAAATGATATTTTAGCTATAAACTGGAAGAGAATTCAACCTACTCTCGGCCGATCAAGCGCAGCAATGCCGTGCCGTCAGACAGCACCTCTAAACAGTTGAAGAACTACCAATACGGAGGCGTGGAAGATGAGATCGAGGAAGCGTTGGCATCGACCTCCATCAAACCAGCCAAGGACAACATGAGAGATTGGAATCTCACCGTCCAACAGCTGGCTGTGAGATATTGTGGTAAGGAATTCACTTGTGTCTTCTTTGTACCTATCTGACTGACTGACTCCCCGACAGACTAACTTACTGACTAACTGTTACTTTGACTGGTTGAAGCCTTTTGAGAGACATTGGCGCATACATACGCTGTGGTGAACAAAAATGCCAAATTTGGAAACAGCCTAACTTTGAGTTAACCCTCCTGTTATTTAAGAGGTCACAAACGGTCAAAAGTTCCTTCCTCACCTCCTGCTATACTTTTAACACAGGCTGGTCACCAATGGTCAGATAATGTATGTGATTAATACATTGGTAGGTCAAAATCGGTCAAAAAGTGTTGACTCTTGGGACATCCTTTCACAGGTACCACATGTTACCCGTTATATGCATGGGAGGATTGATTTTCTTTGTGGAGGGGGGTGTTCAGATGATAACAATGATATGAATTTCTATTAGTTTTGCAATACAATGCTTTTTTGACCAGGCAGTCCTGTAGCACAATGGGACATCCCATTTTATATTCAACAAACAATGGCAAAGTTTGTTGACCCAGGAATTGCAAACAAAGGACATTTGGAAAGTTTGGAAATAAATGTTGCTGTTGAAAATTGTCAAAAATTGAAAGAAATTGGAATTTAATCGTGAGATCTGCAGCTCATGACAAAAAAATGTGTGTGTAAACTCCATACCAGCTCAACTAATGCATTTCTAATCCTAGACTAACAGATTCCATCATATTTACTGGACTTGGCCTCCTCCAAACAGATTACAGCAAGTCTACCATAAAGGTCCTAGGTACCATGGATGCGGAGAAGATCAATAATGACCTGATCGAAGAACTGGTGTCCTGGATTGTCTTTGGGGATCATGAGGTATGCATCTCAACTTATTCTGCAACCTCAGTAAGAAGAGGCGGTATCACACTAGTCCATCACACAAGCCCATCACAGGTCCAGTCACAAGTCCAGTCACAAATAACAGTAGAACAGTAACAATGGAATACCTTTGTCGTGTCTTGTCACAGTTCATTTGAATAGCTTGTGGTATGACTTAGGACGGGAAGACTGGTGATGGATGAGTACTTGTGGTACTGCATCATGGTATAATCAACCCTAACCGCCCTGAATCCTTCAAAATCCTCTTTGCCAAAGTAGAGGAATTTGGAGGATTGAGGTTACATGGCAAAAGTGCGTTAGTGATTTTGTAGGATGCACTTTGTCAAGGTCTTGGGCCAGACCTTGTGTTGTTTTTGCTCAGCCATGCACAATAGGCCTGGATTATGCTTGAAATCCTCCGTATTGCTCCAGGATGTCACTGGCCAAGCCTCAACATATTGACAGTCACTGCCGCAGGATTTTGCAAGATTCAGGCAGTGGGTCACCCCTCCACGGACCATATTCAAGAAATAATGGAGGAATTTGCAGGATTGAGGCTATATGCTTGTTTTCCATGAGGCCAATTGTAGGATTTTGCAGGATTGAGGCTACATCCTAGCAAAAAGGCCTAGGGAGTTAGGGTTTAAAAGATTACAAATATCAAATAAATATGAATATTGAAGAAAAAATCACCCCCATTTGTTTTTTTTTACATTTTTCTCCACTATGACCTGTGCCCAGTTCTGTCTAATTGTGCCAGAATGCCTCATATTTTGGGTCTCCAGATTGCAAAGTACTGGTAAATGCACATTTGTTCTCATGGGTTTAAGGGCATAGAAACAAAATACTTATCTATTCTAAATCAAGGCATGTATCTGCTCTGTAAGGTATTAAACTTCTCTTGTTTTTCCTCAGTATCCGAAGGATGGAGCCATTCTTATCTTTCTCCCCGGACTGGCTGAGATACTTTCCTGCTATGAACAGCTTCAAAGTTCTCTCGGTGGACCCAGAGCCAAGAAACAGTAAGAAATACCAACGGGGCTTTAGTGAAGATTACCTGACGTTAATACTCCCTATTTTTATCATTTGGTTGGTTATTCATGAGATGGAATTTGCGTTGGGATGATGTAAATTCAATGTGGCTTTGCCAACGCACTTTCTAAACACTGTGTACTCGGAGTTGTCCCAACTATTCGGGTGGGACTCGAATCCATGACCTCCTGGTTACTAGTACAGACGCCTTAGCACTTGCATGACCAAGGAGCTTGGATTTCAGTTGGAAAGAACTCCTAACACTATTAATGCATAAGGTCAATCAAACATTCAAAGACAATCTCAGCTCCCTGGGGAGTATACAGCTCAATGCTGCCATTTCGGCGCAAAGCAGCTGAAATCAAACACAATCGGAGCCATCGTTGCCCTTACAGGTACCCATCTACTCCTGGGTGGGAAGAAGCAATGAGTGACAAAGTGCCTTGCCCAAGGGCACACGCACAATAACCCCAGGCTGGACTCGAACCCACAACCTGCAGGATTACCCACAGACCACGAATTCAGTACTCCAGACCCTGAGGCAACGGCCCTGTGTCTTCGCATAGGAACACACCAGAGCATTGGTTCACAGTGACCTCTTTCTTTCCTCACTCAGGTTTAAGCTGGTGCCCCTTCACTCGTCCCTCTCCAGCGAGGAGCAAAACTCCGCCTTCCTCAAGCCTAAGGAAGGAGTCACCAAAATAGTCATTGCTACCAACATTGCGGAGACCTCTATCACCATTGACGATATCGTGTACGTCATTGATGCAGGAAAAATGAAAGAGAAAAGGTACATCCTTGCAGAAGTTTTTTCAGTCACTGAAACACCTTTGTGAATATCCACTAAAATGCTGCGAACATTGAGGCAGAACTTTGCAACAACAAAGTTGTTCACAGTTAACAAAGGCTAAAAGTTTAACATTAGTTTTGAAAATAACCTGCTTTTGAGGCTGTGTACAACTTAACCAGTTCGCACCGGAGGCTGTGAGTACACGCAACAATCTCATGGTATTCGGAACGGATAACAGATAAACACGCAGGGAGCGAGGCCGGAAATATCTGTCGGCTACCCACTCACAGGGAGCGAGGCCCAAAATATGAGTGTGCTGTACGAGTATGATGGCTTCAACCCACCTGGCATGAGGTCGAGTCTAAAGTAATCCCACGCCTTGTTCCGTTCTTGTCAAAATAATTCAGGCGTGAACTGGTTAAGAGAATTTTTTTCGACAAGTCATAGTTTTCTTTTCCTGTTTTTCAACAGTTACGATTTGTAGGAAGCCACCATTTCTGATATTTTTTCTCAGTCAGGATCAGTTACCTTCAATTCAGCATCCTTAATTAGCACTCTTGGTGAACATTCCCTCAAGAGTCTTTGATAGTGGAAAGGTTACATTATTTGTTCTCCTTGGCAATTCTTGAAATACAGATTGTGATTAAATGATAATCAAAATAGGTTAACTACGTATTAAGCATACAAGATTGTTTTGTACAATGTGTTGGCTGGATGAATACTAGCATGCATGCAAAGAAAGCAACATTCCATTTCGTCTGGACTTCGGAACAAATTTAGTTGATAAAACAATCATCATGTTGTTTTAGAGGGGTTTTATGGTGTATGATCTCATATGCACGAATACAGCTGATTTTTGTTTTGTTTTAGTTTGGTCGTTTTGTTAGGTTTGTCCCCTTTTTTAGGGAGGTTAGGAAAGTTGCTGTCCATTACATAGAGAACTAGAACTCCTTCACAGAATCATAATCAATTATAAATAAGAAAGAGCTGTTGAAGACTAATTTCAGCTCCCCATCTCTCTCTCTATGTCATTAGATACGACTCGTCCAAGGGCATGGAAAGCCTGGAGACGACCTGGGTGTCTAGAGCCAACGCCTTGCAGCGTAGAGGGAGGGCGGGGCGTGTCACTGAAGGCGTATGCTTTCATCTGTACACTGCCAACACATACCAGCATCATCTCAGGGACCAACCGATCCCAGGTACCAGCTAACTCAAAGCATTTGATAACCTCAAATGCAACTACTTTGTTGGTTATCACAGTGTTTTGCTGAACTTGAAGGGCCAGTTTTACCTCTGACTGAATGGGTCACTGGCTGGCTAAACTGATATAATCTCTGAGTATAAACATTGTCTGTGACTTCCAACTCCAGCTCAACTGGGCAAGGCTAATCTTGTATTTATTGGGTGATTGGGCTCAACCTGATCACCATTTTAAAATTGTTTGAATGTTTCTTTTTTCCTATTTTTCTTTCCTTTCCTTTTTTTTTTTGTCTCTTCACCCGAAATGGGGCCCTCTAGCAGCATGTCAAAGACAGTTGAACTTTTTCGATTTTAAAAAAGCGTTCATCAAAGTTTTACCAAATTGCCTATCAATTTTCAATGGACATCTGCTAATGACTTTGTGGGGTTTAGAATCATGACATCATCAGATCAGAAGCTATTGTAGGGAGAATTCGAAAAAGTTTTCTTTTTTTAATTCAAATCCATATTTGATCCATGTCCAATGACTATGTTCGTGGCACAAATAATGATACCCAGTACAATGTTAACCTTGGGCTTCTAAATGCTGTGACATCATCAGACCGAAAACTAGGTGTTATTAATACATACAAGTATTAATTTTTGTAGTTTTTATATTTTCAGAAGTTATTTTCACTTTATGTTGCATATGTCTCCTGTCTAAATAAATACATTTTCATTTTTCACATTTTCAACTGATGACGTCATCAAACAAAACCGGAAGTAACGTTTTCATGAAATGTTTACTGAAATTTATCAAACCCAAAACAATACATTTTTTTTTCAAATTAAAACAAATTGTTATTCTGGTAAAGGATGAATTTTATTTCATTTCATGTTACGTTCTTACACTACAGGCTGTGCTTAATCCAAAGATGTCATTGCTTGACAGACATTTGTGCTAAAATCCAAAAACTGAGTTTGGAGGAGTCGGGCAGTTTTCTAGCAAATTGCCACAAAGTTTAGGACAGATTGAAGAAAAATTCATTGCTTATTTTTTTTTTTTTAGAGATTCAGAGAATCCCTCTGGAGCAGTTGGTTCTCAGAGTCAAGATCTTGGACCTCTTCAAAGGAATGTCTGTACGGGTGAGAACATGCTAGGCAATCTACAGCTTAGGAATAGTCGGTTGCCCTTGTGCCATTTTCATCCTTGATGCACAAAAGAGCTAGCCTGATATAGACACATTGTATGAGTGTTCTTGTCAATATCTCAAGAGTCAAGTTAAAATATTGTGAGATGTGTCTAGACAATGTATCTGTAAAAGGTTTCATTAAGTTCTCAGTGAGATTTTAAATGCTGAAAATATTCAAGTTATCTGAAGATGAATGTTAACTCAAAAACACAAACATCCAATTTTTTCTTTCTCGAAAAAGTGCGACTTCAGTCATTTCTCTTATGTATCGGGTCAAATACTGAATAAATGATATCAGACAAATAATGAAACTGAGGCTATTTGACTCACCAGCATTTTTATCTAAAAAAAATTGATTATTAAATTGATTATAAAAGAGGTCTTGAAAAGTCTCACAACAGTCTAGACAGCAGCACTGATTGTTTTGTTTTACTCTTTTTGTGCTTGTGTGACAGGAGGTATTGTCCAACCTCCTAGAACCTCCACCAATCTCCAACAATCAAGATGCCATCCTCAGACTGCAGAATCTTGGAGCGCTTGATAAAGAGGAGGTCAGTCTCATATTGTAATCCCTGTATTTTTGTGTCTAGACCTGTCATGCTTTTTAACTTCTTTTCGCTTTTGTATTTTTTTGTATTTTTCATTTGTTTGTGTTTTTATTTTATTTTTATGGCCAAGTGTCTGGTAAAGCTGTGTTCCTTATAGTGGCGTTTTACAGTAGTCATCAGCACTCTTTATATGGAGTTACACTAAATGAATGTTACTATACAGGAAATGCATGTTCTTGGATGTTTTTATGCATTTGATTTATTTATACAAACTGCATACCAGTAGTGCATTCTCAATAGCAGGTAGCAGTTGGAGATGTTTATTATTCTAAGCTGCGGGAAAGTTGGAGATCCATTTTTTCCCGCACTTAAATTCTGCTGAGGTGTAATAAGTTAAGGTACACCCATTGTCTGGGTTAACTGGTCAAGTTTCAGCAGTAATATGTAAATTTGGACCATCTGTACCCTGAATGTCAAAGTACACAAGAAGTACACTTTTGAAAGAAAGGACACTTAGGCTAGCACATCAACTGGGTTTCAAGGCCCTGAAAAATTCTCCCAAAGTATTAGGCAGGTCGAAAAATTCTTCGTAAGATTGTCTGATTAAATATTCAGCAGAACATTCTAGGAAAAAAATCTTCTTAGTATAAATTTATGCTTGGCCAGTTTTAAACAAGTACCGGCTTGGGGCCTGGACGTTGATAATGGCCCTAGCCGAAATTCATAAATACCTTTCAGTCGAAAATTAAAACCGAGTTAAAAAAAATTAATTTTCAAATGTTTTCTTAAACAGTTTTACTTCATGTTTTTTTAAACACCCTCAAGCTATGTTTATGGTATGTGCCTCTCGTGTGGTGCGTACTGCACAATGTGGCGCAGAACGTGGCGGTGCCGGTGTGGTGTGAATTGAGGACTCTATGAAATACAGACTCATTGGTAGAGTATTGCGCATGCCTAAGTAAAGATTGTGAACATTCAACCAATAAAAGGGTTAAAGGGACCAGATTTCATAGGAGTCTCAAATTTCATGTGACACTGGAACGGTGTTTAAAACCAGCCTGTCAGTATTTTATCAATTGTTTAAAACCACAGGCTCTCGACCAATAGGAATTAATGGGTAAACTGTCTCAGGTATTATGAATTTTTATTGATTTATGTTGTACATTGTTTCAGGTGTGGTCTCATGGCACTATCAGCATTGAAACATTTGAGATTGACTTGTACAGAAAAAGCCCACCGGGTGTATTTTTATAACCTGGGATTGTTGTTATTTCTGTTGCAGGGCTTGACCTCCCTGGGTTATCACTTAGCCTCCTTACCAGTTGACGTCCGCATTGGTAAACTCATGTTGTTTGGCGCCATCTTTCGCTGCCTGGATCCAGTGCTTACTATTGCTGCTAGTCTCAGCTTCAAGTCACCCTTCGTAAGGATCAAATTACATTTAGATTTTATGAGAACATCTTGTGAAGATTCCTGGAACATACTTACATTTTTATTTTCGAATATTTTTTTCAAATATATTTTCAAATATTTTTTTTTTTCAAATATATTTTCATTTTTCAAATAACAAGTTGTGGAGAAGTGATCGATTTACTATTTGTTATATTTTATATATTTATTTCTTTTCAATAAAAGGTTTTACAAAAGTGGATAAGCTTTGGGAGCATCACAGTGTAAAGATGTTTGTTCAGTATGTTGACAAATTATCAACTGTCAGAAATATCCAAGCCTTTTGAAAAAAATTGTCTTACACATGGTAGCAGGGAGTCACTGACAGTGTCAGTATTTTCAGAATCACGTACCCATGTATTGCAGTTTGAAGTTTTAAGGGAAATTAATCTGACAAGATAACAATGTTGTATGTCAATCAAGGTGGCACCATTTGACAAGCGAGACCAAGCAGACAAGAAGAAGTTGGAGTTCGCCATCGGCAACAGTGATCACCTGACATTGCTGAGAGCTTACAAGGTAAAATGAATACCATCATGAATTACAATAACGATAACGATGTTGAGGAATCAATGTAAAGATCCAATAAATATATTCAACTTTACTGATGTCTGCATTTCGTTTCTGAATTGCTTGCTGGTACGTTCATTTGGGGATTCAAATGAAATGCCCATTTCTTAGAGATGTATAGTTGCCTGGGTACTAACAAACCTTATGCACTAGCTGTGGCCATATTGGAAGGTAATTCCTTTGGTTGGATGGGATAAGCATTAGAAGACCTTTTGCTATATTGATGTTGTATGAATAATCGTTACTATTATCTCACCTGTAGGGCTGGACCACGTGCATAGGGCGAGGATCTTACAACGGATACCGGTATTGCCATGAAAACTTCCTGTCCTTAAAAACACTCCAGGTAAACAGTAACTTACATAGCAATGTAATCAGTGTTGCTGTCCAATCACAAAACGTTTTTCCTTTTTTTTTTTAACTGTTGTCTTGATAAGGTATCAGAGTTGTAATCCAGTCAGCCACAAAGTCAATCACAAGTCAAACCTGAAGTTTGGTCACAAGTCAGGTCAAATTAACAGTGGCAAAGGAATGGCTTTTTCATCTTTCATTTCAATATACATGTACCTTGCAATTTGAATTGGGACTGGGTAACTTATAACGACTTGGGAGGACCTGATGACAACTGTACTAGAATTTATTTGCCGAAGGAAATTTACAGGCAAAAATAGTTGTGCATTCTTATTTATGCTGGGAAATCCATCTAGTAAGAAATGGGTATCACAGGTAGAGTGCGTTTTGTTTTTTGTTCATACAGATGATTGCAAGCATGAAGCACCAGTTTGCAGAGCTCCTGTCCAGTATCGGCTTCATCAAGGAAGGACTGAGCTCCAAGATGATGGACCGAAAGACAGGAGGGAATGGGGATGCAGTCCTCAAGATGTGCGGACCTGAGGTAAGACTGTCTTAATTTGTAGTTGGTGGTGGTCATTAATTGTTGTTTTGTGGTGTTAACCTCGGGTACATATAGAACTGCACTCACCTTGTTGTTTGGGTGTGGTACCCTGAGGTAATTGTAAGAAATCTAGCTATATTGGTGGTCAGCACTAGCTTGGGGGGTGTACGCCCCCACCCCCTCTAAAAAAAAATTCCCCCCCCCCTCCTCTCCTTCCACCCCCAGTCGGTCCCCCCCCCCCCCCCCCCACTGGAAATTTGTTAGTCCTATAAGTTACCATGGTTAACAGGTTTAACAGAAATTGGGCAACCCCCCCCCCTCTCCCCACCCGCACACTATATCATCCACTCCCCCACTCGCCCTCTATGGTGAGAACCCTGGCTACGCCGCTGTTCAGTTCAGCTCCTAAGGTAATGTCGTACTTGTTTTGAGGTACGGACAAGGATTAAGATTTAACTCATCCACCTTTTGGGGAATGCTAGAACTAACAGACAGGAGATCCAGATTTTTTTATCGGAGAGAAAGACATCAATATACAAAGAAATTCATCTTTTAGAACTTTCATCCAATTTTCAGACCTTTTTCAAATTGACAATCTCATCCCTATAACACAGAAAGTTAGTACCTATACCGCCCTGCTCACAGAGTTTGCGCAGGGATTAGACACTAAGCGCTGTAGGACTATCTTATGATTGTCCACTTGTCCTCTTTTTTAAGGGCAATGCAAACGCAGACAACTCGCGGCTCGTCCTTGCCGTCCTATGTGCTGCCCTCTATCCTAACGTGGTACAAGTGATGACGCCAGAGTCCAAGTACAGCCAGACTAGTGCAGGGGCTGTGCCTAAGGCACCCAGGCCAGAAGATATCAGGTTCAAGACGAGAGATGATGGCTATGTGAGTACATGCTGTGGTACTTGTAATTGTTAATCATCTAGCTTCCAAGAAATCTGTTGTGTGTTAATTTTGGAATTTCTGGGATTTGTTCAAGTGTGCCACATCGTGGAACTGTCTTCGCGATTTGTAGCCCAATTTGTGCAGACCAGCTGTTTTTTATTTTTGGACAATTTCATAACAATAAACTTAATTATATTAAGAGCACCAATATTCAACTGGATGGATTTGAAGTGCATGAATAAAGAAGACATACACATGAAACTATTTGTACTATTACTGACCATGCAAGAAGTGGCGCATCAGTTCTATTTAGGCTTGGTGCAAATTTAATGCACAGCTATTTTACACTATTGCACCACTTGCATTCCATGTTTTAGCTCATTCTTCCGTTCACTGTTTTGTGTGTTTTTGTAACAGGTGAACGTTCATCCATCATCAGTCAATTTCCAAGTGCGACACTATGAGAGCCCCTATCTGGTGTTTCATGAAAAGATCAAGACATCAAAGGTATTTCAACTATCTCCTCCTTCATCTCCTAGGGTGGCATGGGTGGCTTGTGCGTAAAGCGCTCGCCTCTCACCAAGGTGACCACGGTTCGAATCCTGGCCGCGGATCACATGCGAGTAGAGTCGTGCGTTGGTTCTCTCCTGTGCCACGTGGGTTTTTCTCCGGGCCCTCCGGTTTTCCTCCCTCCGGAAAAATCAAACACTTTCGATCTCAGGCTGTGCTCCGTGGTCGTATATGGGTCGATGTGGCCGGCAGCCATAGGCGCCTTTACGTGCCAGCGGCCCAACCACGTTGTAGCCGCGTCCTTCGCAATTCAGCATACCAGCTGCGAGTAAGGATGATTAGCCTCCCAAATTATTATTATTCATGAAGCCGGTTGGGCCCAATAGACTGATCCTAAGCCATGCCCAGTGGTGTTTTGACCAATTCAAGCACGGTCTCGATCAATGTCCGACATGTGTGCACGAAAGTCGGGACACGTGCGCATTCTGGAACATGCAGTGTGGAGCACATTGGAGAGGTACACGTGAGATTGCCCGTGTGTACAGTGGATGGGGCCTAATGGATCCGTTTTTTCATGGTGCTTATAACCATGTTAAAGATATAGTCCATCATTTGTAAGTTGTGCATTTTGTTCGTTTGAAGCAACAAAAGTGCTCAAAATCTAAACAAGGGTGCTGAACAACTAACCTGATGAAGTTTCAGCTTAGCTTCAGCTGTATATTTCGAGAAAAACAACATTCTAGGATCTCGATTTCAAATCAAAAGTTGCTGAATCATGTTTTGAATCGGGCCTGAATTCAGCGTCCGAGACATGTTCTCACCGAGCCAATTGCAGCTACGCGATGTCGCGCACTGATCCGACGAATTATAGCAACCACGCGCGCGAACGAACGAACTACAAACGGAAATTTCCAACGGTGCTTCTTAAGACGCACCGTTGGAAAGGCCTCTTTCATTGATTCCTTCAAAATGACAGCTTGCCAGAAAGAATAATTTCAAAGGGAGTTTAGTCCCATTACTATCTTTCAACCAAATATATTTTTCAACAATAATTACGTCAGTTAGTTTTGGATAGCTGCAAATGATGGACTCTGGCTTTAACAGTGGGAAATATTGATTAGCAAATATGAGGTAAGCATCACAGTAAGCAGTGAAAGCTCAGAATTTCACACATGTGGACAGGAAAAACACATTTTGTTTGCAGATAATATGGACAAATATTACAAAGGTTCTGCAACAATTAGTAGTTACTGTGATAGGAGAGAACCCCAAGGTGCCTTTTTATTTGCCTCATATGTTTTTAGCAGTGTCTTCTGCTTCATGTAAGGAGCGAACACCTGGTAGTATAATACAATTTGTACATAGCACAAACTTACCATACCCTTAAGTCGTGAAATCGCACAGCTCTAGGAACAGTTTCTGTGCTTATTATGGCATTCTGCGCTTACAGCATAGCAAAGAAATTGCACGCTAACTTTCTATGTAAGGATAGAACTCTTTTGAAAGGTCTACGCCATGTTTTTGGGCAAATGTTTTGCTCGCTTGGGTAACACAGTAACTGTTTATAGCAAAGAATATCTGTATAAACAACTAAGCGGGGTATTTGTTTGCTAACGGTAAGCAGAGTGATGCAATGGGTCTCTGATGCTATACCAAATTTCCATGTCAACTAGGTGTACATCCGTGACTGCAGTATGGTGTCTGTGTATCCGCTACTGCTGTTTGGAGGCTGTGATCTCTCCATAAATATGGATAGAGGGCGCTTCATCATCTCCCTGGACGAGGGCTGGATTCGATTCAATGTTGCCACTGTCGAGGTTTGTCATTTGTAATCTGTGTGTTACAATTTGTAAGATTAGATTCATATTGGGTGCTTTCGATTAGCTTACGAGTGTAAGTGAAACTTGCATAAGAGCGTTTGATTAGCCATCACGTGATCCTCATGTCTGCCCTGGTGTCAACCACCACTACCCCAGACAACAATATGCCTGGTGTGTTTACATTTTAAAGTCCCACCCAAAAACGACCTTTGACTTTAATTTTCCTAGAATGCCTAGGCAATACACTGTAGAATGCCTAGGCAAATACACCGTAGAATGCCTAGGCAAATACACCGTAGAATGCCTAGGCAAATACACCGTAGAATGCCTAGGCAAATACACCGTAGAATGCCTAGGCAAATACATCGTAGAATGCCTAGGCAAATACACTTTGAGTAGCCTCATTTGGTGGCTTCCCCGGGTGTAACCCTGTGTATAAACGGGGAAGCTTATCGAACGCACCCATTAAAAACATTCCAGTGGCTAACGCAATCCTTTGAGGATCCTTCAAATAAGATTTGAATATTTGCATGGTGAAGATAACAATAAGATGAAGGTTTCGGGAGCACCATGTGACAAATCTCTTTTGTGAGTTTGTGAGGTTTTGAAAAGAACCAAGGAAACTCAACGTTTCGGACAGTATGCTCTGCCGATCGTCAGAAGACAGACGATGTCAGGAGACTGTGTCTTCTGACACCAGGCAGAGCATACTGTCCTAAACGTTAAGTTTTCCTGGGTTTTTTTTAGAACCTCACAAACTCACAAAAGAGATTTGTCACATGATGCTACCGTAAATCTTTATCTTATAAGATCCTTTAAAATCCGTAAAAAATTGTTTCAAGAAATTTTTGAAGGATAAAGTGCGGTAGAACCTAGCCACTATTACTTTACATGAGACTTTAGGTATGTTGAAAGTTAAAAGTCAAAGAAGTTACCATTGGTTTTCTGCCCAACAAAGGTTTTTTTGAGGATTCAGTATTGTCCCTTGTTTGAAAAAAAAATTGTGTAAGGAGAATTAGGATGAAAAACTGTGCCTAAGCGCCACCACTTTGACCCCATATTTTAAACCAGTCTGGTATATCTTCTCTTTGCCAGGTGGCCGAGCTGGTGCGGGAGCTGAGACTGGAGCTAGACCAGCTTCTGCAGGACAAGATCCAACAGCCCAATATGGATTTATGCACCTGTCCCCGAGGAAGTCGTATCATCACAGCCATCGTGCAGCTCATTACAACGCAGTGAGCAAGGACATGACAACTTGGCCCTCTGTGGACCTGTGCACCTGCCTACAAAGGAGTCGCATCATCACAGCCATTGTGCAGCTCATTACGACGCAGTGAGCAAGGACATGACAACTTGGTCCTCTGTGGACCTGCCTACAAAAGAGTCGCATCATCACAGCCATCGTGCAGCTCATTACAACGCAGTGAGCAAGGACATGACAACTTGGCCCTCTGTGGACCTGTGCACCTGCCTACAAAGGAGTCGCATCATCACAGCCATTGTGCAGCTCATTACGACGCAGTGAGCAAGGACATGACAACTTGGTCCTCTGTGGACCTGCCTACAAAAGAGTCGCATCATCACAGCCATCGTGCAGCTCATTACAACGCAGTGAGCAAGGACCTGACAACTTGGCCCTCTGTGGATTTGTGCACCTGCCTACAAAGGAGTCGCATCATCACAGCCATCGTGCAGCTCATTACAACGCAGTGAGCAAGGACATCACAACTTGGTCCTCTGTGGACCTGTGCACCTGCCTACAAAGGGGTCGCATCATCACAGCCATTGTGCAGCTCATTACGATGCAGTGAGCAAGGACATGACAACTTGGCCCTCTGTGGATTTGTGCACCTGCCTACAAAGGAGTCACATCATCACAGCCATCGTGCAGCTGATTACAACGCAGCGAGCAAGGACCTGACAACTTGGCCCTCTGAGGACCTGTGCACCTGCCTACAAAGGAGTCGCATCATCACAGCCATCGTGCAGCTCATTACAACGCAGTGAGCAAGGACATGACAACTTGGCTCTCTGTGGACCTGTGCACCTGCCTACAAAGGAGTCACATCATCACAGCCATCGTGCAGCTCATTACAACGCAGTGAGCAAGGACATGACAACTTGGCTCTCTGTGGACCTGTGCACCTGCCTACAAAGGAGTCGCATCATCACAGCCATCGTGCAGCTCATTACAACGCAGTGAGCCAGGACATGACAGCTTGGCCCTCTGTGGATCTGTGCACCTGCCTACAAAGGAGTCACATCATCACAGCCATCGTGCAGCTCATTACAACGCAGTGAGCAAGGACATCACAACTTGGCCCTCTGGGGACCTGTGCACCTGCCTACAAAGGAGTCGCATCATCACAGCCATCGTGCAGCTCATTACAACGCAGTGAGCAAGGACATGACAACTTGGCCCTCTGTGGACCTGTGCACCTGCCTACAAAGGAGTCACATCATCACAGCCATCGTGCAGCTCATTACAATACTGTGACCTGTGGAACATGACAACTTACGTACATAGTCCTGTGAGGACCTGTGCCCATGTTTGAGTGAATGTAAAATCTGGGTATTCTCTGACATGTACAGCATAATAGGATATTTTGCGCTGTAGTCCACGATGCTTCCATCATACATGGAAAAATGTACTTGTAAATGTACACTGACCACATGGATAGAACTGTATGCATAGCATGGGATGCAGCATGAACTTCATGCAAGTTATTAGAAATTGAATTATCCGTGACTTTTTATTGTGGCAAGTGAAGTCCAGAAGCAGAGACAAGTGCCTTGCAGTTGTATTATGCAAAACATGCAAAGACTTTATTTCCAAAATGCGATATATCCATTTGATAAAAAGTGAATATTTCCACCATTATTAAATTTAACCCTAACAGAACTCGACCCATCAAACCCCAACGGCATGTTTTGTTGGAATCTGTCAGGATGGGTACATTGTACATTACCCCTAAACTGACAGTCTTTTACGTTGGGTTGGCACACCTCCAGAAACAAAGTCAGAAATATATGTGCGTAGTTTCCCCATATGGTGTTGGAGTTTGCCAGGATGGGTATGGTTCCTAGTAAATCATGCTAGGGAGTTGGGGTTAAAGAACAAAAACAGCACAACAGCTGGTTCTAAACTTTTTTTTCAAGTGTGTTTAACTATATAAAACCTGTCAAAATGGACTTTGGCCAGCCAGGAGAGCGTGGAATTCTAAAAGATAACACAATGACGTTTATCTCATTTTGGAAATTATCTCTTCATGAACATGTGTATATAGATATGTGATTTTTTATAAAGAAAATATTTTAATGCCAAAATACTTACAAATCAAAACAAATTTTGAATCCATTGAATGTGTGCCTGTACATTGAATTGCATGAGCCTATCAGTATAACAAGTGTAATTTTTTAATTCCAGTTAGTACAATTGTAATTTTTTTGATGCAGAGTAATTCAGTTCTTTAAAAGAATACTGCCAAAAATCACCTACATTGTTAAAAGTATCTGTTTTTTAACAAAAACAAGTATTTATTTTCCTGTATAAATGAATCCAGTACATAGGCCTACACATCAAGTATTTTCTAACTGTGACTTGTGCAATTTAGAACGTGTGCTTGGGCTGAATAGAAAGTTTAAATTTTAGCAACAGTTAATTTTTGGCTTTACTAAGAGGAAGATGGTCACTGAAAATTCAAATCACTAAATTTTGAGAAAATAGACAGCATTTCTGAGAAGTCCAAAGTTAATAAAACACTGACTACTTTCTAATGCAACACAGTTGAAAGTACAGAGCATTCAAAACACGCATGCCTTGAATGCATTTTGAGGCTAGTGTTAGAACGGACGAGTCTGAACAAGATGATGGGGAGAAAGCAGGGTTGTTTGATTTAAAATCACCTGATTTAAATCATTCATTTAAATATCTTGAAGAGTTTTTTTGAAAATCATTCAAAAACTTCAGGAGTCATGTAAAAGTTTTTTTAAAAATCACATGATACTTATATACGCTCATAAATAAGAGGTTTTTAAGGTTATTAACCCAATTTGAATACACTGATGTTATCTGGTGGATCATTCCATCCAGTATGCTCTCGTGGCAGTTGATATGTTCTGCTTGGCTACACTGTTATCAACTTCCCAATGAATGCTGTATGTAATTATTGATTCACGCATGGATGCAAGGCATGTTACATATTCCTAAAGTTAGGGTTCAACCCTAACAGAACTCAACGGCATGTTTTGTTGGAATCTGTCAGGATGGGTACAGTACCCCTTACATTGGGTTGGTACATGTACACCTCCAGAATCAAAGTCAGAAATACGTTTGTACAGTTTCCCATATGGTGTTGGAATTTGCCAGGATGGGTACATTGTATGGTTCCTAGTAAATCATGCTGGGGAGTTAAAAGAAACTTTGTTGTCTGAACAGAAGTAACACTTAAACAGATGACAAACTTGTCTTTAATTCTTCCATGGTGGGTCCTTCACTCTTGCTCAGTGTTCTACAATTTAATAAATCCCTCAAATATATTGAAGCTCGTGAGATGGTTAATCTCTCTCTTTTTCAGGAACAGATAATTTCTATAAAAAAATCTTTGGGAGTTTTAAAATGTATAAATGCAATGCAAAATAAACAGAGTTTTACAAATGGGTGTTGAATAATATACAATGTATGTATTGAATATGACAAACAACGTTTTTGATAACTCATACACTGACAAAAAACAAAACAATCGGTTTAAATTGTTTTAAAATCTGATTTTTTTTTTTATCAAAAAAAGAATCATGATTAACAACCCTGGGGAGAAGAGGAAAGAGTTTGAGCCTAAATAATATCCAAAATATAATATACATGTATCAGTTGGTAATTTACAAAGCTGCAACATTCAAATAAATATGTATGCGTGAAACAAATCTTTGGTTGTACCTTATCTGTTTATTTTCATAACAATGTTAAAATAGAGGCTCTGCCTCGCCTACTTTGTGGGGTGAATGTAGGTGGCTTTACTGCATGGTCTGCTTCACAGGGGAGGGGACTGAGCCAAACAACTTGTGAACACACACATACGTTTACGTTACATACGTAGTGTGAATATTCCTTTGCTTTCGTGCAGTTCAGAAAAACCTGTGAAAAAAAATCATTTTACTCCCACTGTGAAAACTCTTTCAACCCAATTTTTTTCCAATGATTCCCTTTAGTGTTTCTCTTTATTTTGCCACTAATAAACCTAACCCCAAAATGCCTCTAAACCTGTTTTCTAAGAGGGGGGAACCTTGTGTGGACGTGGGCAAGTCCACACAACGTCGCTGCTACCTGGTTTATGTGGACATCTTTTGTTCAGAAGTCCACACAGTGAGTGTAATGCTTTTACACCTTTTCCACTTGATAGTATAGCAGAGATGAAATAGACTTTGAGTTGGATTTGAACCTGCAACCTCTGGTACACCAGACTGGAGGGCAGTCTACCAGCAAGTCTGGGTGTACATATACATGTATGTGTGTTTGCTGTCACCCAATTCATCATGTTACACCATGACATTAAATTGTGTAATTTCACTGGTTGAGAACTGTTCACTTGACGTATTTCAGGAGTTCATGTACATGTACATGTATGCATGATGACCTAATAGACTATGCAGAGTATACAAAAAATGTTAAGAGAAAATATTAATAACACCACAATTGTCTGTTGTGATATAGTCTATTGGTTTTGTACATCCTTGGGAGCAAATACACACATAGCAGCCTTGGCTTTGCCATAGGCACCATTTGCACCACATGTAAAAAACACCACGGAGAGTCTACATCACACCAGATATTAACTGTATAATGGTCAAGGGCTGCTACTGGTTTGAAACAATGAACCTCATGTTGCCAAGTTTGGCATCCCCCCCCCCCCACCAGGTCAATATGCCAGATGTATTGTCATTGATGCATAACTCAGATCCTTCATTTTCTATAGTAATTGTGAAAACTGTAAAGGCATAAAGAAATTCAATAATCCAATGCTAGATATTACAGTTCTATTTAAAATCTCAATGTGTAATGACATCATAGGCTCCAACCTGCCCAAAGGCACCCACAGGCATGGCACAGCCTTTTCATGTTTTGACATCAAAGTGCAAGTTCATGCAAGGACCATGAGTTCACTAGTGGTTGCTTTGAGACATAACTTATGCCTGCACACTAATAGCAACATACATGTATGAATGCCTCCAGTCAAATGCTGGTCAAAACGTCATCACTAAAACGTCTTGGTCCATTCCCCCTGTTGTGCTTTATGATGTGCGTGGCTATTGGTAACCAGCGATGGAACCGTTCCCCGTGCTCTGGTTCCAAATAGCTGACTAGAGTAGTCCAACTGTCCTTCAATCGAGCTAAGCTAGTCGAACAATACGGTAAACTACAATATCCGCGCCCGAACTTGCTCAAGCTTTACTTGTTCTTACATGGCAAGACCATTGCTACTCAAGCACCAGTCTTTTAATGAATACTGTTGCTGATTACACTTTCGTCAGAAAACTAATTTACTCTTGCCCTCGTCAGATTCTCATCAATCCTTAATGCACACTCATCATGTAGATGTACCAGTTTCTCAAGAGTGAACTCCAGCACACTCCTGCACATGCCACAAGAGTTCAATCCTCTCGTCATAAGCAGCTGATGAGTGACCCGTGCTATCAACTAATGTGCCTTCCAACTCACTTCCTATGGAGTATAAAGACTCAATCAACTCTTCTTTCAAAGGCTCTTTGTCTTGGCACATGTTCAACTGACTGGCAGTTTTCCTGTGTGGTTCCAGTGAGCTACAGCGAGAGCCCTCATGTGTTTTCTCCGTTACAAGCTCTGGGCTTTGGCATTTCTGGTTTGGACTGTATTAGCGCTTGCACTCTGGCCAGTATGATCTCATTTGCGCTCACGCAGTTCTCCAAACCGTACGGCGGTTCAACGTACAGTGCTCCTGCTATACTGAGCAGTTCTCCCTTGTCCCCCGACAATGTCACGGGTATGTGATGTTTTTCCAGCCACTGTTTTAAGTCTGTCTTTCGACGGGAGATTTCCTCTTCTGACAGCTCGTTGTGCTGATGACTGGACTGGAACAGTCTGTTGAGTCTGTCCAGGCACTGAGGCGTGGGTTCACTGACAAGGGTTACACTGTGGATGGCATGACCCATGATGACTTCAGTTACTGCACGCTGGTCATCAGGGAATTCTACAAGCACAATACTGTAAAAAAAAATATATGGAAGTTTGTTTTAATAACATTATTCCTATAGGGAACAAAATCCACTTGTAAATTATTTGACCAACCAAACTAATTGGTGACGTTAAGAACATATGAAGGGCAGGGTTTTGAATAGACCCGTGAACGTGGCTATATACATAGCCACGCTTCAATCTATAGTAAAAACACTCTATTGTGATCCACGGTTACTGTGATCGAGTGACCGTTCTAGCCGAATTTCGGCTACATTTGACAGAATATTTTGCATACAAAAATGACTTGTACAGAAAATCAAGCAGGATATTTTTTCGGCAGAATTATGTAGATGAAGGACAATGAAAAAGATTTGAGAAATATGGGCACATTTGGTTTGAAAAACCTTCGTTTTTTTAAAGATCCCTGAAACAATCCCTTACACAAGGGAACAGCAATATTACTGGGTAAATGGCAGACTTTCGAAGTGGATTTAGCAGAATTTTACATGGTATTACGGTCGTCCTGCCATGTAAGACAGTTAGTCGGGTACCCACTGGTGGGACTCCTACTGTTTTGTGCATGCGGAACTCAGGGTACCAGAGTGTCATGCCTGTCTTTGATTTTCTGATCATTTTGAAAACGTTCGTTGTGACAAAGTTGTGCCGTATTTTACATCAAGTTTCTTGGCAATGACAGATCCAACACTCGCGTAAATTCACAGGAAGCCTAACAAGTAAGTGATTTACCTATGGGCAAAATTATACATTGTTATATGTAGCGGATCAAAAGATCAATTGATAAATCGCTTGTATTTATGCGAGGGAAGCGCGTGGCGTTGTATACGTTCACGGGTCTCGGTTTTGAATTTTTGAGGGAAATTTGGGGGTAAAATGAAGATGACAACGACAAAACGCAATACGAAAATAAATATGGCGATCACCATGCAATGTACCGTGAGCGTGCAAGTCACGCTGCACGACAACCAACATGACCAACCGGCCTGTAAACAGCGTGGTAGGAAAATCGTAATTTCTACCCCAAGAAACTGTTCAAAAAATACTAAAAAAGGTGTCATTACATTTAGAGAAGTCTGCCTTGGGTTGACAGTGTCATTTTTAGTAATAAAAAAAATCTTGATTTAATTTCTAATCTAATGTGATCGAAAAAAAAACAGGGGCCTATGATAACGATCGCCGTATGTTGTTTGACGTCTTCAAGTTCTTGTCATGTTGACATTGTTGTTTGACTTTGAGCGCCCAAATTAACTTCTTTGAATTTACCTTTGAGACACAGGGTCAACTGTAAATATCCATCCAGTATGCCTCTTACTATCCTTGCTTATTACGTCCACCTTTTTAGAAACCAACGAACGCCAATCGCAAGGAGAAAAGTGCACAAAATCTTTACCCTGTACAAACTGTTCAGCATCGAGTTTGTTCATGGGCGCCGCCATTTTGAAATTGTGCAGCGCCCTCTTTTTTCCACATTGCGCCCGCTCGCCAGCTTTATTTTTTTTTTTCATGATGACCACTGAGTCACGTCGCGATGAGCTCGGAGAGGGAGTACTACTACCGGGTAGCTAGGTATATGATGGGGGGGGGGGGGGGCAACGAGTTTGACAAAACGAGTGAATAAGATGCATTGAATGCATTTCGTAGTTGTTTATGTTGAAATCAAGTTTTTACAAGTTTTGCATTCTCATTTTACAAGTCTTTTTACCTGACCATAGAGCTGTATTTAAAAGATGTATGGACCCGACTTACAATGTGTGATTTACAACTCAGGACGCTCACTTTTTATCACGACGATCTCCATCCGAGAGTTCGACTTAATTAGTGGTCTAGCCTGCCTAGCCAAACAAATGCTGGTCAAAATATCACGCGGCTGGCTGTAGTCAAACTATTCCTACGGTAGCCCGCCCGGCTAGCGAGTCCAGATGAAAGGACAGGAAGAAATAAATCATGAAATTCAGAGAGCAAATCTGTATCAATGTCCGTGGGCGCGGCGCTGTTGTTAAGAGTCTGTTCGATCAGTAGCCCGGTAGCCTAAGGTCGGTCGAACCCTGTCTCCATGTGATTAGGCCTCTATCCTCAAAATATTTACTGCCTTTAAAAAGTGATGTTTTTTAATTAATAACTCCCCTCCACCAACCCCCCCCCCCCCAAAAAAAAAACCAATCGAGAACAGTCCAAAGAGGACATATAAAGAGACCAGGCATATGGCGTATCCGGGGGGGGGGGGGGGGGCAAGGGGGAAGGATCTCGAAGACAGTTTTTTCAGTATTGGAGAGGGACAGGTCACTTTCCCATATAATCCTAAAAATAGCATATAATCGTAATTGCGCATATACATAATACGCATGCGCAGTACTACCGATGAGCCTTATTTCATGGAGTCGGATATTCACGCCACACCCCGCGGCATGTCTTTCGCACAGCCTATGGGAAACAGGCAAGGAACGCTTGGAATAAAAATATGGATCTGGGTACCGGTAAGAACTACATGTACATCAACCTCTTCCCCAGTGCTTACTTTATTTCCAACCTCATTTCCAATAGTAAGCAGGTAGTGGTTGGTGTACTGCTCGACACCCTGGGGACGAGGTTGGGAGCTACCTGTACATGTTCTTGAAAAATGAAGGGGTGTGTGCCAGCCGTGTTTATAGCCTAAATGCACGGCTGGTACACACCCCTTGGTTGTACCTATATAATAGGTACAACCTTTAAAAAAAAAAAAAAAAAAACTGAACTGCAGATAAGAATAATGTTGTCATTGTGTACATTTATTTTAGGTACCTAATTTATACAGAGTTTTATTTTTAAAAATCAATTAATGCAGCATTATCCTCGCTCGGGTCCTTCGGCACCCCCTCCCCCATGCGGAGAAAACCTCACAGTTTCCAAATACATTGTACTTTAAGTGACTGACTAAAAAGTTATCTCGCCAAACAGTAGTAAAAACAATCCAACAATCTACAAAAATTGAAATTTGATTTAAACACAACTTTGGATCTATGCAACTACTATACCGGTAACAAAAAGCACACACAAACTCTATAGTCAACCTATACACGAGAAACATGGATAACAAAGTGTCTACGACAATATTAATACATTTTAAAGTTAATGTACATATCAAAATGGTGGACAAAAACCTTGAAATTATAATGAAATACATAAACTTAACACGCCTGAAGTGCATGGGGCACAAGATGAAATTGAGCAACGGAAACATAAATAGTTATATTGAAAGTTGCAGGGGCGAGTACAAAACTGTTCAGCCTGCCGGCATGCAGCTAGACTTTGTATGCTCACAGTGTCAATACGTCACCGCTGAAAGACTATCATGCCGTTTAAAATGACTGATGATACGTCTCTGCCCCATCTTCTATTTGTTATTTAATTGACAATTTTCCCCTGTTTCTCGGATGTCCTGCTAGTTTAGACAACGGTTGTGTTTGTACAACTAGGGGCGGGTTTGCAGTATGGTTCAGGGCAGACGAAATACGAACAGCACTCGCACAGAATGTCATGGAAGAAGCAAAAAGGAGCTGCAAAGTCGCAACACCGCGGGTAGTCGCCGCAGCAACCTGAATCACTGCCGAGGATGTGCCATCCGAAGTCGTACTGAAATAGAACGAAGAAAACGAAAAAACTGTGAAAAAAATGGGGGAAAAACAAGCCCATGGTCGTGCATCTTGCAGTGTGTGAAATGGCATAGTCAGTGTCACACCTGACCTCCCCCTCCCAAAAGCAACACGCAATGCGAGAATTCTTAGGATAGTCATGTATTTTCGTCACAATATTAGTCATCATTATCATAATAATCTAAAAGCGCAAACTGCAAGACTATATGGAGAAGTTTTGAGGGAATTTTACAGAGTACAAGGCCAAATTGAATTAGGCGGGCGGTTTTTTTTACATGTAAAAAATCCTGGCAAAAATTAATCTTTGTTTTTCATCATGGGGAAATAGGCGAAACAAATTCCACACACTGACGTAATTAGGGTCATTTGCAGGGACACTTAGGTGGATCGATCTCGCATCCAAGTGGGTTAATATTTTTCGAACAATAAAAAGCTGTTGTTTTTCTTTTCAATATCGACATGTCTGTTGCCTTAGAATGGACCAAACATGTCACCAGTGTGGCACTCAAGACGTGGAAAAACTAAGCACATTAGTTTTAAAAGTCATTTTAGAGTTGACTCGTGAGGAAGGCTGATCGGCTGCCAAAACACAATTTATACCCGATAGCTTGCACAGCCCGGCACATCACAATCAAAGGAGCCGCACGCGTTCAATCTCGCCAGAGCCTCCACCACATCCTCAAAGTTGCTCTGCTCCGCTTGTCCGTAGATTTTCATCATCAGCTGCTTCTCGTCTACAACCTGTTTGCTGAGGAAGAAACCCTCGTATTCCTGCCGACAGACGAACAGTCCCCCGGTTTTGCCTGTGGCGTACCCCCGGTAAGGCGGGCAGGCGTCCTGTGCGGGAACGCCCCCGCGGATTCGCTCCGCGGCGTGGATGACGGAGAAGTGGTAAAAGGTGGCCCATCGGGCCTGTGTGAAAGGCCAGCCGCGTGTGCTACGGTGCAGCTTCTCAAACATGGCGTCGTACATGGGAACGAGGTCGGCCAGGCTTGGAATGCCAGACTTGCCAACGGTCCGAGACATGTATTGGGCAGATGAAGTGACCAACTCGGAGATTCCTGAATTTGTTTGAAAAAAAAAGAACCATTAGTAGTGATGACTCAGAAAGCAATTTTCGGTGGGGGGATTACAAAGCTTATACAAGTAAATTGTGCAAAAAGAGCAAATAATGTCCATGGAAAATTGGTGAATTTTTGACCAATTGGTGAATTATAATCTTTTGAAAATTTATGCAAAGAAACGAAACAAGATAATGGAATGTCGATGTACGAAGTATGATGGAGGAAGGGAATTGGTCCAAAATTTAGCACAAAAGTTATGTTGTGTGACGTATGATTTTTTTTTTCATGAAAACTGAAACAAACACATTATCATTACCATCGATGACTAAGTCGTGAATATCCTTGGACGGAATTTCTAAAACCGACAATGTTACAGGATCCTGTCGCGATCGCTTCCAATGCCCCGTCTTCATCAACGACACACGGGAGACGATCCGGCCCGAACCGCCCTCATCATCCCCCGTGTAGCTCTCCAGTAACACAGTCGTGTTGTTCCTCCACGAATACTCAGCATGTAAACAGTCACAGTGTCTATCGCTGAAAATCCGCAGGTCGCCAGTGGAGGCGACTCGCTTGAGGTTTGTCACCAGGATGCATATATAAATTGCACATCCGACACTCCACAGACGCAACATCTTCACAGGATGGGTTGTGTCCGATGAATTAGGCTTTTGTGGGGTACCCGGCCCTGTGGCAAAGGTTTAAGCACGACGTCGCTCGTTCCAATCGTCACAGTCAACATAATCAGCAATCTGAACAAAAGTTCTCAAGCAATCTTTGACCAGTTTCCACGAGTTTACTCATCGACACGCGCGCAGCGCATCAGTGTTTGACGTGTTTCCTATTGGGATATTCAATAAATAATGGGTACCTGTATCCTTCGTTGTCACACCCCACAAGGAAGTACATGTACATGTAGGATAAGTCCACCTGGAGTTACAAGCGTTGCCATGTTAAGAGCTAACTGCTAACCGCGAAGTTGGCGCGAAACCATGGCTGAAGGCCGCAAACAGAACAATGCTTGAACGCTGTAACAAAAAGACCCCATCGTATCGGCTTCAAAACCCACTACGGGTGCAGCAAGTCTTTCGATCGGAATTGTGCCCTTTGGGCCCTAAAACGCGTGGGAAACCCATGCGCTTGGCAAAAGTTGGAAAGATCATTAACAGGAATATAAAAGTCCACATAAAATAGGTTGATAACTGCGGTTTTCGTGTAATAATTATTATAACGTGCAGGACTTTCGGGGCACAAAACGTTGGTTCGAGCATGGTTCGAGGAATAAGCCTCTTCCTTCCTCCATGGTATTAACGACTGCTCGCTTTGTTTACGTGTGTGCTTTCCTATGGTGCTCAGTGGACCGTGGGACCCCACTGGCTCCATAGGAAAGAAAGTGTGTAAACAAAGTGTGACGCCATTAGTACAGAGGCTTATTGGAGTGCTAGTCTTTATTCCAGTCACATGATTTCTGTAATTGCTTAAAAAACACAGTTACTGTACTTATGTATATTGAACAATAGTTTTCCTTTACGTATAAGAAGCATGACCGCGGGCATGCTTGTTAAAAGAACCTTCAATAATTGCTTTCTGTGTATCCAGACCATGTCAGGAGCAACAATTTCCCCGGTATTTGGCATGGTACCGGTACGTTTCCGGGTAATTACCCCGCGTGCCTTTAAATATGTTCATTCCACTCAGCTCCGCCATTGGAGATTCATTCTTGGCTATAAATTGTGCAAGGTAATAAAAAAGGGTAAAGGGGACGAACCTGTATTCACAGGGACTGAGTGCCCATCTCTCTTTCGTTAGCGATTGGTCCAGACTCATATGCTACTGTGGGGGGATCGCCACACCTCCTCCACAGCGAGTCTGTTACCTTCCCAGCATTGAATAATGCCGGTAACCATTTAACACCTTGGTAGGAGTAATTGAGGTGAAGCTCCTTACTCAAGGGCACAACTCGCATGGCCACGGCGCGGCTCGAACCCACAACCTCACTATCATGAATCCTGTGCTCAACCGCTAGACCACACGTCCCCTAGTCGCGGCCATTGCCTCATTTTGCCTGAAATAAATTGTTAGAAATTTGGAAAACTTCCTGCTGGTATCTTGGAGAAAACGTAAAGCCAATATCATTGAAGGCGAAGTCCTTACGTTTATTCTTCTACAAAATTAGCTGGACAGATGTTTCGGCCTTCATTAACAAGGCCTGCTTCAGAGGCAAATGACAGTGGCACAAGAAACTGACATGCGGCCAGGGAACATTAACACACAAGCATGCAAGGGTGGAAGGGGGGGGGGGGGGTGAAAAGGGGATGATGATGCCGGGGGACAAAGGAGTGCGGCAGTGCGTGAAGTGTCTGATGAATAGGGGTGTAATGGAATTAGGCAGAAGGAACTAAGGAAAGGGACGACAAGGGAGGTGATCAATCCCAGGAGGGTATGGAGGGGGGTTGAAAAGGTTAGTCATTCCATAGAGCAAGGAACAGATTGCAATCCAGTCAGTAAGCTCAGCAGCAGTTTGCAGCAGTTCAATTCATTTTCAGTTTACACTCCGTTTCCTTTTTTTTTTATTGAAAATAAATGTACCTTACTTCAGCGGAAAGTATTATCATGGTACAATGCACATGTAATGACAATAATGACTGGCATGATAGTGTGCCAAAAACGCTTTGACTCATGCAGAAAAAATACTGTAATTTACAGCTGAAAAAAGAGGACGCAACAGAGACAGAAATGAACAAACTCTGGTGTACATACACCATTCACTAGTTTTAGCACTCCGAGGTATTCATTTATTACATAATACAACTGGCTGTACAGTAAGGCATAGTATTCACTTTACAATTAACCTTTAAACGGGACTAGACTCGTCAATTCAAAATGAACCCACATTTTGTCTTTTTTTTTTACTGCCTCTGCATGTCATGATTATACACCGAAGTCTCATCTCAAGTCGAACTTGAGTTTTGTCTGGTTTAAAATCATAGCCCAACATATCTCAAGCTCTTCGGGGTTTTTTTTTGGAGTAATTATTTTAACATCTGAGACATACATTTTGCTCCAGGCAGCTTTCCCTCTCAGTTGCTATGAAAATAAAGATTACATTATTCACAATGTGAAACAGCATTTTAATCTAATTCGGCTACATAATCGGTACCTGTTTATTCACAACTTTTCTTGGCGTTTATAATCTACAATGAACATGACAACTACGCACTACTGCTAAAGGTGGGCTCTCCCCTTCTGTGGAATGGAAGATTCCCCCTTGAAGGCAACCAATCAAATTTACCGTTATACCGATAAGCATGGTTTTTTTTTTTCTCCAGACACAATATCTGCATAATCATACTCACAAAATATCACACTTCCAAAAGATTTACATTGTGTATATATAATCGCAAAACAATGCGGTCCAAAGAACTTCTTCAGTGCTTTTGCAAATACACATAATTTACTTATATTTGGGAAAACCAAATATTGTTTTGTTTTGTTTCGTGAAATATACTGACATTTGATCTGGGTGAAAACCCTGTTGTGTTTTACAATTCATACAAACTCTACACTTTATACTGCATCACGGTGCACAAAAGATATGCGCATAATTATTCAAAAATGATTTAAAACACAAAATATTCACAAATCTTGGCATTATTCTTGAAAAACTCCATTATGGGATGTGTATCTGGGATGTTAAAACGTAAAGTAAAAAAACATGATTTGGACCTTGGATAGCTGTCAATAATGTATCTTTGTGTTTAAACTGTACCATTACATTAATGCTATCAAATTGCCAATGGGACACTTTTGACCAAGTGATATTTTTTCCTGAATCCATGGTAATGATCTTTGTTGAGGTTAATATCACAATGTGCTAGCTAGCAGTCACTTGTTGAAGAATGCAAAGGAAAAAATTTGTATTCATTATTTTCATCCATGGCTGTCCAAAAACTGACGCGGTAAGTCAAGTGTTTAATAGGATTTCTGTTTTAAATTGAGAGGAGAAGGATGAGGCTGTGCATTGTAATATAACCAGTAAACTGCGACTTTTGCTCCTCTTCATATCAATAATATGTAACAAAAAGTCACTAGTTTATCTGGAGAAAATCTTCCCATTATCCTTGCACCTGTCATGTTTGTGCTACACCAACTTTGGCAAATGTGGAAGATAAGTGCACATTTTGCCTGGATAACTAGTGTCTGAATGTCACTTTATTAAACGACATGCAAAAAAGCATGTTTTGTCAAATCCAACATCATAGCCTCTTAAAAGCAATACCCATTAATAAAATAATACGCGCAAGACCAGAAAAAAATGGGAAGAAACCCCAACTGAAGAAATGAAACCAACGATCTACATTAATACACAAATGTATCCCGCATTTTGTTCTGCAGTAGATAATCATTACAGTGGGCACCGACCTCATGTTGTGTTGCACTTTGCACCATAAACTCTTTGATAAACAATGATTTAGAAAGTACATTTTGTGTGTTTGACAAGCATTAACATTACTTTCTTGCATTTTCAAGCATTAACATTATTTCAAGTGAAGCATACATGAAACTAATCCAATCCATTCAAACGTTATCAGGCCACTGTATTTCTTACCCTACTATGGCTCCACAACTTGTTATAGAAAAGCAATATGACAGTTGGTTTAAAATGTTGCCAGCGTACCGCACTACTGACTTCTTCAGAAATCATGACACCACCATGACATTTATGTTTATTTATTGATCGAGGTGGAGGTTTTGAAAATCATCCAACCATCAAGGAAAACCAAGCGGAAAGAATGTTTACGGGGATGGAACACCTTGATATCGATTGTACTCCAGCCTTTTTTTATGAGTTAACTTACGACATGCCTGCATGTCACTTTAAACATACACGTGATGCACAACTAGCTTATTTTCAGAGCTTATTCAGACTACATGTACATGAGAAGGAATCCAAATGGTGCAGGAGAACAAGTGGTGTATAACTTCACTGGGAACTAACGATACTAGGACACAATACAACTGGCAAAGCAATGGAAAGGCTACACAAAAAGTAAATTGACATGACAGTTGACATGATTCTCTTCATTGCATTTCCAAGTTTGAATTACCTCTGGCTAAACATTTTATGAGAACACAGCTTTTTAACGAGGAAAATTACGAGAGGTTGCAATTTTGTTTACTTTTAATCCTCCTTAATCTTGTTCATCCGCCGACTCAGCTCTTTTTTAAGTGCTTGACTTAAACTTGTGGAAAAACAATTCAGTGTGTGCTTTTGAAGGTTTGCAGAAGTCATCAAAGGGCACCAACGTGAAAAAAATAAATAAATAAATAAATAAATAAATAAAAAAATTGGACCCCTAAGACAATAGTGCGTATATTTTCACAAAAATCTCACAACAAATACACGTGTGTATTAATATTTTCATGTTTCTTAAGGTTTTGCTAACAAACACATTATATTTTGCCCCTTTAGTTTAAACTAATTTTTAAAAAAAGTAAGGGCAGAATTTCTAGAAAACAACAGACATGGATTTGTGCGAGACCTGAATATTTTAAACACACAAGGAGAAAGAGGGAAAAAAAGTAAATTTTGGCAAAGTTTGGAATAGAAAGAAATCAAGAATACTAATCTTTAAGTGAAACAAAAAAAAACCCAGAAAAATCAAAACAATTTTGTTTGGGCTAGTGCGTTCGCAACGTCAGTACTTTCCCACGAAACATTTATCCTTACTGTGTCAAACTTATTCACCAACCACACTCTCTGGCCCATATGTAGCTAGCCTTTAGTCAAGTCCCACACGCCTATACCCGGACCATCCTGACACGTAACGCACCCTGGATGCTGGCACGTAAAAAAGACTAGCACGAGCGGCAAAGCCGGAAGGGCCTTTACTATCTCGTGGAACTAATCACTTAATCATTTATTCACGTAATATAAATCAAGCAATACAAACCAATCATCTAACGGTGGTTTGCGGTTACCAGCAACAGCACCCGCGCCATGGCGCGCGTGCTGTCTGGCGCCAGACGATGGCTGATTTACGTTAGTAATTCTGCATTTTCATTGGTCAATTCACAACGGTAATGCATTATGCATGTCTACCAAATCGGTAGACAAATGTAAAGAAAAACATAAGCGTTCTCCACGAGATGGTAAAGGCCCTCGCGGCTTCACCGCTCGTGCTAGTCTTTTTACGTGTCAGCATCCGGGGTGCGTCACGTGTCCGGGTAAGCGCGGTTGACTTGACTTAAGGCTAATATGTAGCAGGATAAGTGGCAGACCCCCGCCCCCTCTTGTGTTGGTCATTGTGTTACCGGAATCTCAGAAATTCTTTTGAGATATGTAGGAGGCATGTATTAGGGAACAATAGTCTAGAGTGTATACAGAGTATAGAGCACCAAAGTCTGGCGTCAGCTATATTTGTTCTGATTCACGCGCTGGTTCACGCGCTGCGTGTGAACTAGAATAGGCAGTAAACTTCGGTACTCTATAGGGACATGGGGTGGGTTGGGGTGGGGTGGGCTTGGGGGTGGGAGGGTGGGCTTGGGGGTGGGAGGGTGGGGGGGGGGGGTACCCCTCTGTCACAAATCGTGCAGGGTATACTATGGCCCAACAACGTGGCACAGCTGTGGTATACTATAGTGTAGAGGTCAAGCAGGGTGCAAATTCTCTGCCATTCGGCTATTGTGTGAGGTTTAGGTGGTGTTGGTCATTCTGTAAATTTAGGGTCCAAATCTTTTCTGTCCCTGTTACCTTGGTACTTGGTAATTTGCCATTTAAGTGTCATTAAAGGGAATATACAACATTTGCAAATATCGAAAAATAAAACTACCAAGTTTTTACGAAAAACTTTACTAGGATGTTGATAAATGACAGTGGAAAGCATCCTGTAAAATTATGGCACCTGGTGTGAATTCATTTTCAAGAAAATAGTATTTTCGTATACATTTCCAACGGTGGTCGGCCGACCACCGTTGGAAAAACCTGACTATTTTTCAACTACTAATCCAAATTTACCTTTTTTTCAGTCCAAATTTTGTTTGCCATTGGTTAGATGTTTATGAACGGGTGCAGGTAGGCTAGACTGGTTCCCTTACCTTACAATTTTCCGCCACCTATAAATATTGATCTATTTCATCTTGAGTGCAGTCAGGGAACCAGACTGCTTAAACATTTTTGTTTTTCTTGGTTTTTCCAGCATTTTCGAACACAAAATTTCAAACAAGTTAGTGTAACAATATTTGATCTATTATACTAACCCCTCAAATAGTTCATTTCTAAAAATTACAGCAAAAGCCAATGATGTACATTCCCTTTAAGAATGACTTTAAACAATGTTTGATTCGTTGGGTATGTACATGTAGTCTGCTATTCATAATCACTCTTGGAGGACAACTGCATTGAGGAGTGCATCAGAATTATAAAATCATAGATGTCAGATGTAACAGGACAGGAAAAAAAAGTGGACCCCAAATTTATAAAAGACCCTAATGCATCTAACAATATTGTTGGGTATCAAAGTAAAAAATAATAATAGTGTGTTACTATGGGTATAAAGCAAATCGGGTGAGGGTTCAGATCCATTTCATACAGTGTTTTTTTTTATTTATTAATTTAAATAGTCCGTTTGATTTTTCAACAACGTGACTACATTTACCAAAAGTTACTTCCTTACAAGCTTAATATAAGTGATAAAAAAAATATCATGACTGATATAAGACACACACATCTGAGTGTATCACAACAAACGATCATACACATCCAACAAAGTCTCATCCCATATTAAATGTCATCACGGCAACATCAACTTTGAAGCCTCTGCTCAAAGCTGCTGCATTAAAAGTGCTTTCTGGCATAAAAAAATAACCCGATTATGAACATCCATACACAACGGTTTAAAAAAAAAATCATCACATTGAACAAATACCACACGGTCAAAACAAGGTATCCAGCTATACCACGGTGATAAGCATGAACTATTTATATAGTACGCTATAATACACCTTAATACTTTTTAAAGGATAGTGAATTTTTTTTTTAAGTTTCGTTAAATCGTCTCTCGTATGTTGGTGTCTTTAATAAATCTACTTCTGAAAGTCAACTTGCCACTGCACTCAACTGGATTCCTGTGAAGACACTAGATACTCGTCTGGCCGTTTGTGGGTGGTGAGTGCACGCATTGTGTACGCATCGTGAGGAAGTTCAGACTTTCTTCGTATCAACTGCTTGACCGGTTCTTTCTTCACACCTGTTGGAGCCTGCGGATGGAAAATAGTTCAACATGTACATTGTATTCATCTATTTCTGGCATTGACACTGGCTTTATAGACAGGTGCGGACATCCAAGAATTGTTTACATTGGACACGTGTGGTCAAACGGTAGGGCACCAGGATTCATGATCGTGAGATTGTGGGTTCGAGCCCTGCCGTGGCCATGTGTGTTGTGCCCTTGAGTAAGGTGCTTTACCTCAATTACTCCTCTCAACCCAGGTGTTAAATGGGTACCGGCGTTATTCAATGCTGGGAAGGTAACATATTCGCTGTGGAGGAGGTGTGGCGATTCCCCCCCCCCCCCCACAGCAGCATTTTATGGACTCGAGTACGGCCCAATCACTTCGAAAGAGAGCACTCCGTTCCTGTGAACACAGGTTCGTCCCCCTTTATCTTACCTTTTTTTTATATAGCTCCAAGATATATTTACTTAAAACTCAATGGTTCTTGAGTCTGAAGTGCTGAATGGTAACACATAGCAAACGATGAAAACGAACATGCTAATGAGAAGATGTTTCATCTGCTCAGCTGATAATGCCGTATTGCCACCGATGCCTATGAACAACATTAGGCAAGTCGCAAACCAGTCTAAGTCAGAGCACGCAAAATTCTTTTCCAGATCTACGGTTGAGAGGTTAAAATGGCTGCAATAGGCTTTATTCACGAGTCGGCCATATTGAATTGAAAGCGAGGTAAAATCTTCATTTTTGGAACTTGCGAATAGAAATGAAATTAATGAAATAAAGATAATTACTAATTAATACTAGTCTGCTCTGATGAATAATTTAAAATTTGTGATTATTTATACGCTAATGTTTTAAGCCACATTTAAAAAAATTGCAAGTGAGGCTCGGAACACATAAATAGTCTGGCACCATCCCATTGAACACTTTACAAGGCCTATTACACATTAGTGATTTTTTTCGCAATGACTATGCTGCGCGGCAATGTCGCACGTGTGTGTGTGAACGAACAAACAAAATACGCGATACAGTACGCGATTTTTGAAATTACTCGTGCAATATCGCACGACTTTGTCGCGTAATGTAAACACGCTCATTGATCTGTGCCTGTATATAAATACGCGCGACATTATCGCACGGCAAAATGGCGTATGCGTAAATAAAATTCGGGGAACACGATCAAAAATGGTTTCCCCCCGAATAAGGGGTATGGCCATACCTATAGACCATAGTCACGGGAAACCATTTTCGATCGTGTTCCCTGAATCTATCTCATAAATTGTAAACTGTTGAATGGGATGGTGCCAGACTATTTATTGATGGAATGCGTTCCAAGAATGACTTTCATTTTTTTTTAACTCTAACTCCCTAGCATGATTTACTAGGAGCTATACCCATCCTGGCAAACTCCAACACCATATGGGAAACTGTACACACATATTTCTGACTTTGATTCTGGAGGTGTGCCAACCAAATGTAAAAGACTGTCAGTTTAGGGGTACTGTACCCATCCTGACAGATTCCATCAAAACATGCCGTTGGGGTTTGATGGGTTGAGTTCTGTCAGGATTAATGTTGCTTGAAAGGGTATGTTTAATCACAAATTTGTAATTATTCATCAGAGCAGACTGGTATTAATTTTTAATGAATTGTTATTTCATTGCTTTCATTTCTACTCACAAGTTTCGAAAACTGTCAAAGTGTTAACCTCGCTTTCAATTTAATATGGCCAACTCGTGAATAAAGTTTATAAAAGTAATCTCGTCTATTTTCTCGCACCCTTACAGAAAACAGTGAGTAAACATTGCTTATCAAGTTAAATTAGTGAAGGGCAAAAACCAAAAATTTAAATTTACATCTCCCAAATGGAAGAATCTCAAGTGATCAAAAGTCACCATGGTTGTTGTTTACCTTGGCCTCAGTAGCCACATCCTTGGTGATGTCTCCATCGTAAACATCTTCATCCGTGTCAACTTCCATACGGCTGTTTTCCTCGTGGATATCGTTATGTAATCGCTCAAACTGAGGTTCAGAACAAAATGACGAGATGCAAAGTAGCACAAGTTATGATTTAGATAAAATACTTGTACAAAATTACCAGTTAGTGATAGCAAAACTTTAAACGGAATTCTCTCATTACAATGCACCCAAAAGCCTTGGCAAAAGTTCACTTGTAATTCTGTTTTTAAAGGGGAAATACAACATTTGCAAACATCAAAAAAAAAATAAAACTACCAAATCATTTTGAAATACCTTGCTGGACTGTTAGTGAATGACAGTGTAAAGCATCCTGTAAAATCATGGCACCTGGTATACTGTCATTTTCAAGAAAAGTGGTATTTTTGTATCAATTTCTAACGCTGATCGGCCGATCAGCGTTGGAAACAACTGGCTTTTTTTCCAAATACTGGCCCCATTTGACCATCGCACTTGTTTGCAATCGATTACAACCCTATGAACGGGTACGAGCCAGCTAGACTGGTTCCCTGACCTTACAATTCCCCAATGTATGTAAACTGCTCTGTTTCTTCTTATATGGAGTCAGGGAACCAGACTACAGGAAAATGATCGTTTTTCTTGGTTTTTATAGCATTTTCGAACCCAAAACCTCAAAAAAGTCAGTGTAACTATATTTGCTATATATTTCCAACCCCCCAATTCCATCCATTTCTGAAAATTACAGCAAAAGCAAATGATGTATATTCCCTTTAAGATTTCTAATACGATGTGAACAAACTGTTCTGTGGAGCGCTGTGGTCCAATGGTTACGGTGTTCGGCTCACTTGCCGCAGTACGTGGGTTCGAACCCGGACGGGGAACATGGTGCTTGTGTTCTTGGGCAAGACACTTTACTACAATTGCCACTCTCCACCCAGGAGTATAAATGGGTACATGTGAAGGTAGAGACCAGATTGCGCTGATCTTGAGCTGCTGCAGAAACTGGTCTCATGGCCTGATGAACAGGGGTAATAATTGTGAAGTGCTTTGAGACCTTTGGTATAAAGCGCTATATAAGCACTATATTATTATTATTATTATTCTTAATGGTGTCTTTATATCACCTTAACCCTAACCCTGCCACACGCAACACAGTGCATCTGGTGTAAAAGTCTGTTCAACTTTGCTGCATTCAGCTATCAACACCAGTGCATAAATGGCCACTTCTGAGACAATGAGAGCTAGTCCCATTGAGAAATGCCACAGTTGTATCCTGCTGCAGTTGGTTACCACAGACTCAGAGGCATTTGGGCCTTGAGACTTTTGACCTGATGGATCATGCTACACTGTGCACTTTATATGTGCAGGTACCGGTATGTCATTTTGACAAGTGTTGTGTGTTGCTGCATTTTAATTGCAGGGTTTCTAATATCCTGGAGGGTTAGGGTTAATTAATACTCTGTGTCATCTGCCATAATGGTCTTCTGTTGCTTCACATTAGAAGGATTACAAATCATCAAACACCAAAACACCAGTAAATGCTACCCCTCCCTTCTATTCAAATGAGTTTGGTGTAATACTTTGCATACTTTTCTTATAATAAGTTAGATGCATTTCATAAATCTATCTTGATGTGTTTCAATTAGGGATGATTTTCTTTCGTTCAGCTTACCATTGGGTTCTGTTTTGCAACACCTTCAAGTCTATTCCACTGCTCATCTCTCCTCTTTAGTCTGTCCTTCTCACTGTTGGAGAAATGAAAACAGTAACTAATCAACAAACATATTATCTTAATGTCTTATAAACATGGATTCATAAATACCTAAGACAGTTTACCCATTCCTATTGGTGCCCGTCTAAGTGCCCGTCATGTGGGTGGTTTTAAACCGCTGATAAAACACCGGCTGGTTTTAAACACTTTATTCCTGCACCGCTGTGTTCTGCACGGTCCAAGGGCGTCAATCGCTTCTCAAAAGTGGGGTGGGGGGGGGGGGGGCCTGGGGGGGGGGGGGGGGGGGGGGGGGGGGGGGGGGCCTGGGGGGGGAATAGGGGGGGGGGGACATGCCTTGATCAGAACCAATGCGAGCGTGAAGTGCAAAGCCTTAATGGCGTGGGGCTCGAGAACCTCTTGAGGACCCCGAAAAGTTTTGGAATCTAGATGCTCTTTGATGTGATCTAGGCAATTTCTGACCACTTTAACCATTTTTTTTTTGAGAAAAAGATCATCATTTAAACATCATTTTCGAGTTTGGAGTCATTGAATCAGCTAAGCTATTCTGAGCTATAGAATCTTATGTAGGCTACAATTTTTATTCAGGGACATGACAAACACTTTTGATATCCTCCCACTTTAAAAGTGAGGGGACTTGTCCCGTACCCCCTCCCCCACTGATTGACGCCTATTTCTGCACCACATCGCGCAGTTAGCGCCTGCGCTGCCAATCTCGCGTGAGCAACATACGAAAAACACATTATGTGAGCATCTTGAAACCAGTCTTGAGACTTATTTTTTAAATTAAAAAAACATGGCCATCAGAAAAACAGGCTAGAGGGCAATTCCGTAAAATACACCATACGTCCGACCACATGAGGTACACAAGTTTGTTAAGGTTGTGTACCTTAGTTTGGTCTGTAATTGTTTTCTACTCATTAGATGTCACACTATTAGTGATGTATCACATTCACTTTCCCAACACCAGCTCATTAAAGTGTCTGACACGTGCGTCCAAATTTACAAAATTGCCCTGGAACAATATGGACAAGTTATAATTATTACTTTGTTTGCATCTGTTATTCTATTTTTGGTCAGCAATTCTCTCACTCACCTTTGTCTTTCCTGTTTGTACTTTTGGGAGCACTCGTCAAACAGCTTCTGGTTCATCTCCATGAAGAGCTTCAGCGCATTGTAGATCAGCCCGTGTATAGTCCTGGCAATGATACAAAACACAAACACACGGTGTGATTTATGCACTAGGGCGAGTATTAGGAGCAATAGAACACTCAGCTGTTGACTTAGGCAAGGCAACTTTTGAGACTACATTCTGAAGAATTTTGTACACGGTCCATCTCACTGGGCCCAATTTCTTGGCTCTGCCAACCACAGCATTCTGCGCTTAGGATCTCCATTCTGCACTAACCGCGCTATGAGAAAAATTCTGTGCTAACCCTGTAAGCACAGAATCCTTACTTACGGGATGTATGCAAGTACATTTAAGCCCAAATTCCTTGCAAACCTGTGAAATACGCTAACCGTAAGCCGGAAGTTTCTTCTACAGCAAGCTAACGGTAACGGTAACTTTCGCTAACGGTAAGCAGAGCCATGAAACTGGGCCCTGAAGTGACAAGCACAAATTCTAAAGTTACTAAGTTTAAGGTTTGTTTCAAGTTGCTTGATATGAGTTTGGATCACATCGTTTGGTTTGAATGGCAATCTAAATCAGTTGGTTTTCAACTCAGTGCACACTTTGTTAAACTTGTTTATTTTTTCTGTTATGGTTGAGTTTCTATATGTTTAAAATGGCCCGAGACACTTGCCCCTACAAAATGGACCTCCAACTGACTAGTTCAATTGAATTCTTGGGGTCTGGCTTGTAATTCAGGCAGCCACTTCTATATCCCGACAAACCAATGAAGTGATGTCTTACTTGTTCCAGTGAGCTTTCGAGTTTTTGTAGAGAGCAGGAAACATGATGGGCAGAATGGTTGCGGCGTTGTCACTGATGAGACTCATTATGTATTCATTATTCCAATAGTACAGCGCCCTCTCAGCAACCTGTGAGATAAGGGGATATGAAGTTGAGAATTTTTTTTTTTTAAAGGCCACTATGGGGTAAATGAATTCTCTTTCTTTTCTCAATGGAATAAGACTTAGATCGTGAATGTTATCTAAATTTAGGACAGAGATACTGAGATCCTAGCATCAAAGATCATCTTTGCAATTGTTTAAGGTAGAGTATATCATTTGCAACTATCCAAAAAACTGATGACATTATTGTTGAAAAGCATACTTGGTTTAAAGATAGTAATGGCACTAAACTGCCTGTTAAATTATTCTTTCTGGCATGTTGTCATTTTGAAGAAAACAACAAAAGAAGGCCATTTCAAAAGATGTGTCTAAAGAAATTTTGGAAATTTCCGTTAGTAGTTCGTTTTTAATTCCGCGAAGCCGTGAATCCGGTTCGTTAGTAAAAACGTCATATACGCGCACACCACTGATTACTAGCGCCCATTGGATAAACGCTCAAGTTGCGTTAGCTTCCGGTTCCAATGGTTCCAATGCTACTTAATGGCCAGTGGGCGTGGTTTAAACTGAACTAATTCACACTAACGAACCGGATAGGTGCGTGCAAGCATTGACACAACGCACACGCGCGCAGTTGCAATAATTTGTCGGTTCAGTGCGTGACATCGAGTAGCTGCATCAGCTGAATGAGAACGTGTCCCGGACGCTGATTTCGTGCGTAATTCAGAACACGACTCAGCAACTTTTGAATTGTAATCGAGATCCTAGAATATTGTTTACTCAGAATATACAGCATTCACTGAGCTAAAACTTCATCATGTTTTTAAGCACCCTTCTTTAGATTTTGAGCACTTTTGCTGAGAACAAACAAAAAAATGCACAAATGACAAATGTTAGGGCCTATACTCTACTCTACCTTTAAAAGACAACAAAAGTTGAATTGCTCAGCTGATGTTTTCACACACTACCAAACACAATACTATCTGATCGGTGGACGAAACAGTGTAGGAACAGTATATGAAACTGTGTCAGCTACTCTAAAGAGCCCTGTGTAAAGACTTAGTGCGTGAGATGGTTCACATACACACGGCAATCTGCTAGAACCAACCAGTATGTGTTTCCAGCATGAGCCTGAACCCATTTGATGCTTAATTGTCCTTCAATCATGTTTTCCCACTCGAGGGGGTATTTGTGTCATCTTTTAATTTTACGTGAACAAATCATATTCTCGGGAGCATCTTGCTTCCACTGCCAAATTGTGCAGATACTTTCACTGATAAACTGATGAGGGAAACATTTAGGGGCAATACCTGAAAGTGTGGGCTGGAAACACACTTGGAGAGCTGTTGGAACAGAGGTTCAATGACCTTGTTGAACTCAGCCGGCTCGATGACGTCTAGAATCTCCTCCAATTCATTCAGAAACATCACCTGAAATCACAAAAAAATGATACCATGGAAATTACTGAAGGCGTTTTGCTTGTAGTAACATTCCCTGACATTCTGTTCACTGCCTTTAATTAATGCACTCCACTAGAGGCTAATGCCATGGAGCTTTTCAGCACAGAGGTTTGTGAAGCACAGAAAAGATTTGTTTAGCCAAAAATAAAAGTTGTCATACAACGTCTGAATAGATCCACATCATCTGATCAGTCGTTGCTCACGTGTCATTGAATTATTGCTTCCAACGCACAGCGCAGCTGCACCGCAAAAATAGACGTTCAATTGCACGGTCACTCCAATGAGATGACGAGGATTTATTCAGGTGTTGTATAAAACAAATAATGAATGTTTCACATTCGTGCAATGAAAAGAATAATTTCATTCGGAGACAGATGGAATGTTCCATTCATTTAATTTGTCACCTCATGAAATTCTTAATATACCAGCCAAGACGGCCCATGATGTATATTCCTTGCAACTGGCTCTCCCCCAACATTTACATACGACGCAAATAAATGTGCTGAAGCCACATTTCCGGCTTAGGCATTTAGGGGCCATCCCTTATCACAAACATTTTCCAAAGCGTACAAAACGTACTCTTTTTGCAGACCCCTTCCTCAACACCCTCCCCCCCCCCCCCACAAAATGAAGATTTTTCAAAGATATCCTGGATTCAACAGTTCATTCATAGCGTCGCGATTAGTTATAGAATATTAGTGTCTTGAAGATAGGCTAGGCACACTAAGTGCTTGCTAAACGCGCACGCGTATGCAATTCCTCACTACCAAAGTGGCAGCTGAAAAGGGCTGCATCGCGTATGTTTGTCACCGGCGCGTAGCACAAAGCTTCTCCCATGAGGCTTCTCCCATGATTCTCGAGCTTGTCCGGAGGTCGTCAAGTTGAGGTAGAGGAGGTTTTTTTTAAGAAAGATCTTCTGAAAGACCATTACAAAAAATACTCAACCGAAAATACTGATTGACATTTTTCACAAAATTCAAAAGCGTTAGACCCCTCCCTGGGTGTACGTTTCGTACGTTTATGAAAATGTTGATAATTACGGATGACCCCTTAGCGTTAGGCCCTCTACTATTTTTATTGTTGAGAAGAGATGGTTCAATGACATATTGGGCACAACAATTGGATACATAACTTACCTCTTTTGGACTGTGCACTTTTGGCCAGTACTTCAGGAGTAGTTTCAAAACCTACAAACAAGACACCCAAAGACAGAGGTTTAATTTCTCTTTATGAGTGAATCAAGACTGGTGTAGATACGAAAAAATGAAACTCTGAAACAGTTGTACAATTTATTGTGGCTATATGATCACGAAGTTTCTAATTTTCTCATTAATTTAAAAATTTAATTTTAATTTCATTTAAACTTAAATTTCTGTTATTCTTATATATCTTAAATCTAATTTGTATGTACCACAGATCCACATCAAAATGCCAGGAATTGTGACCTCACCTTTTCTGTAAGAGTGGGATCCTTCTCTAAGAACTGCACTACGCAATACGCAAGCTGTAACGTAAAGACACAGAGAATAAATATATTATCATAAATGTTTGATATAAAGATCTGCTGTGGCCATTCCAGGGAACCCCAGTTGTTAGCATTCGGCTCTGTGCAAACATTCCTGTATGCACAAGCGATTCACATCCGCCGAGATCTCAGAATCAAACGTCGAGCATATTCAACCCAACATGTGGGGCATTTCCACAGGTATCACCTGCTAGAGTAAACAGCGACTAATCCACACAAAATTACTGTTATTTCTGATTATAATTATTCCCGTTCGCCAAGTTTTATTGATGGTTGCACATAAAAATGAAAATTGCATGTTCAGTCTTTGGTATGAATTATTCATGCCCCCTCGGTAACACTTGTTTCTTTCGCTTCAAGCCGTGCTTTATGTAAGCCAAACCGCAGAATGGTCCCCCATGTATTTTTGAATTTTGTTGCAAAGCAAACTATTTGGAAACCAGTGAATAATATCGCAGTGTCTTTGCCTTTTCTTGGTAAAATCCTGTATGTACATGAACGTATTTATTACAAGTATTAAGCTGTGAAATTCAGTTTCATGCGCTCGTGGCCAGATCAGGCTACAAAAGGTAAATGGACTGACTTGGGTATCAGCACAGGACACTGACAGAAATATTGCATCATTGTTTGTCATTCAAATCATTTTTTAATACTGGGTTTTGATCCGAGATGCTTTTTTTTTGCAAGTAACATACATTTAGTGCTGTCCGAGAACATGTTTGGGAAAACAACTAACAAGCTTTTTATCACCAAGCTACATTGTAGCTCGGGTCAGCTGGCCGACGCAAATCCAATATGATGGCAGGTATGATAATCAATGATTTTTGATGATTTTTTTTTTATATTGGGTTTACATGAAAATTCACCCCTGTACTGACTGTCGTAAATCAAAAAAATATATCAATTACAGCAAATGAACAACCATCTATGCCACTATAAATAGTGGAATTTGTGTCGGGGTGATGTTATACACATGTACCGGTACAAATATTGACTGCTTCGAGTGGTGTGGTAAAACTAGCCTCCATTGGTAATCCATGGACATTCTATTTTCACGAGGCGAAGCCGAGGGAAAATAGAATGTTCCATGGATCACCGAGGGAGGCTAGTTTGACTACATCACCAGATAGAACAGTTAATATTTGGTTTTATAACACCTCTCCCACAGATTCTGCTTGATTTAAAGCGATAACAGATTAATTTAATCTAAATACAACAAAAATATACTTCTATTTGAATACGAAATTAGTTGCAAATGGGGCCCAAACTATTCACTTAATGTTGAACCAGGCTCTGTAGCTCAAACACTAGGGAATAATACGCGCAACGTGCACACCCCTGTGCATTTGCACACAATACCGGTTGTAATGCATATAGTACTGTGGTTGCTACGGGTATAGTACTTTGGTTGCTATGGGTACAGTACTTTTGGCCGTGTACAGCAAAATAGCAAAAATAGCGAATGCCATGTGGCCAGCTCTAAACCAATCAAGATACAGAATCTCTTGTCTGGCAGCCAATAATTTGAATTTTTGGAAGACATAATTCAATAACTAAACGTTGGTGGCTTTTTTCATTGACGTCTCATTTCAAAGTGAATAATGTTTGTATTGCTAGGAAAAAAGCAGTTTAATAAAGCAATCTATTTATCAAGGTGAAAATCAAAAACAGCAGGGGAACACATAATGAATATTGTGCAGTATTTCTATACTGCATGACTTACCTGTGGGTGATACACACTGAGTGACTTGGCCTTGTGTAGCGGCATCAGGACTCGCAGCAGGAATGACTTGTGCTCCTCCTTCAGCGGTAAGGCAAAACCGTTGATGATACTACAGAACCAAACCAAATTTGTCAACAGAATTCCATTTAATTTGAGGTAACAGGTGGACATTTGTGTAGATATTTGCAAAAGATAGTCAGAGAATGCCGTTTAAATGATTAACCCTAACTCCCTAGGCCTTTTTGCTAGGATGTAGCCTCAATCCTGCAAAATCCTCCAGTTGGCCTCATGTCATGGCGAAAATATCGAATATGGCGATATTTTTTCCTGATATATCGAAAATGAAAAAATAAAAATAAAAGGATATCGAACATGCTTACAACTAGGTTGTGCACATTTGGATTGTGTACTTTGTGCCATACACGTGCGAACCTGTCTCCCACGAAGCTCTCAAAAGTGGTAAACAAAAACGCAATCTACTGTTCATGAAAGGAGTCCATATGATAACAAATATCACAAGCAAGACATTTAACTTGCCTTCCCAAGATTTCTAGTAGTTCAGCCACACCATTGTGGTGTTCCGTTTCATACACAAATCTGTAAGAAAACAATGACAGAAAACACTGATTATTAGCAGTGTGTCATATCCCAGCTGTCAAAAGCATGGTTCGTCTCATCAAAACTAAGCAGAGGACCTGTCAACAGCAATATGCATTACATTACATTTTGGTTGGTAACCCGTAACGTTTTCAAGGGAATATGTGTTTGGCCAGTTTTAAACAAGTACGTTTAAAACCAGCTAGGGGCCTGGTCACGGATAATGGGCTAAGGTGAACATCATCGGCGACCAGGACCCTAGCCAGTTTTAACCGGCTAAGCACATACTTATTCCCATTCATAAATAACTTTCTGTCAAAAATTCAAAACAAGTTCAAAATTCACACCATTTCGAACGATTTTGTTCAACAACTTTACTTTCTGTTTTATGAAACACCCCTCTGGCCATGTCTATGGTATGTGCCTCGTGCGCGTAGTGCTACAAATCTCCTTATATGGAAACTGGCGAGTGCGAGGCGGGTAATGCGCAATGTGGCGCAGAACACAGCGGTATTCTACCGGCGGTTTCAAACCAACCACATGACGGGCTCTCGACCAATAGGAATTGGTAAACTGTCTCAGGTGCCGGTTTTTTATGAATATCAATTAGCAACTCATTGAAATCGGTCCCACAAATTTTAATTCCCCACAAAGAAAAATGGATGGTTTATGGTTAAAGCTTTGAATACAATAGCATGAATGTTCATTAAAAACAAGGTGGCTTCGAGTACAGAAATCTAAGTAAGTGATTTGCAAAAGCAGACAGAAATAATATGCAATACATAATGTGGGTGTATGAAGGCAGAGGCTTATTATTCTCAACTCCCCCACATACGTGGGGATTTGCATTTTTTTTCCTACAAAACATTCACCTCTGATACATTTGCATGAAAATTACCACAGCCAAATAAACAGGTTTGTCAGTAAAAAGAGACATGGAAGGGAGTGCTGCTAAGCCCTCCGGCCAAAAGCAAAAGCGTCCTCCTAAAATAAACCTCGGATCACAAAACATAGGCAGGGATCGGTGAAGCTACATGTAATGTCAATTTCAAACTATGCAATTCTTTTCTAAAAGGATCTCATTCAATTTTTGTAAGCCACAATAAAAGAAATTAAATTGTCAAAGAGCAATTTGAAAGAAAAAGTAAATTGTTCATCGTACTTCTCAGCCCATCATTTGCAGCCATCCGAAAAGTAACTGGCATAATTATTGTTGAAAAACATACTTGGTTGAAAGATAGTAAGTGGACTAAACTCCCTGTGAAATGATTCTTTCATTTTGAAGTAATCAACGAAAGAAGGCCTTTCCAACAGTGCGTCTTAAGACGCACCGTAGGAAAATTTAAATTAGTAGCTCGTTTTGTCATTCGGTGAAGCGCGCGCAAGCATTGGCACGACGCACACACGCGCGCGGTTGCTATAATTCGTCGGATCAGTGTGCGACATTGCGAAGCTGCAATCGGCTCAGTGAGAACGTGTCTCAGACGCTGAATTCAGGCCCAATTCAAAACATGATTCATCAACTTTTGATTTGAAATTGAGATCCTAGAATGCTGTTTTTCTCGGAATATACAGCTGAAGCTGAGCTGAAATTTCATCAGGTTAGTTGTTCAGTATCCTTCATTAGATTTTGAACATTTTGTTGCTTCAAACGAACAATATGCACAAATTACAAATGATGGACTATATCTTTAAGCCTACAACATGCAGGCACCTCATCACAATCACAAACAGGAAATTATGTCAAAGCACAGGCAGCTGATAAGATAGTTCTGTACAATTCTGTACAGTAAGAATAGTCGGTACAATTTACTGGTATCTGGTTTCCTGATGAAATCAAGCATTTACTCATGATAATAAGGTTTGCTTTTATACAAAAATTTTAGATGGCAAGGTCGAGGGGTTTATGTCTATTTCAAAACAACAATAAGTTGTGTTCTTAAACACTTAATTTTGCATTTTCTTTTTTAAAAATAAGGACAAGGACTGACAAATCTTGCTTTTTGCAACTGGCAAGGGATGCAACAAATTCTGTGGTGTTGTTAAGAATACTTAATGGGAAAATACAACATTTGCAAACATCAAAAAATAAAACTACCAAATCATTTTGAAATACCTTGCTGGGCTGTTAGTGAATGACAGTGTAAAGCATCCTGTAAAATCATGGCACCTGGTATACTGTCATTTTCAAGAAAAGTGGTATTTTTGTATCAATTTCCAACGCTGATCGACCGATCAGCGTTGGAAAAACTGGTTTTTTTTTCAAATACTGGCCCCAATTGACCATCGCACTTGTTTGCAATCGATTACAAACCTATGAACGGGTACGAGCCAGCTAAACTGGTTCCCTGACCTTACAATTCCCCAATGTATGACCTTACAATTCCCCAATGTATGTAAACTGCTCTGTTTCTTCTTATATGGAGTCAGGGAACCAGACTACAGGAAAATGATTGTTTTTCTTGGTTTTTATAGCATTTTCGAACCCAAAACCTCTAAAAAGTCAGTGTAACTATATTTGCTATATATTTCCAACCCCCCAATTTCATCCATTTCTGAAAATTACAGTAAAAGCAAATGATGTATATTCCCTTTAAATGTACATGGAAGCCTACATGTATTACAGGTCAACTTGTAGCCCAGAGATGCTCAGACCCAAGTCGACGATAGTCAGTCAATTATTAACGCTGCCTCTCACAGCTGGGACAGCGGCTATTGCTCTTACGTACCTGTAAAATATGTGATTGATGTGTTTCCTGATGTAGGCCCGCAGACCCAGAAACTTGCCGTAGATCCGATGTAGCGTGGTCTTGAGGAAATCACGCTCTCTCGGGTCCTCGCTGTCAAAAAGCTCCAGTAACTGTCATTGGAATCAGAATAAATAGGTGATACAATATCAGAGGCCATTATAAGGGAGTCAGATTTTTTTACCATGGTTTTCTACCCCCCCCCCCCCCCCACACACACACAGAACCAACATACATGTAAAGATTAACTTTGATTCAGTGTTTCACCGTCAGAATCCCATGAGCATGCAAGACGTACATGTACTATAGAAAAGAAAGAAATATGGTACACATTTACTTAAATACACATGTAAGTAGAGGTCTCTCTTCTCCCTTTTAAGAGATGATGGATTCCATTTAGATATTTGCCTGACTATCAAGTATAAGGAAGTCAAATAGTCCTTGCTGTCAACAGCTCCAGTAACTGTCATCAGAATCAGAAAAGATGTGATACACTGTACGTATGATCAGAGGGCATTATAAGGACGTCAACATTTTTCACATTGGTTTTCTCCCCCCCCCCAAAAAATACATTTACTTAATTACATTTAAGTAGGGGTATTTCTTTTCCCTTTTAAGAGATGATGTATATTGCATGTGGGTCATTCTATAAATTTGGGGTCCAAAGTGTGACATTTTTCCCGTCCCTGTTACCTTGGTACTTTGTAATTTGCCATTCAAGCATCATTAAAAGTGTCTTCAAATGATTGTTTATTTGTTGGGTAGGTAGTTTGCTATTCATAATCACTCTTGGAGGATGACTGCATTAAGGAGTGCATCAGAATTATACAATCATAGATGTCAGATGTACATGTAACAGGGACAGGAAAAAAAGTGGACCCCAAATTTATAGAATGACCCATGTAGGTATTTGCCTGACTTATAATGAAGTCAGATAGTCTTGTTGTTTGTGGTGCAACTTTCGTTAGAAAGGAAAATATTTTCTGTATTGAACTTAGGCCAAAAAAAAAAAAATATTTCTGCTTCCGATTACATGGCTTTCGAAAATAGGGTAGGTAGGTAGGAATTTTTTATATTTTTTTGGCCAATTTTTGTTGTGTACGATAATATGGAGGCTTTGGCGTGTAGTCAAGGGTAAAAGGAAGATTTTGATGGTTTTGGGTGTTTTTTTTCTTCTAATTTTTCCCATAAAAAAATTAGGGTAGGGGCTGTCAGAATAGGTTAGGTAGGAAAACAGAAAGCAGAACTATTATTTTCTTCGGCCTTAGTCACTCAACAAATCCTACTGGGCATTTTCAACAATAAAACATGTAAGTACCGCGTACACACTGTATGTACCGGTACAGGTACACCATGTTTTTGACCATAAGCCACCAATTCATACCGTATGTACCTGAGGACTGTTCTCATGGCTTTTAACATTTTGTTGAACTCTGCAAATTAACCCCATTGCAGGTACATGCACTACTTCTAATGTTTTGTACTTATTTCCTGTGGACTTTAAACCTCTGTATAATCACATCCCAAAGGATTGTTTCCACCAAGCCTTATTTAAGGATCTACATACAAAGATAGGATGTTTATTCTAGTTCAAGTCAATGACATTTGAGAAGTGATGCTTGGTAACTTTTATTTGTGAACCGCTCCACAAAAAAAAGGTTATTAAGCTGCGCTGTGCATTATCGTGTAATGTGATTTTCACCGTTCAAAGTTGAGCGGGTGAAAATTTTGTCCAAATATGATTTATATTTTTTGTTGTGAATAATATCTTCATTACCTGATGTTTCAGGATTCTTTGAAAGAAATGTTGAAAAAAATTGATCATTTTGAGCTTTTCATGCCTAAATCTCTAACAGTAACAGAGCCAGCTATTTCAAAGCCTGTTTTGAGGGTTTTCTCAGTTGTGTAATTGGTACACAAAAATTGTACATGTCGTACGGCAAGCCGCTGGCAGCGGCTCGGTGACGTCGCTGTGAATAAACAGGATATCCCCATGACGTGTGCCTTATCTACATAATTTATATCGTATAACCTCTGACCCTAGTTTGAGCCGCTGCCAGCGGCTCTCCGTCTCGCCGGGGTCTGCTGCAGGTTATTGTGAGCAGTTTGTTTACAGAGAGACATTTCAAGATGCCGGCGTCCACATCGACACACGGCGGAATTTCCAGCAGTTTATTACGTCCAAACGTGGAAAAATCGGTAAATTAACTTCCGTAGCGAAAGAGTTAATTTCACTTTTTCGCGACATAATACCCTTTTTGTGGAGCTGGTCACATTTTGCCAAATTCGGCAGACTTTTTTTTAAGAAAGACATGTATCTCAAAATTTCAAGAAATTACGCCTTAAGCCTTAGGCACAGAAGAGAAACTGCTTCTCATCAAGTTTATCTCATCCTGTTCCAGGGATGATCTTTATTCCAGGAATAATGTCTTAAAATTGACTTAAAATATCCGTCTTTATCCGGAAGCAACCTGAAGCAAGAAGAACACCTCAGAGGGAAAACAACAGTCACGGCAGTCAGCATGTCTTGAAAACATCCAACACCCCTGAGATATGCAAATTGGTACTTCCAACACTTGACGCCTTGCTCTTTGCTGATGACCACTTGTCTTCCCCGGCGTAGTTCACGTGAGACCTTCGATAATGACCGCGTAGTTTGTGTGAACTCGGGTGACAACACGCATGGAGCCCTCCGGGACACCAGGGCTGATACATTTGTGGAATTACTGATTTGCCGAAAATGAAAACCTGATCGGGGCTGGCAATCTGGCTTGCGGGGACAATAAGTAAAACCAAACCGGAATATGGAAGTCATCATTTGATTTGTGATGCCTGAAAGTTGCACAATACATGTATACACTACATGTAGATGCACATAGCCTGTTTATTTTCTAACAATCTATGAGGAGCAGGAGGTCGTGGGTTCGAGTCCCACCCGAGTGATTTTTTCCATCTTTCACTCGGGAGGTAACACACTGAGTATACAGTGTTTAAACGTCGGTGAAGGGCAAAACCTAATTTAATTTATATCACCCCGATGCAAAATTCCATCTTATAATAGTTTATGCGGTACCCGCTGCTATGTACATCAGATTCGAACCAGCCAACCGATCCCGTTAGCTCGGTGGTCGAGTGGTAAGACATCTGTACTGGAAAGCAGGAGGTCGTGGGTTCGAGTCCCACCCGAGTGATTTTTTCCATCTTTCACTCGGGAGGTAACACACTGAGTATACAGTGTTTAAACGTCGGTGAAGGGCAAAACCTAATCTAATTTATTTAACCCTACGCAAAATTCCATCTTATAATAATATATGACTACTTTATTACTTCCATGCTCCTCACTTCAAGTTTGTTCATTAAACCCCCTTCTGTCTTTTCCTAAGTACTGGACCAAATCCGCTAAACTCCATCAATCCCTCTGCTTGCAATACATGACATAATGGAATCCTCCACTGACGTACATGTACTGGTCGGTCATGGTGGACATTGACGGACTTAGTACGCACGGCTTATATGACAACAGCAGTACAGGATGCTAAAATCAATCAGATACCCCTAGCACTGCTTCAGGCCCCCAGGCTTAAGTCCATCATGCTCCATTATCAATATTTAGTCAAACCAGGCCTGCAGGACCAAGTTCCCCCCAAATCCACCTTAATTGGGGGGGGGGGGATGATTTTGATGGAGTTCGGGAGGTTAGGGTCAATATTTATATTCTTCAAATAAATCCAGACAGGCTCCGCTCACATACATGTGGGGGTACATTATGGATGATTCAATACAAAAATAAATAGGGCCTACAAGATGAAAAAAAGCTGGAAGACAAAATTACCAATAGACCCTTTGCATATATGTGTGCGGCAGCCATCTTGGAGGTGTTTTTGAATGCTCTGGGTACATGTTCATGTACACGTACGGTATTTATGCATATCCCCGTGAAACTGAAGCACTGTACCACCAAGATGGCTGCCATTCAAAGGGTGCACGCGTACTCAGCGCATTTATTGTACACTTCGATGAAAAAGCTACATTGCACCTCAATGCTGCTGGTGTCATCATTGCAATGACTGCTACATGTACAATGAACGGTATGAAGAATTGTTTCGTGAATATTCTTTGCTTCATGCTGTGCTTTTCATGTTTTTATTTTTTAAAGTTTATGGTCATGTACTGCATGTCTAGTATAACTTTCTCCTAATCTCTGGCCGTCTAATGTTTCTTTTAATTCAATTTGTGGTTGGGTTTGTTCCTTTGTGTTTGTCCATTCATCTTGTCTGCTTAAATGCAATTTGTTTTTCTTTGGACAAGTGGCTTTCAATTCCTCCGCTTCAGCTTTTCAATTCTTTTAATTCAAACTCAGTGCCTGACAACTGCTTTGGCTTATAAATTGGTCAGCATTTTTTTTTCTGTTCAGTCTTGCGTGCTTGTCCAGTGTCAGCTTCTTACAGGTTTCATTCTGAATTTCAGGGGTACACAGGAATGTTTACTCATATCATTTGAATAAATCTCGATAGATAAAAATGTCATTTTTTATGTCAAGAAATAAGAAAGCATTCAGATGTTTGTCCATTTTCAAACTATTTTTAGCTGCACGAATATTCCATTTCTCTCTTTGAAACACTGATCCCTATCTGCATTATTCATGCACTGAGAAGCACAAGGATCACATCAAAGATTGTCATCTAAATTATGTGCAAATATTCAACAAAAATACTAAAACAATATTTTTTAATCCAGAAATAGTCCTTTCTTTCATGGCCAAGGAGCTTATTAAAGGGAATATTCAACATTTGCAAACATCAAAAAACAAAACTACCAAATTAGTATAAAAAACCTGCTGGACTGTTAGTGAATGACAGTCTAAAGCATCCTGTAAAATCTGGCACCTGGTTTGCTGAAATTTTCAAGAAAAGTGTTATTTTTGTATCAGTTTCCAACACTGGTCGGCTGACCAGCGTTGGAAAAAAACTGGTTTTTTTTTTCAAATACTGCCCCCAATTTACCATATTTAGTGCGCATTTTGTTTGCAATCGATTACACTCCTACGAACGGGTACAAGCCAGCTAGACTGATTCCCTAACCTTACAATTCACCGACGTCTATAAATTGCTCC